TATTAAATTTTTTCGTAAGGTTAATCTTTGGTTCTTTTGTTGTTATTGTTATCAAATCATTGCCTTGAGTAGATGCACCTTCAATATTTGAAATAGATATGGTCATTTGAGAATTTGGAACCTTTGTTGTAATTTGATGTGGTAGTTGATGCACTCCGATTCTTTGACTATTATGTATGGTCATATATAGTTCTTCATTCTGCTTCCACAAAATCTCTGTCCTAATCCTCAATGCTTCAAGAGCAGTAATAATAGAATCTAACTTGATCTCTTTTGACTCTATCATATTCATTTTTCTACCTTCTCCCATAAAAAATTAGAGAAATACACGCCTTGAAAAGAAAAAAACCTGATCTATGATATAAAAAAAAGAAACCAAAATAATATTAAGAAAAGAATTATATTAGTCTACAAGAGGGTAATCTGCAACCTCTAGAATCCTATAGTACTTCCAAGAAGAGGGATAATTCACTCTTTTTCAACAAAGACTAAGCTCCTAATATTATTTTATGGCAGTCTTGACAAATTGTTAAGGACCATATATAAGACAAGGATTCAAGTCCAAGGAATGGAGTTAACTCGACATTAAAACAACAACTAGATACAAGGCAAGAAGATCCTAACTAAACCACAAGAAGTGAGTTGTCGAGATTGAGAATCCCCTCAACCTTGACTCTTATATATATTAGGTCTTAAGAAGCTTGTTAAAAAGTTTCTATAAGGCTTGAGAATAAAGAAAGCCTAAGATCCTTCTTCAATAACTTTTGAAATCATCTAAAGCCTTCTAGAATCTTCTAGGACCTCCTATGACCTTCTAGAACTTTCTTAGAATCTTTTGGAACCTTTTGAAACCTTCTGGAACCTCTTAGAACTTTCAAGAGTCTTCTTAGAATCTACTAGTATCTTCTAGAACCTTCTAAAACCTTCTGGAACCTTCTAGATCCTTCTAGAACCTTCTTCAGTTATATGTCCATAACAAATTTGGGCTCAAAGATTGAATAATTGAAAGTTACAAATTTAACCCAATTTGTAAGATACACAGTAAATTTTTAAATATCTATAAAAAAAAAAATTAATATTATTTATAATATAAAAATTTCATATCTATTTTTTTTATTTTTTTTTATTGATTTTATTATTTTTAGATTTTTTATATTTGAATATAATATAAAGAAGATAAATTCAAAAAAAAATAAAGATTCTACTTCTTTAATATCATAATCCAACTTCAATTAATGTATAGAAGATAAGATACTATTTAGTTTTGTAATTGTATTTATGTATAGTTAACATACTATTAATTGACTTTAAAAAATAATTATTGTCACAATTCTATTACTTGCATTAAAATTATCATTTTAAAAATCAATCTTAAATAATTTTAGATTCCTTCAAAATTAGATGAAATTACAACCAACAAAGGTAGTGCTTCTATCTTGTAAAATTGAGATTTAAAATAAATATTTAAATATACTAAAAATATTTATTTTTATGTATTTTAGGTAGATAAACATATGAGTGATATGCCAGTAAAGTTATTCTTCAAGGATTTTGATATACTTATTATAATATGTTAGTCAAGTAAGCTTCTATAGATTTTAATATTCTTATTATAGTTGTAATTATTTTTTATATGTTTCATATCTTATCTAATTAATAGTAAGCTAAAAATAATATTACTATAAATACTAAAACTTATATTGGTGTATTTATATTTTTTAATATATTAATTTTTTTTCTTTTTTTTTTCTTTTTTAATATGACATAAGTTAATTTTTTGTATAAGGTTCATTAAATTAAATGATTTTTTAGAGTTTAATAATATTTTTATATAATAATTTTTAGATTTCGTATTCAGTGTGGAGGAGTATAAAAATAAATGGTTATAATAGATATTATATTCTAGATTTATAATTCCTCAAAAGATTAATTAAAATTTTTTAAAGCCATATTATGAAAAAAAGTATATATATTTTAGTAAATATATATTTTACTAAAATATATATACTAAAATATATATACTAAAATATATATAATAATAAAATTTTATTATTTAGATGTTTAAAAATTTTGATATTCAATTTTTTTTTTCATTATAATTTTTTCTAATATAAATTAAAGCAATGAAGAACATGGAATCAATGCTCACATATATGATGAAGTTGATACAAATGTTTTTAATGCATATGCCATTATTTAGTGAAAAAACTTTAAAATGATATTAATAATGTATATATATATATATATATATATATGTCTTATGATATTTTTATTTAATTTTCTAAAAATAATTATTTAAAATAGATAGAATAAATTTAGCTATACTTTGTTTATTTATTGAATTATTTAAAAAAAATAGAAGTAACTTACAAAGTCAATCTCAATATTTATCTACCTAAAATTCATTATTTTTTTTTTTATATTCAAAAATATTTTTATGTTACAAAATAAGAGAAAATTATGAAGAAAAAATAAAACTAATCATATAAGATAATCCAATGAATCTACTTATTTTTGTAATTTTAGAATTATGCCATGTTTATAATAAAAATTAAATAATTAGGTTCTACATATACTATTAATGTAATTTATTAGAATTATAACTTAGACATGAAGATTAGGAGCATTTATACAAAATATACTTAAGATTTTATTAAATAAATAATATTTGTTCAAGTATCTAATATTAAAATGATTGGACAACTATTGATAATTTATATCTTTATATAATTTTAAATAGAACTTCTTTTAAACATATTGTATTACAAAAGTGTATTGCATATTAATATTTGAAAGAGAAATTTGTGATGTATTATTATTATTAGATTTATAGTAATAACAATTGTACCTATATCACAGAGATAGAAAAAGACAATTATAAACTTGCAAATTTTTTATAAAAAAATAGAACAAAGTTTAAATAATTAGTTTTTAAATTAAAATACCAAAAAAAACAGACAAAGTCAAATTCATATCTACATTAAATAATTTGGCATTCACTATGGCTTTAAACTGATGGTTAATTTTTCCAATGCATCCTAATGTTATTATTTGGATAAAAAAACAAGTGAAATATATATTTTTTATAAAATCTATGAAATTGGCATCTTAACAATTATAAAATGAAGAAAAAAATAAATTTAAATAATTAGAGAGCAACATATACCAGTCCTATATTCATTTTTAAAAATTGAATAATTGGTATATTTCAGAAAATTTATAAATCTATATTATATTTTCATTTTTATCAAGTTTCCAAAATATATTTAATTTTAAAATATTTAGAAGATAATATAATTTGTGATAATAATAATAATAATAATAATATATATATATATACATATTATAAGAAGATAATAGGGATGTTGCTCAAATAGAATATTACACTTATATAATAATCAAATTTTTTTTTTTCTTTCAATTGTATGATAAAAAAAATATTGATTGTTAAAAAATATTTTTTGTGCTAGTCATTTAAGATTACTTTATAAAATAGGTTCTAAAGAAAAAAATATAGGATGCATCTTGGGCTCTAGATTCTATATTTATAATAAATCAATACAACATATTATTATATATTGTAGTGGTTCTAATTTGAGACCTTATAGCTCTATTGGTATTTTTTGTTTTTTGTATACATGATTTCAAACAATGATATAAAATAATGCTATTAGAATTGGCATTACCTACAAATTTTGAAGCTACAAGAAGTGTAAGGTCTACAACAATTGTAACAAATAAACATAGAATATCTCTAAATATAATAAACAACATTAATTCCAAAGATTCAAATTACTAACATATAAATAATAATAAATAGTATTAGTAAATTAAAGAATAACATAATATCATTTCTATAATATAAAAACATTGACCAAATTTTTTCTTATTTAAATTTCTGTAAATGCTAAATAAATAGTTTTAGTAAGTTATAAATATCTAATAGAAACTTGGCATAGTTTTTTTTTATCAAACCTCTCTTCTTTATAATCCTTCTCCTACTATTAAAGTTGAATTATACTTAGTGTAACTTTTTACTAAAATCCTAATTTACTTGCTTTACTTGTAAATACAGAATATAATTGCAATGACCTTAAAACCACAAAAATACAAAAAAGAAGAATAAAAATACAAATGCAATGAATATAAAAATGCAGCCACCAAAGTTGAACTCTATAACCTTTATTCTCCTCATGAATACAAAAATCCAATTATAAAAATACCAATTTAAACATAAATCTTCATGTGTATACACAATATAATTCAAAAGCATTTAAAATAAAGAAAAATAATAAAAAAAATGATGTAAATTGGAGTTAATGAATTGAATTCAGAATTGGATGTATTTGGGATGGTTGAAGATAGAGACCAATAAAACAATTTGAAAATTAAAGACAAAAATACCAAGAAATGTCCAATAATACATTAATTAGTTGCCTATAATATCGAAAGCGTCTGTTCATCCCTTGTCTACAAAGTCTCACTCTCAATTCATGCACAAAAAGTTCTTTAATCTTCACATTCATCTTTTGTGTAGCTTGGATCTAGATTCAGGTGGGTCCTCAGTTAAGTCCGGAAGTTGGTGATAAACCTCACTCTCTGTTCATACTCTGATATAATTGCGTTGCACTGAAACCTTGTTTGAGCTGAGTTTGAAGTACATCAACTCAGACAGCTTCTGAAAATCCTCGTGGACCTTTCTAACACAATTGAATTGTGGTCAGCACAGTTAACGGTTATTAGTTTCTGATCTGTCTTTACTACGTGCAGAATTGAGACTGGAAACGACGATCATCCAAATAAGCTGAACTGGGTTCAACTATGCTAGTTTGACCTGTCTATTGATCCGAAAGCACAAACCATTCTGCTTCACCTACACAGAATCACTATGATCTGCACAAGGGAAAAAAGACGTGACACTGCACTGGGTCAATACCTCAGCAGCAAGCGGCTCGCATCGCTTATAATTGACATTTTTTTTTTTTTTTTTTTTTTTTTTTTTCTGCATTAACAGTGTGTATAAGTTTGTCTTGAAATAATGGATGATCAGCTGGGCCGTCTTGTGGGTGATTAGTTAGTTTTCTGAGTATGATTCTGAAGATCATCAGAGATGGGATCCGGAATTCTGATGCTACTTCTGATCGCAGCTTTACTAAATCAGGCCACACCTCAACCGAATGTGTCTTTTGGGGATTTATACACGCCCATGTCAGATTCTGCCCACACGCGCGTTCTCGGCGGAGGATCGACTGTGGAACTCCTTCTGGATCGTGCATCATGTACTGATAGAATCATTACTCCTATACTGCTCTTGAGTATGCTTGGATTACCAGAATGAATGCAATGGACATATCTCCGCTTGATTTGAAAAAATTCTAAAATTTTACCACTGGCGCAGCGGGAACATGCGGCTCATGGGGTACGTACTTGTTTGGCACCTTCTCAATTGGAGTTAGAGCAGTGCCTGGAAACTCCGCTGGCACTGTAACAGCATTCTACGTAAGCACACTTTGCCATAAATATACCTTAAGCTATGCAGCTATTTAATTTAAATTTCCTCTACCAAAGAATTCATGTATTTTCACTCATGTCTTGAAATTGCGTTACGACTCAGTTGCAATCGTCTACGGCGTCAGACATTGATCAACACGATGAAATAGATTTTGAATTGCTGGGCCGCATCAGTCCACGCGATCCCTACATTCTCCAAACAAATATCTACGTCAATGGCACTGGCAGACGTGAGCAGCGAATGGCACTTTGGTTTGACCCCAGCACAGACTATCACTACTTTTCATTACAATGGAGCAGAGATTTGATTGTGTGCGTTTTTAACCAATTCATCATTTTACTCTTTCAGATCGATTACATTAAAAAACGAAAATAAATAGTATGATATCAATGCAATTACTCGTTATGATCCCGTGAGTACGATGTTCAGATTCTACGTGGATTACGTGCCAATCCGAGTGTTTCGAAACAACGCGGCTTTGGGCGTCCCCTACCCCGACTACAACCCCATGAGAGCATACGCAAGCTTGTGGGACGGCAGCATCTGGGCCACGGTGGATGGCAACATGCGTGTTCATCCCGTCAACTGGGCTGACGCACCATTTGTAGCATCTTTCGCAGACTTTGACCTTCACACTGCTTGCAATGCCACCACTACCACTCAGCAAGCAGCTTGCGAGCGTGATGGGGGAGGAAACCGCACCAAACAAAGTCTAGATTTAAATGACATTTCAAATCTCAGCAATATTCACAGCAGGTATATTGTCTATGACTACTGCAGCGATACCATGAGACCCGACTATCCAGCTATCGAATGTGCAAACAACCGATACGACTAGCTACAATAAAACCAAACACAATCTGACATAAATGAAACTTTTAGGTCAAGATAGGATTCATCAGAGCAAAGCAATAGGGGCAAACGAAATTAAGGTAACTACACTAACAGTTAAATTAAGGTACTCAAAGGATCGGTCGGACATAATAATTAAAGGTAACCAGCAAGAGTTCGAAAGAATCAGAAGAGCTCATGTTCCAAAAGTACTCAACTACAGTAGGTAATACCACCTGGTATACAAAAGAAAGACAAAGGATTATAATAAACATACAAAAATCAATGCAAGTTGTGAAAACATTACCTATGAAAAATAGAAATACAATTTAAAAATTCAACGGCAAAAACCCTAAAACGGAATAATGATTCCATCTCAACAAGTCTACAAGGGATGACTGTCCAGCCTCACTATGACCGGCTTCTCTATCCACAAAAAAACCAACCTTCAAAACTGAATCCACTCCCTGCTCCTACCCACATTCAGGGCAGAAGAGCTACCAATTGCACCCTAAATAGCTCCCCCAATGCCTTCCTCACGTCCATCTGCACAAATGTCGTCAACCATATCAGGCAACTGCCACCACAAGCTCATCAACAACCTGTAAGAAGCAATCGACTAGTATAAATCGAACAAGTGTACCCAAACCCCGAACACCACACTACAGCCAAACGGACATATTTCCGGGTGCCGTTGCTAACAAAACCTCAGAGCGGATAAAGCCCTGGAATAATGGGGACTCATAGGGCAACCGAGGAAACCAACGTTGGGAAAACACCACATATCCATCCAAACATTCAAATCAACCATAGACAGAAGCTCAAACCTGGTCACTACAGATAAGCTTCGTGAAATAAGGGTAAAATTCTGGTAAAAGTTTTTTGAACAGGAGGGTATCCATGTCCCTCATCGCCTCCAACACCTGCAAAAAACAATGCTCCCACACTCAGCCTCCTCAAATGCAACTCAAACTCTTCACTACACCTCACTACCCTTGCATTTCATTCACAACATATGACAACGCTAACATAGCGTGTCCCGCACACAGCGCCTGCACAAACTCCAGGAATTCAATGTCCACATCTTCCAACTAAGCTCTTCCCAATCCCGCCACATCAAACAACCTCAACGCCACTCAGGCATATCAATCTACCTCAGCAGTCACTGCTGACCGCGGATCAAGCACTCGGTGGAAACCACTCTGCACAGCCTCGTCTGGAACTGGTTGCAAAGCGGCAACTTCTTTCAAAACGTGCCCACAAAATGACACCAACTGCCTCTCAGCCTCCTCTCTCAGCTTCTGCCTCCCACCTTTCCATGATATCTCACCAATTTCGGGATCTCCATTTCCCTGCTCCACATTCTCATGACTTCTCACTTCATGAACACTCTCAGCCGCAATTTTGTTCAGCACTGCAAGATAAATCTTCGTACCTTCCGTCTCCTGAGGCAGCAGATTTGGGGGAGGCCTGTACCACAAATCCAACCGCTACTATCAAGACAACCTCCCATCACCCCGTCACACGCACTCCCAAACCTCCCACCAACTTCACGCGCTAAAATATTATCCTTCCACAGTCACCGGAAACTCACCTATCACCATACACGTGCTGCATCCTACTTCGAAGGTTCGAGTCTTTGTTGTACGAAGCAGAAAAATCTACCATTGACAACAGAGTATCCATAACCAGTCGCTTGTGTGACGGTTGAAGTCTCTGCCAGTGATTCCTCTGTCCAACCCAATGCAAACGCATGTTAACAGTATCACTACAACCACCAGGCCCTCTCCACTGCACAACCAACTCATCAATCCCGAATGCAACGGAAGCACCCTCCACTTTTCAGTGTATTTAAGAAATCCATACTTGGAGACTATCCAGCGCACCCAACAGCAAAAGCTGTATCACGCATTTCGTCCTCACATCCTGCAGCAAAGGCCCTTCCACTTCGCTGCCGTCCGGACCTTGCTCGCCCATATCCACATCCTGCACAATCCACTCGTTTGACACATCGCCTAGCATTAAAATTAACATCTGCATTCATCATGCACATCCAACGTAACGTCCTCTCAAACATGCACAACCTGAACAATGGGTCCTGCATCTACCAAGCCGCCTTTAACATTCCTAACCACGATCCGCGTTGCCCCCAACGCCTTGCATGATGCCCATCTCGACACCACGGTCCCCAACAGCTTCAGAGCAGTCACCAACCTCCATTTATTCCACCACCAAAAATATTCATCTCGAAAGGTATCTCCACAACCCCTCCAACCATTCTGTCCTACACAAAGTGAACCATGTTCTGCTCGAAAACCCACAATACCTGCAAAGAACTATGTACACCACCATCCGCAGGTTTGCCTCTAACACTCCTGAATGTCGTGTTCTTCAACAACACTGTATCCATCACGTTGCTCATGAAAGACCGTCCACTTGCCTTGCCAACCCTCGGAGAAGCAACTGATGCTGCTGCTTCGGAACCTAAACAAACAAACACCACGCTTCCAGTTCAAACCACAGCTAACAAACAACCAACAAACCATTCCAAAAAGCCCGCCTTGAACCTAGTCCTCTCCTCCGCACCATCTCTCATTGTAACCTCCATGCACTGCTTTGCCGTCACCACGATCACTACCTTCAGACTCTGCGATGCTCAATCTTTCAAGTCGATCATCGGCCACAGCGTCATAACTTGGCGCTCGATTAGTCTTCGATGAGTCACAGTTGCTCAGACTCTTCGGCATTCCTTCCACTGCGCCGTTGTCGCGAGCGTCAAAATGCCCCCTATCCCCCTCAGATTGACCGTATGAGCTATAACCTCCTCGCATACTCGATGAAGGGGATGCAATCGACAGCGCCCTTTGTCCTGAGACATTATCTGACCCAAACGTCAACATGCTCTCCGGGTTCAACAGTTCCACTGGTTGCGTGGTGTAACACGCATCCCTGTACAACGACCACACCCATCATCAGCAAACTCTATCTCCTGCCCATCCGTTCAACGCACCCAAGTATCCGGCTCAGTTCCCACCCTCGAATCTAATTATCTTCACATTCACAACACAACTCCAGCCGCCTACCAACTCCCTCCCAAGGACAGACATCGCCAGGATGAAAAGGGCATGGATAACTTGCACATCAGCCCAATAACTGTGAAGCACAAGACCCACTTATCTGCATATCCCTCATCAATGCCTGCACTTCTGCGTAGCAAAACTTACCGAATACTGTCCAGTAAAGTCGTCCAATCCTTATCGTTGAACTGGTGGCCGCCAACTTCAGCGAGTCGAACCACAGCACCCATCGAAATTGCTGCCAAGGTTTGATCTGGCCGGGTACCGCAGTCCAGCAATAACCCTAGCAATGCCGGTAGCAAAAACGAAACCTCCTGCAACCACAGAATAACACCCTGTAAGAACCACGCCACCAATGTTCCTCCACTGGCTCCAACAACTCGATTCAAAACTGTCCAATTTCTACAACCACGACGCCACCAGCACCGCCCAGCATAAGCTGTTGTACGACAGCACCTTGTAGAAACTGCTGAACAGGTCGCATAAAAGCTGCAGCGAGTGTATGCAAGTTTCCCGAAGCCACTGATCTACAGACGCCGGCTTCTCCCCATCTTTATTAGCATAGCGAACGTAGTCGAAAATGGGAAACAATACACGATGGAACACAATCTCCCAGAAAGCTCCAGAAAAGTTCTTCCCCCGCTCCTTCAGGAGGTCAAATAGAACCTCCAAAGCACAGCTCCTAACTTCTATTCGCGGATCCGACGTCAGACCCGACAGTCCAGCCAGCATTGGAAATAAGTAGTACTCCGACGCCTCAAGATACGGTTGATCTTCGCTCCCTCCTAGATTCCAAACACCACCGCCTATCTGGCCCTACAACATCCACCAACACCTTGTCATTGTGAATTTGAAACTAACTTCGCCACAGCATTCTGCTTTGCGGCAACGTCCGCTCAAATAAAAACTGCAAAACCATAAACTTCCTGGACAAACACACATCCTTCGCGTGAACCAAAGTATAAACACATTCACGCTCATCAGGCAGCTGTCCATATCCCTGATCGCTTGGACCAGCCAACTTACATCTGCCAGCCGATCCTCACAGATTCGAAGAAGAGCGATCGCTTTCAGACTAGTCTGTGAACTGATCCTATTGTTTGCAAATGCAACCAGACAATGCACGCAGTCCATAAAGCAATCTCCAACCACCTGATCGAAATGCTCCAGCACAACTGCACCACAAGCCACCAAGTCAACCACTACGTGGTCACCACCGGGTACTGTAGATGCGGCATTTTCACCATTGCATCATCCAAGTCCAACGGCTTTCACATTATCAAAATAATAAAGGTAACATCAGCACACTACCTTGCTCCACGTGCTCAAAAGCAATGTTAGCTATGGATACCACACTATCATACGCGGTTAAGGAGAAGAACATGAACACACTTCGCCACCCAGATTTAATGCTCCCAACCTTCGATTTGATCATCTGAAAACATCATACTGCTCAGAATCAGATATCTCCCCAAGTGCTCTCGCGTTCCTTCATCACAGAATATTCACACAACATCGCACTCCAGCTCGTCCAGGTCGACAACTCCACGATCCTCATAAACTCGCTCAGACAACACATCAGATACGGCCAACTACCACGTAATTGCAGGAGCAGGAGTCACACGAATGCACCCCATCGCATACCACATTACCTGTACCATGCAGTCCACGATGAGAGCTCTGATCGTCGGGTTTTTGCTGTTCCGCATAATCATAACAAAAGGCCTCAGAATATCATTCTGGAACGTGAAGTTCGCCAATTCCACCCTCTCAAGATACTTCACCGCAAGTTGCCGAAGAGAATCGATTGTATACATTGCAATCTTCTCATCAGAATGGCTTCCAGCTGCAGCGAAGTGCACAGATAGAACTGCCCATATCCTGGCCCAAACCTGAACCACCAATCCAAGCGCCCTGTCAGCGCTGTCTAGCCTTACCGTCACATACATGCACGCAATAATCATTACAACCACCACCTCCGACACATCCACCGCCCTACCGCCAAAGCTACTTCCTCACACTGGACATCTAGTACCGAACCTTCGCACACCACCCCTACCTAGTCAACCTACTGTGCACGATTCTACCACACTCAATCCCATCACCCTCACATCACCCACTTTACCATTCGAATCCGTGTCATGTTGGAGGAGCTAATCTCCACTAGCTTCGTCAAACTGAACACGCGTGGTGGAGACTGCCTCAACTCTTCGGCTGAAACGCTACACAAAGCTGCAAAGAACTCCACTATCGCATCGCTTGGTAGCTGAACACTGTTCACAAATACTTGTTCCGTCGCCTTCCCGGTCAGCTCCGTCAACGATAGCATCAAAGAGTCCCGAGATATCTGGTTGCTACCCTGCATCAGGGTCGATGCAATGCCCGAAGTTGTGACTATGAACTCCAGCCTCGATACGCACTCCAAAACAGCATTCCACGTGTCTTGCAACGCTTCTGGCTCGTTCTGGCACATTGTTAGCAGTGTCTTCAAAGCCTCCACATTCTTCGACCGCATTTCCATTGGTGCGTGCAAAAACGTGGACCTGCAAGAGTAAAGCACACAATCGAATGCAACTATTAACCTCGCCCGCATGCTGCAACATTACAGCTTCAAAACCCTCACGTACCCACCAATTGGCGCTATCAACAACGCCACGAGACCTCCAAAAATAGACACCAACCTCACTAACGACGTCAGAAATGCATAACGCATGGTCTCCATTCCCAGGGCCTTCGTCAAGTGTATTCCCAGTCGAACCCCTTCCATGCACAGGAGAACTCCAGACTTGCTGTCGCTGTCCTCCATAGTCACAGAGAACGCTGCAAGCAATGGCCACCCAACGGCATCCAGCATGGGACGAGCCAGGTCTTCATGCTCTGCCTTGTGAAACACCCCTTTCTTGAACCTTACTTTCTTGAATATCGTCTGCGTCACGTCGATTATCTCATCGCTCTCTTTCTTTGCATCCGCTGCATTTCTTCCTCTAAATCCACCCAGATTCAAGATACTCACCAGCGACCTTCTCTTTTCGCGCCTCTCCCGCTTAGAATCCTCGTCCTTCAGTTTTATCTCCTCTCCAACTATAGAATCATATATTTCTTCCAACAGTTCCTGAAGATGGAAAACTCCACAAATCAGCTGCGCTGCACTTGTCGCAATACTTGTCAAAGTTCAATCCAACGGGTCGCAACACACCTTTTTGGGCCGCGTCGCCACACTGGACCGAAAACCCATGATCTTCTATGTGCATACCAAGCCTCAACAGCCTCGCCAGTCCCTAACCAAATCTCACACGTTCTAAAACCACGTCCAACAACTCACGATTCTAGACCAAGGATCGTCAACAACAATTGTGTTCTCAGTCAATGCTTGTGTGTCCACTGGTCATGGGCTGTGCTATACCAGGGCAGCGTGCTCATCCACGTCGCTGGACGAATTCATGCGCACAAAAGCAGACTTGGTCATCTTCTTCGTCACCATAGGATTGTGGGCGTCGGTACTTAGCATGATCACTGCATACGCCAGTACATACGCAGTGTCCGCGTTCTTAAACAGACTTGGGTTATCACGGCAATAGCTGCACAGCAATATAGGCATATCAGTCACCAATCATCCAAACAACGGCAAGCTCACCTCAACCCGAAATTTCAGATCGAGACCGTTCCTGTCGTCAACTACAAACCATGAATACTCAGCCTCTCTGCGAAACTACCTCTCTGCAAACTTCTCCATGATACGATCGATCTTCTGCGCTTCACCAGGAAGACGAAACCCGTTCAGAAAAATCCGAATGGCTTTGTCAAACTTCATGCCACTAAGATCCAGCGCATCAACATACGAGTGCATTACTGCCATCGAAAACTCGTCGTGCTGCCCCAAGTAGTCCCCAATCATCGTCTGTAGCAGTAAGACCCAAACACGTCACACCCATACCCACTGGAACACTGCTTTACTCAAAGGCTCAAGTTCACATTAAAAATGCTGAGGCTTGACAACATACAACCTTTCCACTCTACCGCCATACATAATCAGGATCTTACGGACAAACTTGGATCTTGTTAATAACACAAACCCAACTCTTGCCAGAAACGCTACCAGCCAGTCCACATAGCGTAGAATACATACCCTTTCATCAAATATGACCACCTCAACCACCACCACCAAAACAAGAACAACAAGAACAACATCAACAATTACAATCAAGACTCTCTTTACCTCGTGATGCCCTCAGGTTACAGCCTACTCTAACCTCAGGCACTATGAGCCGTACACACACAATACGAGAATCTGAAGGACAGGCAGGACCATGTAAAAATTTGGTATAATCCATACTCCAACTGCCCAAAAACAAGTACCTTATCCAACCCTGGCGACTCCCTCAGAAACTGAGCAACTGCTTTCGGCTCCTTGGCTACAAGATTATGCTCGAAAAGGAACTTCATCCCGCTCGACGGCTTCACATTGAACTGTACAATCAAATCACTTGTCAAAACCACCACAGATACCCTGCTCGAACCCTGCATATCATACTTAAAAGTTACAGGAAAAACGCCACATCTGCCTTTTGTAAATAGCCCCCCACTAACAATCAGCCTAACTATCCACCAAAAAAATTTCATTCCTAAATAACAGCATCACCACTGGTAGCCATTGCGTTACTACCGGTACTACCGCATTCAAAAATTCTGCGTTCATTTTGCAAGCCTGATGTCATCCACGTAATCAATGTCTTTAAACCATGACTACCTTGGCAATACCACTCTCCAGAGAGACCTTCAGAGCTTTTGCTTTTTCAAATTCATCCCCTTGGGTCACAGACTTGGTGTCATCTTTCACTTCCACATCACTGCCGTCACCATTCATCCCATCGCCATCGACCTCAACCTCAGCAACAGAAAGATCAGGAAACACAGGTCTGTTCCCTCTCTGTTTTGATGTCCACGTTCCGAGTGACCTTAGAACGCTCACCAGGCACTGTGAATCAACACAAAAACCAATACTACACATCAGGCACCCAACGACGCCATCGAGGAAAAATTTCACATGACCTATATACATGAACGAATGATTCACCTGAAGGGCCGAGGCTTTCAATGCAATGCTTTGCGAGGCATTCGCAGCATTGAGATCTCCACTGACCGTTGCTTGGGCGAGTCGTGATAGGGAATTAACCTTCATCACACGCATGCATCGGATACTCCAATCGCACAAGTCAGATTTGCTGCAACATGGACAAGCTCAAAAAGGCACAATGGAGCACGAAAACTGGCCGACACACATTTCTGCTAAACCAACAATGACCACTATCTCCCTGCTACCACTCATCAATGACAACATCATCATGCGTTGTTCTCCTTAACCGCTGACGGCCTCCGTACTAACAAATATGCATTTGTAACATCTTTTCATTTCTTACCATGCGTTCAAATAAGTTCGTGGCCTCCAGATCGCAATCATAGTTCACAAAAATGTCCGTCAGCATCTGCGGATCATCGCAAGCCTTCCCCACCATTCTGCAGTGTCACAGGGTACACTCCATCAGTTTGTACCCCAAACGTGGGGGCATGCTCAACATTGTCCTATCACTCAAGCCGTCCTCATGTTGGTGCCATACGCACCGTATCACCAAACTCTTCATCGTCGCATCACAATCAATCAACGTATTAGAGTATCCCCAATATAAAGGTACGTTCTCAAACTATCTCATTCAATAGATCGAACCGTACTTCAGGACTGCTGACTTCTGATGAAGAGGACAGTCGATGTCTAAGGACCGCAAAACAATCAAGTTGAAAAGTATTCCCAACTCCGCCTACACAACAACCCCAACTAGTCAGAAACAGTGACACGGATGACAAGCTTTGCGGCGACGCTTCCAAACACCTGATAAGGACCAATACGGGTTAGCAAACGGCTCAAGAATACCCTGTAACGTGCCAACATGTTCAATTTTATCGCTCATTCAAAACATGAAACTGACATGCATAAGCACATTGCTGATGCTATTTCAACGGATCCAAAAACCTTCGCATCAACTGACGACCACTACGAGGGTGACGTGCCGCAACTTCACCTTGAGGCTAGTTCTGTAGCGTTGCATCATTATAAAAAAGATGTTCACTGCGAGCTATCAACACAAAAACTCACAGAATTAGCAACTCTGAAGCCTCAATAACAATGCATATCTAACACTAGTGTGGATGCATGCATATCATATCACATCATGCTAGCCGAACACATTAAACACCCAAACAAGATGTCTGATCCCAGGTTTCTCCTCCACCTCCGACTCACGTCTATAAACTACGCCCAAATTATCAACCCGAGCCCCCATCTGACCGACGAACGAATGTCTTCGACAAAATCAGCACACTACCAACGCACTCTACTCACCACCTACTCCAGCCTATCAGTTACACTTTCGTCAAGAAACCAACCACGAAACAAGTTTCAAGCACCAACCTGGAAAACTGCTGCAGTTGGCGAAACACACGATCTCAACAATGCATAGCATATGTACGCTTTTACGAGCTCGATGAAAGCGAAGTTCGTCGTGAAAGCATGACTTACACTTTCCAGGCATCCCTACACATCAGACCAGCGTCCATCACACAACAGACCCAACAAAATCTGAATCCTATTACCGGAAACGAACAAGACCTCCCCATTGATAACACTTCCAACAAGACCTCACAGCCCAACCGTACATGACCATAAGGCGACAATGCATCAAAAGCATACAGCGGAATGATAACGTTGCATGTAAATATACATAATTCGCGAACCTTGATATGCCCTCAATCTACAATACAAATCTAAAGAGGCTTTTACACCACAACTTCATCTTGAAAACAATCGCACACGATCAAATTGCACAACAAAAGTAGACCTGGAGCAGCTCAAGAGAAAGTAGCTTGGTTCTATTCAGCAGATCATCACTTCCATCCTTCATGGCCATCTGCACGCGCGCAATCCTGCACGCTTAGATTATCAATGACATCACTATGATCCAGTTCCAGCATTGCGAGAGACCAAACAAAAAGGCAGATACGAGAATGGACGGAAGTGTCTTACTTTGGAGATGGTGCGGAGGACAAGAAGAGCATCCTTCTGGCCCAAGGTCAAAAGATCCAGGTCCTTCCCACTGCCACGGTTCAAAACATGCACACCACGTCAACACCTCGATGAAGCAACATCAGGGAAGGTTTCAACAGCACGACCACAGAGTTTTACCACCACCACCACCAATTTCTACTCTCCTGTTCTACACCAGTTCAGCCTCACAAGGTGACCCAGAAGTACGCACTCAAGATTCTTGATCGCTCCTTCAGGAGTTACAGCTTGGTCCAAAGCAGCTTCAATACCCTGCAAAAGCACACCGCAAAAAACCCACGTGAGTCCTCCTCGGACAAAAAAAAAGCATGACATATTCTGTACTGCAGCAACAGCTGAGCTGCATTGCCTACACAGGCACTTCCACAACGCAACATGTGCTTTGCACCTTCACCCAAAACTACGTGCACAGAGCACGTGCACCCTTCGTATGCACCTGTACAGCACCTAACCCGATTCAAGGAGAAAATAACCTGCTTAGGAACGCAACATCGACAATGACAAAAGATGAAAACAAAGACACGAGAGCGACGAAGGAAAGCAAGAGCACTGAAACACAAACATACTGGAATTTGTTGAAAACCATCTAGGACACATAAAAGCAGCAGCGCAGTGCTGTCATCGTAAGCAGAGTCAAAGGTGTGGTCGTTTCAGGCCTCCAATAATTCCTTAAAAAGCACCGTTGCAAGTCACAAACCTTGAGATTGGATTCGGTAGCCAGATGTTGAAACTCCGCAATTAGCACTGGTGGAGGGGTGCTTGGCAGCGGTCGAAGTGACCGAATAGACATTTCCATCGTCTCCCCTGTGCTCGCATTCCTTGCTTCCCCAGTCTCTGGGTCTATATGAATTGTGGTCGTCCTGCTGTACACCAATGCTGGCTCCGCTGCGCTTTGCCCATCGTCTTCGTGGGGGACATTCTCATTCGAAGATGTAACTGGGTCTTCGTCGTTGGAGCTGCTAGCATGTGCATCGTCAGGTGCTTGTGCTGATGGTGATGACACAATCTTACCAGCCTGCACAATGTAAAGATTCTTAGCAAACAAAAGTAGACCGAGAAGTAATCGTTGAACTGCAGACACAGATCCGGTGTGCATGGTATAATGCCAATCAACGCTAGCTTGAGCAACACAGTTGAAAACCACAACATCTCTAAGTTCGCCAACACCAATCCACGAGTGCGAGAAATAACCAGACACCACGATCTACTCTGTTTCATAACCTGACCGACTGGCAAACTCCATGTTCATCTACACAATCACCTCTATGTCAGACTCCATGCGCCTCAAAACAATGTTGATCATCTGTGTCAAAGTTGCCCTCGCAGTCGCCTGGTTCACAGGGTTCTTGCTGCATTGCACACACCACATAATACACATCACTAAACGTAATCACAACGCAGAAATCGAAATCACGTGCATGAATATTTGAATCACACGGTTACCTAACCCGGGCAACAACGCTGATATCCATGGACCACTTCTTACCAGCCAGTTCTGGTTACCACGACTTCCAATGGTTACTACCTTACTCCTATACCGTACCTGTTCAAAACGATGTTGTAGCACGTTCGAATAGCAGTCAAGAAACATTCTCCACGCACTGCAGTTTCGCGACAAACAGAACCAAGTTAGACCCACGCCAGCTTCAAGAGTCATCTATTGTTCATTCCCGTCTAGGAACTGCAGAAATCCTCAGTATCAAATGCCTGCCATACCTCAGTCGAACAGTTGCCAGTGAGCAAATACCTTGAAAAGTTGGTGAAGCTACGGCTGTCAGAAGCACCTTAATGACCTGAAGAACCAAACTGCACCCCAAAACAGACCACACAAGCCAACATATTGTGAATACCCTTCACGAGATGCATCTTTCACAGTATGTAAATTCAACCAAGCAATATTAAGCTTCGACACATACGCTCACACAGCTAAAACCGAAATCTGAATTGTAAACCAGGTCGGAGTGATCTGCACGGCAGACCTGTAAATTCAACTGGAACAGCAGCCACTGACTGCAAAATGGAGCTAATGATTTGTAACTTAGACAAACTTCGTGCACACTCCCGAAAGCATGCCCCAGCTTTCACACAAAGACAGATTATTCATTATTGCAAACCTCCGTCCAAAGCACCTATCACGAACATCACAAACTGCTCAAGGCAGATCTTACCTGTCAGGTGCGGTAGTGTCATCAGACGCACAGACCATGTTTAAAATTTCAGTTGCCAACTGCGTGTTCCTTCCTCCATCCACACCAGCTTCTCCCACCAGATGGCCGTACGATATAAGTTTCTACACACATTGTGCTAACTAGACGTTCAGTTCAAGCTGAAACTTTTCTCATTTAAAACTGTCCATTGTTACCTATCGCTAGTAGTGTTCGGCTTTTTGGTTAATCTCGCAAAGTTAGATAAACTTCCCGCACAATATATGTCCCTTCATGATCGGCTCATCTGCTGGTATATAACTTAATCCATGGAACTAAGAAAAGAACAAAAGAAAACTTTGACCACGATATCACGTGCACAAATTACTTATTGGTATCATTTCCGATCCACATTGTCCTTGTGCTGTTCGTGATAAGTGTATAATCTTATAGATAATGTGCTCCCACAATATTTGAGGAGCAGGTGTATAGTCTTACATGCAGGCAGTCCAGAGCTGGTTCCATGAGCTTGGACTGCTTCGTCTCACAGGCCAGACGCAAGGGTGAGATCACCAGGTCTGCTTCGGAACCTTCCAGCATATGTCCGGCCTCAGATAAAGCTGCCGCAGCCGCCAGTCCGGTACTAGACTTGGAGGGCGATACAACCAGGCTGGTCTGCGTAGACTGCTGGTCGCCTTCTTCAGGGCTTGACGCATCACCTTCGGAGACATTGTCTTGGACAACGGATCTGCATCCAACCCCCACACATCACCAGAAGCACAAGGTAAGTGCCGGTTCGCCGATCCAAAAGGAAGGGCTGAAGACTGGAACGACCCTCCACTAGAGACAAGCACGATTATACACAGTCCGCATCAGCTTAGGAACATAGGCTTCCTCAGAAAGAACAAGACTTAACCGATGGACTCTCCTGGACGATTGATCACTTCATCTTCTTCTACAGAAAATGCCCCATGTACATAATAGAAAAAACTGTCGTGACGTATGGAGACTACTCCACCTCCCCATGACGCTCGATTTCCCTTTCTGTTCGGCGCTCACATGTGACAAGCACGGAGATGCCTATCACTTTCACTTTCCAACTTTGCCGAACAGCAACTCTGATGAAACCAAACGCAACTCCACATACGTATTCTGTACCACTTTCAGCTACCACCTGATGAAATTGAGAAACGGAAGTAATTTGGATACAAGGAGAAGAAGGTATAACATGATCCCGGGGGCTTACATTACATCACGAAAGATTGGCACGGGCACTTCTTGGAGCTCAGACAGTGGTGACACAGGTTTCCTGTCTGCAATCATACGGGGAAAAACCCCAAATTAGTGACGTGCCCCCAAGGCCACAACCGTTGTGTCCGGAACATTTACGAAATAAGGCTAGAGGATCCTTTAATAAACTACAATCTTCGATGCTTGGAACATTCTCTCTTCCAACTTCTTGAAAATTAGCCGTCATCCATGAATCAAACGAATTCCCTTATCCATTTCACGAAGTCAATCGCCGGGATTTATCAGTGATCATTGCTCATGCATCTATCTGTTTTATTCCCTTAGAAAAGAAATATTGTAATAAAATTTGCTTTTGTAATTATGATACACAGGAAAGTAGTAGGGTTTAGAGGAAATAGTAAGAAAGAGCACGAGCATCAATTTACTGAATCTATATCAACATATCTCCGTTTGTATGAAAATGTACGACCTTTGTCGAATTTGTCATACATGTGACGAATGATTCCTAATTGAAACTGGCGCAATGCAGGTAGACTCCAATTTAATGCAATGCCAGAAAAGTATCTTCTATGAAACACTGGAACTTCGCTGTACTGAAACTGACAATACTCGTCGCTGCGTTAGGGCGTATTTCTTGATAAACTTCTTATAGGGCCAAATCAAACCACTCGGATCGCCAGAAAAGTAGAGAAATCACCTAAATATGCCTTGAGAGCAGTCTGCAAACTGGGAAACCTGCGAGCCGCTGGATCCTTCAGCATACATTCGAATGCGCGCGTCACGAAGGCACCCCCAGCCTCCGCCATGGTTGCAGTTTGGCGCTAATTCAAACCTCCTCTCTCATAACCCCAGATTCAAACCTCCTAATCACGGGCTGACGAGCTCTACAGCCTCCTTAAATGCGAAAAAAAAAAAAAAACAAACAAACAAACAAAAAACACACCTACATGCAGATATATATGTTTATATACATATATATATATATATATATATGCACACACACACAACAATAAGACACGCTCGAATCAATTTTTAAGAGGCCGTTGCATCCGCTCTTCTGTTCACTAGGAAGTGACAATCGATCAATAAGCCTGGCTTCCCACTTCGGACGCTAGTCGCAAGGGACTGTCCAGCCACCGTCCCGGCATCCATATCCTGAACCAGGTCGTTTCTCCAGGTACCCAAACCCTTTCGTCCCCTCAACTGCTTCCCAACTCCATGCTTCAAAACTCGTGTGAGGTGTTAACCGAGGCGCTAAAGGTGCTCAATTTCACCCACTGGGTTCTAAGAAAGAGTATATCACCATTTATTAAAACCAATACTAGTAACATTCAGGAAAAATATCAGGGAAAATTATTACATCTATTCCTTATAGAGCTCAAAATATTATATTGATAAAATACTATATGATAAAATAAAATGTAAGATTTTATTTTTAAATGTGATGTGTATATATATATATATATATATATATATATGTGTGTGTGTGTGCGGGTGTGTATTGTGATTATCTGAACTTGCATTGCACAGCTACACCCACATATCTAAAAGCTCCGACACTCAACATATTTATGCTATGGTTGCGCAGGCTTGAACCCTAGCGGTGTCTCCGATCTGCGATAGACTTCTTAATTCCAGCACACATTGCAGTGTGCCGGCCTCTGATTTTGGAGGTTTTGCTTTCGAATGCATCTTGGATGTCGTCGAGTCAGGTTATTCTCCTACGTGTTGGCGAAGGGTTTGTGCTTCATAGTGATCTGGTGCTAGGTGAGGTTTTTACCGGCACTATACTAGCTTTCGGAGATTGCCTCTGACTTACTCTGAATGTCGCTAGCGTGAAGGGAGATTTGAGTGGAGCATTGACATCGCTGAAGTATCGCGTTGTTGTTTCTTTTTTCTTTTTTTGAATGGTCACAGCTTAGCTTCAGGTTGAGCAGAACAGGAGATTCAAGCTGTGCTTTAGAGTAGCAATTGTGTGTTTGTCTCACTTCTGACACTGGGGAACTGTAAATTACAGTTTATTAAATCAATGAGATTGGCAAAAATTAGCCATTCGAGATTTTGGCGTTGTAAGGTGGGCGTTAACATCGGGGATTCTTTAGAGGAGGCTTCAACTGTGCGTATGCAGTGAAGATTAATAGTAAGCCCTAATTGAATGAGACACGCTATTTAGACGGACACAGAACATGATAGCTACTTGATAGATTTTAGGATGAAACGAGCCTATACTATCTGGGGAAGGATCGAATTTTGATGTAGTTATTAGGATAAAGTAGAAACAAATTGTTTAATGCGAAGCTGAAATTGAGAGGAGAAGGAGCTGTTCCGTTGTCGAGAATAGAGATGGTGGGCTGCAAAAGTGAGGACGCTGAGGGGGAGGATGAAATCAAACCTGGAGCGAAGGAAGGATCGCTCCTCTTCCACACCTTCATGCATCTCATGGGTCAGCATTCTTTCCCATTCAATTGAGTGTTGTGAGGCTCTTCGAGTGCTGGTAAATGTACTGAAAGGTTCAGTTGTGTCATATTCAAATTTTTCTGTTCAGAATCAACATCGATGTGTCTATTATTGCATCATTTATGCTTTCTGGGACCCTTGTGGTGAGTAATATTAAGCTTTCTTTCTGTATTAGTTTTGTTTTATCTTTCTATGACAATATGGGTATGGTGGTTACAAGGCCAGTGTCTCAGGTTTCTTCTCGTCTGCTATCGTTTTTCCTCAACGTATTAGTGGCACGCCGACTCACTCGTGAACAATTCGGAGTATGTGTTAGGACTTTCTTCCCTCTTCACCACGTGCTCCTTATGCTGCTCTTGTAAGTGATTGCCTGAGTGCCATTTGTGACATGGTTGATTTAGCGAATCTCTTGAGCATTCAACAGCTCTGGAATTCCTCAAGTTGTCGAAGTGCAAGCTGGTTCTAATTGATTATCTCGGTGCTCAACCTTCCGAGTGTTTCTGCTTAATTATTACTATATGCACCATTGGATAATCGGCCTGACCAACTCGTTCTATTGCAGTTGCAAGCTGTGCAGTTCCACCTTTTCACAACGACTGTGCTGTTCATCAGTCGGGAAGGATTCCGTCGGGGCTGTCTCCGCGGAAATGTTGGGTGAGTACTGCAGCATATGAATATTTAATCTGTTGCTAATATCTTGTTTCAGGTGAAGGCATGACTTTTTATTTTGTGGTTGTATCTTGCTGAGCATTTTGAATGCTGCTCTTTAAATTAAGCTTTGGCTCTCGTCTCTTTTTCTCCGTCCTCCTGAAGTGTATCGCTGTATCTACTTCCAGAGGAAAAGCTGCACTAGAATATTGAAAGTGCAATACGGCAACGTCTTCCAAGCTTTAGTGTCGATATCAAGTTTTTTAGACCCTGTAACTTTTTGTTGAGATTAATTTTTGGATGTGACTTTTTGTTACAGACGGAATGATTCCGAGTCTGAAAGCAACGCTAGGGTTTTGGCAGTGGCATGGCTTACATTGCCATGGGGCGTTATTGCATCAGTTGGTGTATATAAAGTTGTAATGTGGTGGCAAGGCATCAGTATTTCTCAGGATTATGCTTCCTCTATGGTTGTGTTAGGTAAGGTCTTGAACCACATCACAATTCTTGGGGAATTAAAGAAGCCATCATATGATTGTGGATTCTCTCTGCTTGTGAACAAAGCTGCTATGAGATCTAAACACAGGTTTTTATCTTAATCTACGCAGTGCAATCCTGTTGTGATGTATTTGTTAGACCAACAGGCTCATGTTCACAATCTGGTGGCTTATACTTAAGCAATCTCTCAAAGAAACTACTGAGCAGTTTTTGTTTTGGAGGATAGAATAGGAACAGCAGCGCTACTGGAGTTAGGTTCTGAACCTCTATATATTTTAGCACAGCATTTGTTGCTTTTACGCGTACGCATGATCATTGAAGGAGTGGCTACATTTACTCGATGTGTTGTCACTTACGTCCTTCTTATCCAAGGCATTGGAGTGGTAATTTTCCGATCCCCACTTGTCTTTGTACATTTGAAGTCCTGATCTACTTGTTACTGTTTCATGCGTTGTGCAGTGTTGTTCACTGCTCTTACTATCACGTATTGTATTTTTATTCTTTCTCTTACATAATGCTAGGAGGGTGCTTGTTGCGATTTTTCACTCGAGTACTATGGCTTGGCAGGGCGGTGGACTAGTATTTGCATATGCACAACTCGCATTTAGCGTTTGCTTGCTTTTAGGCTACTGGTTTTACTTCCTGTGCAATTACAAAGGAACTTTGTTTCCCTTCAGGTATTATTGCTGTAGTTTTGTATGGTCTTCTTGCAAAGCAGTTTGGCGCTGCAATTTCATATGTTTATCTGTTCATTGTTGTTGCAATTTCTATGCAGCAAATAGATTCTTTGCATCTTTGAAGACGTCCATGCAAATCCTTTGGTGTCTGAAGCAAGGGTTTGAATACAGGAACAAAGGGAAGCCGATACTTGACTTTGCCCTCATTTATTTATGTGCCACGTTCACATTTCAGTCGGTTCAAAAGTTGGTGCTACAAGAAGGCGAGAAGTTGGTGCTTGTGCTCTTCGACACAGCCTACAATCAGGGTGTTTATGGCCTTGTGGATAAACTAGGTGTGTGTTCATTCCTTTTATTCACATCCAAAAGCTTTTCATCTCTACATTTCATACAAAATGTTGCTATATATGTTCATGTTTTTGGCTTTGCTGACTCGTCATTAGTGTCTGTATGGAAGCAAGTCTAGATCTTAGCTGAGCGCTTGTTTCTTGGTATAGGTGTTCAAGGATGTGCAGATGGTTAGAATGTTTGTTAGAGCTATGTATAATGCGATTGGATAAATTGCAACAGTTTTGGACCTGTATTAATTAATTCTTGGAAGTGCAGGGAGTCTAGTTGTGCGATCTATATTTCAACCCTTCGAGGAAAGTGCATTTACGATGTTTGCGAAGGCTGGATCAACTATTGGTACGGAAGGTTAGTATGTATCTCAGATTCCATCAATGGATCATTTGATTAATCTAATGTTATGACAAGCACTTACACTACCACTCTGGTCCCTGGTCTGCTGGCAGACAGAACGAGGAACTCAAAAAGTGGTGTGGAGCGCGTACTTATACTAGCATTGAAACTCGCGAATCTAGTTGGTGAGGACCTATTGCCCTGCTTGCATCTCATGTTTTGAAACCGGGCACAGGAATTATGCCCTGCGTCAAGAAAATTGGATATCTCAGTTCACTTCTTTGAATTGTACACACAGTTCCCTTCACTTTTGACGAGATCATGGTGTTAACTGTCTTTTCATCAGATTCGAGAAGGTCTTCACGATGTCTCTCTTTCCTAAAATGACTCTTTCAGAACAACGTCTGGATGGTGATTTGCCGATGCTCTTGTTTAAAAGGCCATCATTGTTTTTTGAGACTATCTATCTTACTCTGTTTCTTTTTTCATCTTTATATCATTTCCAGGGTCAGTGTTTGTTGCGTTTGGCCCAAATTTTGCGTATGTGCTACTCCGCTTGTTGTATACAAGGGATTGGAGCGATGGAGATGCCACTGTTGCATTAGGATACTACTGCATTTACATTCTGGCTCTTGCACTTAATGGTACGTAAATTTCACAACTACGATGAGGGATCAAGGCTTTTAGCGATTTTGTTAGGAAATCGATTCCCTATCTGACTGTCCATCTTGTACTTTTAAATGGTACCACTAGAGTAGCACAAAGATGCCAAGAATTATGTTGTTATAGGTCGATTGGTTCTAAATCCATGATCTCCAATCTTCATATCTATCATGTCTTTCTCATGAACTTGCAGACAATAGATATATGTAGTGTATTCACTAGTTTTTGGATAAAATATCTTTCTAGAACATTGTCGTTTTCCTTTGGATGCAAGTGCATTCATTTTTTTGATTGTGGGGCTTTCAGGCGTAAGTGAAGCATTTCTGCATGCAGTCGTGACGAAAGGAGAGTTACTGCAATCCAACGTGTGGCTTTTTGCGTTTTCGATCGTGTACATGTGTCTAAGTGTGGTACTTACACGGGCTGCTCCATCAACTGGCCTAATCTTGGCTAATTCTATCAGTATCCTTTATTTAAGAACCTACTCTTGCAGCGAACTTCTCGCACAAGTAGGGATAATAGGCACTTCATGTTTTTTTCTTTAATTTCACCTTCACCTTCTGTTATACCTTGACAATCCTAGATATGGGGATGCGGATCGTCTACTCACTCACTTTTATCCAACACTTTTTCAGCGTAAGATTTAGATGTCCTTTCACATTCTTTGGTGATGCACAATCTTCACAAATCGTGACCGTAGGAACACTCTCCGTCGTGTATTGACTTAGTTTCGCTGAGTTTGAGTCTAATCCTTTCTGACGTTATTGTTGTTGTTGTCGGCAGGATTCCCAAACATTCTCATTATGGCAGGCGGTCCCAAACTGGAAAGTTGTGGGAGCTTTAGTAAGCTCTGCCATGATAACCCACTTGTCCAAGAGGTTCGTGCTGGACTACGACAATTTTTTTCCATCCGCAGTCTTGCATGTGGGGATTGGTATTGCTTGCCTGAGCGTAGTTCTTTCGACTGTGTACAATTATGAGAGACCATTCCTTCATGAGCTTTCTACTTTCAGAGGCTCTGGAAGACACAAGCCGAAGAGTAATTGATTTATGTGATCACACATTGGTCATAAAATTACGATTCAGCTTCTCGTTTTGTATTTATGGATCACAAAAGGGACTGCTCCTTCTATCTTTTGACCGGAACGCAATGATGCTCTTTTACCGGTTTGTTTTGTAGCCTCCAACAGATTCAACTCTCTCATTACAGTTTACTAGTAGCTTATCCAGGGCCTCAGCCATCCGTGATAGGAGTGTAGTGAGGGAAGTGGCAAAAGAGATTTGCAATTTCATCTTTTTCCTCGTCAAACACACCTTGCTGATCAATTCACCTCAATTGAATTCAGTAAACTACCCATTTGTATTTTCTATTCAAGATTTATGAATGTTGCATGTTTACAAGATTTATATAATTGAAAAAAACGGTTGAAGTTTTTAAAGAGCTTTGAGGCACAATTGGTTATTTCAATCATTTTTTTGCAAATCAAGGTTATCTAATGAGAAATAAATGAATATGATGGAATTTCTCTCATGAAGGTGATAGTTTTTTTTCTTTATTTTTGTGGATTTAGAAACCTGTAGATCTCTAGCTTTTTGGACACTGGTGTAAAGGCGAAGATGAACGTCTTCCAAGAGGACGATGGGATCTCAATTTGAGTATACAATCCAATTTTGGCTATTGGCTGTTGAAATCAACTAGAACAATTTTTCATTAATGATTCAATTCACTAATAGATTATAACTTGAAGTAATGATGTTACCTTTTCAAATAGGAAATTTGGTGTTGCCTGTCTGCATTAGAACTTGAAAACGGAACACAGAAGCCGAACCAACGTCTTAAAATCTTCTTATCATATTTAATCACTTCTTGTTATAATTTAATTCATGTACAATCAATACTTGATTTTGGTGTGGACATCATGCAAGCCAGCCAAGTATCACAGACGTGACCAACAGGCAAGTTGTAAACAAAGGAGATTTCCTAGAAAAATCAAAAATGGAAACATGGGATTCTTCGTCTAACCCTTTCGATGAACAACGAAAACATGGATCAGAAAAGATCATCAGATAAGACCAAAATCTTAGTCTCAACGCGGCTAAAATTGACGATGCGACAAAGGCCGCCGATCTGGTGCAGAAACTGCAACTGCTCGAATGCACTTCTTGTGATCCGTGGAAGCATTTCACATGCCAAGGCCACCTCTAAACCTGATTGGAAGCGGTAGCAGGTAGAGGAGATTAATGCGAATGGGTTTTTTGATGGACAGACGATACTGAGAGAGCAAATTTGGATGTTTGTAGCCTCTGTCGGAGGCGGAGGAGTGTGGCCTCGAATTTTACCAACAGTTGTTTGCGAAGACTCGTCATGAGATTTGTTGCAACGATGGGCTACGAACCCCCTGGAAGATCGTAGCCTCTCTCACAATAGAATGATGCTTACTCCATTCCCAATGCTAAAAATAATTCATGCAGGGGTTTGATCTTTGCTGCAGCGGCTGCTACTTTGTTCTTCGGTGCATTCATTCAAATGTCGGGAATTATCGAAAGCGTTCATCCTGAGTTCGAGCCCTCAACGTCTCCCACCATTCCGCCATATAAACCCTCCTCCCTGTTGACAATGTCCTAGTTCCTATCGTACCTTTGCCCTCGTCGATCGGTTGCTGCGGGTGTGGAGAGCGGACTTGGTGTCTAGTCGTGTTACTTGGCTTATTGGTTCGTGTCAGAGGTTTGTTTGGGGCTTTGTGCGATGAACCCAGTTCTTGTGTTTTCTGAAGTAGGTGATGAGCCAACTTCAGGCTCGTTCGGCAAACACCCGTAGTGACCACTGAAATCCTCCGTCTTCGCGGACTCTAGGGCTAACGCAGATCCGGAATCTCCCAGTACTTGTGAGAATGTTTAATGGCTTCACCAGGACGTGATGTGTCCGGGCACAATGTCTCCAGATGATCAACGTGGAATTCACAGTACTGAATACACTGATGGGTCTTAACCAGAAACTAATCCATGCAGATCTTACTTCCTGGCGAAGAATTTTGCATTTGTAACCTCCAGAGTTTACATCGCACACAAATGTATTCTATTTGTTCGTAACCAAGTACTGCTATGAGGATTCATTGCTCCCTCCGTCGAATAAATATGGGGACAATTACCGGATCTGAATAGAATCTGGTATGGAGGCTCATCGTATCCTTACACGAGTATCTCCAATGTGGGTAGTTACGTCACCTAAGATCCCTCGTGTCAGATTCCGGGGAACCCGACCTGAGGATGGGTACATTCCATAATCTCATAATGTTCTCAGCGTGGCAAAACGGTCTGATCTGGATACGCGGATTTCCTGTTCTCGCATGTATAGATGAGGCAGAAAGCCCACTCAATTGTGACGGGTATATATCATCAGTAAAATGTACGTTTTGAATGCGATTATCCTATTGCATTCAAACGTGGTAATAACACCAAGATACAGGACTAGAATCATATAATACTTGTGAGTATATTAGTTAAATTCCATCTACATGTTTACATGTGCAATTCAAGCTATTTTGGGATAAAACGTGCGCTGCATGTATCAAAATATGCAAAAGAAGTTACAACTGCTAAGTCGAAGGTTCAAATGATAAGAATGAGCTCCAACGCAATAGTACAATGTCACTCGCCTTCTCAACTAAAATTTTCTCAGATTTGAGCAAATTACATCTATATTGGGCTTTAAAGAAAAGATCTATTAATTAAAATCACGCAGTCTGCCAAAGTATGTCCAGTAACATCATTTACATAACCACCACAGAATCGTGAAAAACTCAAAAAGACATTTGAATCCAATCCACACGTTTCACCACGACGAACAAGTTCGACATACAATAAATCAATTGCTCTGAGGTGGTATTGCAAAATTGTTGATGACAGTGTCTTCATACAAAAAAATACTACGCTTCGTCATCCGTAACTTCACCCCCACTGCGTGAGACGCTCTGAGTTGCAATTAATTAGCAACTTCAAGGGCACATCTGTCTAGTGTGTAAATTGAACCAAAAAAATTAAAATTAAAATTAAAAGCCTAAAGAAAATCAACGACACACAAGACACTAGAACGTGCGAGTTCAAAGCAACTTCAGTCGAGAGATGAAGTGCTGCCAACCTCTACAGTTGACCATAGCTCCATCGATCAATTTCAGAAGCACTAAAACTGAATTCACAGGAAACTTCAGGGCTTCAGGAAGTTCTGGCTTTTCAAATGGTCATGTCCCTACGAGAAACTGAAAAAGGGCCTGAATGAATAACCCCCCGCCGATGAGGTGACATGTGCATCGAAACATAATCTCCTAACTTTCTCCGAAAGAAATTCAAAATTCTGGGAGCGCAGGTCACAATTGGCCATCTGATGTTAAGAGGACCTTGTAAAGCTCAGGACGGCGGTCTCTAAAGATACCCCAGCTATGGCGCTTAACCTTGATCTTATTCAAATCAAACTTAGCCACTAACACTTTCTCGCTCTTGTTGTCGGCGGACGCAACAATCTCCCCTGTTGGCCCTGCAATGAAAGATGTCCCATAAAACGCAATTTTGCTTGGCCCTCGCTCAGTTTCGATAATTTCCTGCCCAATCCGATTAGAAGCTACCAGAGGTACAAGGTTTGCGCCAGCATGACCCTGCATCACCCTCCGCCAGTGCTCGCTCGAATCCAGGTCTCCATCCTGCGGTTCTGACCCAATTGCCGTTGGATAAAACAACACTTCGGCACCCATGAGGGCCATGGCTCTGGCAGCCTCCGGAAACCACTGGTCCCAACAAATTCCGACACCAATAGTTGCAAATTTCGTCTTGAAAACCTTGAACCCCGTATCACCAGGATTAAAGTAGAACTTCTCTTGGTACCCTGGCCCATCCGGGATGTGCGACTTGCGGTAAACCCCAAGGTCCGTACCGTCAGCATCAATAACCACAATCGAATTATAGTGGGCGTTGTTCGCCTCTTCAAAGAAACTCACAGGAATTACCACTCCAAGCTCCTTCGCCAGCCTTTGCATTCGCTCAATTGTGGGGTGACCTTCCCGGGGGTGTGACCTAGCGAAGTAATCCTCTCGCTGAGCTTGGCAGAAGTAGTAACCCTCAAAGAGCTCCTGGATGAGGACTATGTTAGCACCTTGCGCGTGCGCGTCGCGCACCAGCGTCTCCGCCTTACTGACATTAGACTCCACATCGTCGGAGCAAGCAAACTGAAGAGCCGCCACACCCACGACACGGTCAGGCCCCATCGTCTCCCCCCCACTTGAGCAAGAGCACCACACTCCGCCTCCGAGCGAGAAAAACACAAAACTCAGACAAAGTCGCCGCCTGCCAATGGCATGGGCTTCAACGGCAGAGCAGACTGCAGAGCAATTAGCTTTAGGCGCTGGGATCACGACGAGCGGAGCGAGCTTGAGGCTCGCTTGGGCGAGGGGAAGGGCCGGCCGGCATGCTGGACGGTGTGGTGCATGCCCTCGCTGTTTCGCAGCCAGAGGTGACCGCCTTAACGTTATCTCCCTGGGTACCATTCCCACCGCATCGCCCCCTTGTTATGCCTCGCTCTTCCTGCTTGCAGGCTCGGAAATTCTCTGGATCAAGTTGAAAGTCAAATCTCGTGGGCTTCTCACAATCAAATCTGCTCTTGCTGGCGTCATGTTTCACTTTAGATTCATCCTTTCTTACTTTTTCGGCCCCAAGAGGGTCGGAATCGGGAGACGGAACTTTGCAGGGGTGTGAATTAATAAAAGGGGGAGACAATACCAACCGATACATCTCATTCGACGGACGATTCCGTGAACCTCAACAGTGCAGCAATGCTAAAACCGTCGCAATCGATTTCGAATGGTGGGCCTGGATTGTGGGATTCGGAGTGTTGTCGTCGCATGGCGGAATCAGCCCAGGGGGTAATGATGAACCCATCCCTCGCAGAAGCCGGAGCGCCACCTCAAGCTAGCGAGCTCTGACCGCTCTTTTCCGGAGGTTCCGAGTCGTCATCGACGAGGAGGGGGAGAATTGGACGAATGAGGAGATCGCATTCGTTGGGCCGTCTCGTGATCGGGCAAGGTCGACAAGCCTCGTAGAATCGTGTCGCAGAAACCTCCACATTTAATCGACTGGCTCCGCCATCTTGGGCCGTCAGATCGCAGCTGCCGCTCAGATGCAATATTAACCGCCGATCCGATTTCTGGGAACACAGAGAAAACGTAGGGGAACCAGGGGGCGGGCAGGTTGGATGTCGGGCAGTATGGAGAGTGGTAGGTTGAGAACTCAGAACCCATTCCTCATCGGGCCCCCACTCATCCACATTGACATGGGTGCAGAATTTTGTATAATTTTAAAATAAAACAAATAATATTTTTTAATATAAATAATTTATTTATTTTATTTTTAATTATTTTTTAAAATGTAATTTTAATTAGTAATTTGTGTGCATTATTTTAATGAACACAATATTTTTATGAATGTATAAAGGCTTCTGTCACTATTAGAGTTCTAAAAATAGACTGAGCTTAATATATTTTTTAATTCAATAGTTAATTTATTTATTATTTGAAAAAAAGTTGTATTATATATTTTAAATTGTAAAAACTGAAATACTTAAAAATACTAACATTATGTACATATATGTATGGACACACACACACACACACATATATATATATATATATATATATAGTACTCAAAACTAAGGTGTTTTGTGCATTATTATTATTTTAAAGTTGAACTATTTTGTTGTCGTAAAAATAAAACCCATTTAATTTAAATTATACTTTATTGAAATAAAATATATTGTATATTTTTTTAAAGTATCTAAATAATTATGCTTAATTCTTAAAATTTTAGTTTTATGAAATATATATTATTTATAATATATCTAATACAAAATTCAAATAATACCTAAAAAAATTATGAGTTGCAAGAGTTCTTTCTGGAAACAAAAGTATCATGTACAATGGGTGCTGTTGTGTATGACAACAAAAAAGAATTGTTTGAAGCAAGAGTGATGGTTGAAAAGTGGGATTGAGAGGCAGCCCCTGAGCAAAATTCAGAACCCATGTATGTCAATGTGGATCAGTGCGGGCACAATCAGTATTGGATTCTGAGTTCCCAACATGCCCGCTCCCGTAGTTCCTTACGTTCCCTCTCTCCGTTCCCAAAAATCCGATCAGCGGTTGAGATTTCATCTAAGCCGCAGCTGCGATCCGACGGCCCACGATGGCGAAGACAGTCGATTGAATGAGGTTTCTGCGACACGTAGTGACGAGGGTCCACAAACTCCGGATCCGTCACCAATCCTGGTCTTGGGCTTCTTCATTCACCGACGCCACGCGCTCTCCGATGCTCGTATCCGATTGTCGACGTCCACGAACAGTTTCGAGGACTATCACACGCTATTCCCTTTGATTTTGTAGGGATTTCCTACTTGACAACTGTTTGTTGATGCTTTGTTTATTCACTTTCGATTCTTCGATTTACTCAGAAAGAATGTGGGATCAATATTCTTTATTACTTACTACAGTTTGAAATTGTTGTTTTGGAAAATGTTGGAGTTACTTTTCACAAATGACTTCTTCTTCACCCATTTTTTTTTTAAGTCTTGTACGATTTTACCCTGTGTATAGTAATTTTGCTTATGAGTGATCTGTAGGAATCACAAGTTTTCTTCACTTATGAAGGTGGAGAAAACTTGAGTGACGACACTAACAGCAACATGCCATTAGATGAAGCGAACTCCTTGAATCCACGGCCGTTGTAGTCATCGGCAGGATCGAGATCATTTTTCAAGTAAAATTTCTCACCCTGGGTGTGATTATGTTATTCTGAAGGTCTTTGTTTGCCTTGACGCTGGTTTTCGGAACTGGTAGTGGTTTCAGACGTTGATCCTTTCCTGTTTATCGTGTCGTCTCATAATGAATCGAAGTCGATGGTGGAAGTTCGATATATTTGGTTGCGTTTTTCATCTCGGATTTTGACATATTGTGAAAGAAAAAGGGATACCAATCTGACCTGTTCAAGATGCTGTTCATTCGCTCTCTGTACTTTTGTCTTTTCCTTCGATTATGCAGTTGTTTTCGTGTGTTTCGGGATCGTCATTGCAAGTGAGGGCTGGAGAAAGGTACCGCTATGTTGCTCATCTTAAAGGTGAATGTTGCACTGCTATCTCTACTGGACAAGCTGGTTGATGACTATTGGTTTCTCGTGTGAAACTCTGGTGTCGAACAGAATGCACCAGAGTTTAGACAACTCGTATGAGAACAAACATCTATGCCTCTCTTGGAGCATGCAGATGTAGTCACCGTGTTGGCACCTGTAGTCTCCTAAAGCTGTTGTCTTCGGTGAGCGATCCATCATTCTCCATTCGAATTTGCTTTAGCTACAAGCGCCTTTCGACCTCCCTAATATTGAATTCACCAACCCTGATTCTCCTCTTCTTCACTGACCCCACATTGCACCATAACTTAATTGAACCACAGTGATGGAATGCGAACTCTTCTAATATTCGATAAATATTACGCGGGGTAGTGGATGACAAATGTTTCCGTAGAAGGTATACACACTGTAATACAGTGACATTTGTCCCCAAAATGTAAGCCTAGTAGCATGGTAGCATGGCTCATTATTCTCTTGCCCGTGTATTTATATCTTTGCTGTCGGATGCAGGGGGGAATGTGTCGAATTTTGGTTGTAAGAAACTCATCAAATGAGTATCCGCAGGTGTTGAGGATGCTTGAATTAGAGTACTAGTTCTAGGGGTTTAATAGTAACCTTCCATGTTTTGGTGCATGGTTAGATACTTTAGATACGATTCATATTCTACTGCTATTTTCACAGGATTGCATCACATTTTATACAGGGTTTCATAAATTCTAGACTAGAAGATCTGTGCAGGAGTAGGGGTGCATATAGTTCAGGAATGAAGGAGGTCCTCTTTGGTCCTGGTACTTCAAAACAGTGTGCGGTGAAGAATTCTTCGGATGCTTTTGACAGACTCCTCCTCCCTACCCAGTTGCGACCTGGTGTCTTTAAGTAGTATTTGAGGGATAGATCTGTTAGGAAAACCAGATATTATCACTCTGAAATTTCGAGATGGAGGAATGTTTTTACTATCAGAAATCGGTACAGTTCGATGCAACGTGTCCAAATTTTGCACTTCGCCTTCGCATATTGATCAGTTCAGTGAAGTCCCAACTTTCATTGCATGTATCTGTTGATTCACACACCACAAAACTTACGTCAATTGGGTCAGGCATCTGACGGTCGAATCTGTCGAGCGTGTGCTAAGGACGGGGATGTCACAAACAAAGCAATATTTTCGTCGATCACTACACACCCCAAGTGTAATTTTAAATAAAACTGGAAGATGCAAGTGCGTGTATACTTTGGTTGTGAAGACGGAGGAAAGAGAAATTATCTTCGTCCCATATGCTTTTTCATTTATTTCCTCGCTGCTAAGGACTACTAAGACACTTTTTGCGAAAGCAGTGGACAACTTACATTCAAACTGATGAGATAATAAAGTTCACATAGCTCTGGGCACGATGCTGATACTTTTGAGAGTTTTAAGATTTGTTATTTCACTTTCATCTACTTTTAAGATTGCAACTCACTCGCCAATCCAGGCGTTCTTTTCAACCCAAAAGTGGATTTCTAATCAGTGGTGAGTGCCATCACGTTGTTCGGATTAATCACAGTATCGGTCAACTACAGATTAAGAACCAGTCCATTGTAAGTTGTATACATTAGATGTCCGGCAATGAACGAAATAAGTGGCCATATAAATCAGGCTATTCTCAAATTACTGAGAATTCAGTTAACGCAGCAACTGAAACGTGTAACAAACTTTGGAAGTTAATCCAACAGGCTACGCCCCAAAGGAGTAGAACTGTTCGTTTATACAAATGAGATACCAGTACGTTTAGTGAGAAGTGAAGATTATCGGTACGAACTATTCGTAAAGGCGATTGAGCACTTTACGCTTCAAATAACTCGACCTTGCATACTCTTCTGGATTTTCTAAAATACGACAGCAAATGCACATCTGATGTGTCTGGATGCTTCTGCAGTCCCCAATGTCAGAGAGAAGCTGCTCATATGCGAGACGAAATCAACGGAGTCTTCTTTGCAAGGTGAGCCTGCGCTGCAGCCACGCCACTTCCTAGAGTAACTGGGTATCCAACCTCCATCAAACATAACTCAACTCCTGCCAGAGCTCCTAGCATTTGCAACTGCGCAATGACCAAATACATGATGTCATCAGTAATTGATGCACGGAAGAAGAGAGAGAGAGAGAGAGAGAGAGAGAGAGAGGAATAAATAAAATAAAATAAAAACAACTGGGCATTAGGTACATAAAAACATGCCAGGGGAACGGAGAGCAAGACTCATTCATTGGAGGCTGTGCATAGACACTACCAGTACAAGATACTAGGGTTTTGTGAAAACATACCTCGTTAACGTTTCCGAGATGTCCAATGCGGAAAACTTTCCCTGCAACTTTGTTGAGACCAATTCCAAGACTCAAGTTGTACTTCTTGTAAGCTATCTTTACAATGTCATTACTGTTGATCCATGAAGGCACAACCACTGCGGTAACAGTGTCACTCTTCCACTTGGGGTCCTGTGTACACAGAGTGAGGCCCCAGGCTTTAACAGCTTGTCTGCACAACACAACGACCACCAATGAGTATGTATGAATCGGAGAACCGCTGCACTGCAGTTTCCATAGCCGGTGTGTCAAATGAATCTCACACTCAATCAACATGTCATTTTACGTGATTCTGTTCTCGTGTGCTGGAGTACCTGGTTGCTTCACCAAGGCGACAGTGCCTAGCTATTACATTATCAAGCCCTTCTTCGTTGAGAATCATGTCCAGGGAAGCCCTGAGTCCGTATAGCATCTGGCTTGATGGAGTGTAAGGCCAATAGGTTCCCGCTTCGTAAAACTTAAGGTAATCACCCCAATCGAAGAACACGCGGGTTGACTTGGATTGCTTTGCAGCTGCAAGAGCCTTGGGACTAGCACAAACAATTCCAAGGCCGGTGGGAAGTGACAGAGCTTTCTGAGATCCAGTAAGAGCGACATCCACTTTCCAATCGTCCATGCGGAAATCAATGGCACCAATGGAGGAGACGCCATCCACCAACAACAATGCGGGGTGTCTTGCCTCATCTATGACCATCACACATCACGTTAAGAAGGATCTCCCTCAGATCTCTCAGTTGACGCAATCTAAGCGCACCCTGAGTTCTAACTTCTAGAATCAGCTGAATTCATTGATTTCGTGAGTTCATATCCTGTGATACACACTGTCTCGATCATACAACTTCTACACCATCCTAATCTTAGATGAGACATGATCATGCCTACAGATATTAGACACAAGAAGCTTACTTCGTAAACAATGCAACAAAGGGGGAGTGTGTTTACCCATAACTCTGCGAATAGCACCAATATCATTCGTGACACCAGTGGAGGTTTCGTTGTGCACCACACAGACAGCCTTCACGGAGTGAGACCAATCGGACTGCAGCTTCTGCTTCAAGTTGTCCAAATCGACACCCGTACCCCATTCACAATCAACTACATCCACATCGAAGTTGTATCGCTGCATCTGGTCAATCCAGAGGAGACTAAATTGTCCCAGACGGAAGGAGATAATCTTGTCCCCAGGTGACAATGTATTCGTCAAGGCACTCTCCCATGCTCCAGTGCCTGAGGCAACATTCAAACAACCCACGTCTGTCAAAGGAAAAGCGGGAAGATAGCCAAATTTACCATCTAGTCTTCGAGCTAGCATGACAAAATAAGCCTGTATCAACGCAAATTTGCAACAAATTGAGGGCGAATTCCTGTAACATGTAGGTTAACCATCTAGATACATCGACTTGGCAGGTGCTACAGTAGTCAGCATTATGACCCCACTATGTCAAAGACTAAATTGACTCCAATTATCACGACGCTCACTGCAGCGTAGCGAGACCAGCAATGTTTGGGGGAAGCGAGTAGCAGAACTGAAGAATTGAACCGTGTAGACCAAACAAACAGCCAATTGGGTACCTGTAGTGGGGAAGATGAAGGAGGTAGCAGTCGTGGTACGGAAGATCTGCTTCACGTCGTCAATCACAGATTTCGAGAGTTTGGGGAAGGCAGGGGAACGGTGATCCTCGTTGCTGCGGTTCATAGCCCGCAAGATGGGCTCTGGAACATTGGTCGGACCAGGCACAAACAAGTGGTTTCTTCCGGGTGCAGGGTAGTACTCCATGGCTGCTGAAACACTCACCACCACCACCACCTGGTGCGGAATCTGTCAACTGCACGTCTGATCAAGACGAAGATGGGGAGAGGAATTGTGAGGTAGATGGGAAGACTGCGCTTGATCAGGGCCAGGCGGATGTCAAGTAAGAAGCCCAAAGCGAGGTTGAGAATGTGGGGTGGCGGGGAGTCCTAAATTTTGGGATGGGGGACTTTTTTGGTGGCACTGATGAAAGTTTCAGGGACCCCGGAGCAGTTGGTTCATCCAGGATGTGAGGCCTCTATCAATTCAGTGAACCAGGACCAGAAAAAGGAACATAACGTCATCGCAGTTTCACTCTCCTTCCATGCATTTGAATTTAAGGAACTGTTTGAACCTCCGACAACTGCGGCAGGACAATTTAGACTGCTGTCACTTTGGAGATAAGAACCTTGGATTCAAGGGTTCTTGATTTTGGGGGATGGCCGTATCAGCTCCACTCCTAAAACATCGAGATATTGTTTAGAAGAAAAATTAGGTCGCTCGTTTCCCAGCTGGAATGCTCGTGACTGTGTAAAAGGAGTGGTGGCATCGGATATGACAGATGTGGAAGGAGGCCCTGATTTCATACCCAGATGAAAGTGGTTCTAAAACATTACGAAGCCGATGGACCCTTGATTTATGCTGTTTAGGGATGACATGATTTCAATCTCATTTTCCATACCCCGAATCGAATTGTGGGTGTCGTCGAATCAAAACACGTGTAGTGTATAAGATGGTTGCACAACGTCAGATGGATTTACTTCAGCGGTTTAGAAAGTAGTCAAGTTAATCAACACCGCAGCTGATTGACATACATTTCTGAGGGCGCTGTAGTCCCTCCAAACCGGTGCATTAAACTTCGAGACCATTGGCGCAATTAATCCGTAGTAATTGGCCTGGAAGTGTCAACTTTCAGTAGTACAATTCTTCACGACTAGCACCGAAATGAACGTCGTGTTCACCGACGAATGGCGAAATGGAGAGGTACCTTCTATTTAAGGAGAGCACTTTCGCATTGGATATTTATGGAAGAGAAAAAATTGGGTTTCCTGTTTTCGTTAATAAAATTCCATCTGGCACTGAAGTAAGGCAAGCTTAGATCAGCCACATAGGACCTTGAGTCACCAGATTTATGGATGAAGCACACGAGATCAATCACTAATTACCTATTAATGCATATATGATTGGAACATTTCGAAATTGATTAGCAGGGACAACGAGGATTGAATACAAAGTCTAAAATTGAAGTCATGCATGAACATGATCATGGCATCCACCCTAGATTAAGATGATGAAGGCAGTCTGCAAATGAAGAGGATCCCCGAGGGTTGATTGAAGTTCACTCATAACTACAGAGTCTCTACTAAACCAGCTACAAGTTATAGAAATAACTCTCGAGCGTGCTAAGGCTTTTTGCAAGAACAACTTTCATCCTAAATAATATAGACAAGGACCAACTCAGACCCACTAAAATGTACAAGAGAAGATCAATTGTTGGTTCAGCAGACAACTCTAAGGTCCAAGATGTGGCTTGCATCATCACATGCAAGCACAAAATCTGGAGAAACTCTACGTCATACAGAGAAGACATCAGACTAACCTGAGGTTGGATTTGCATACTGGACCTGTACGACTGATCTACGGTGAGGGTATTATTGAACATGTAAATCACCTTAGCGGCGGTCAGTTGTGGCGCCTCTTTTTCTGATTGAGAGTAGCAAAGAAGTCGTGGATATCTGCACTAGTTACCGTTCTTCCGCTTTCACCAAAAGGAGCCTGTTTGGTCATACAAAAGTCCTCCACGATTAGCCTGTGTGCGCATATCCAGCAGAATAGAGATCATACACAGAAGATATTATTAAGCGCACCAGTAAGTTATAAGATAAGAGGGGCAAGCTAATGAAAGACTAAGAAAAAACTTCTTTGCAAAAAGAACAGAGGAAATACCAGAAAGGTCTTCAATTGAGACGTCATGTCATTAAAACCATGTAGCAGCTCAATTTGTTGCACATGACCCAAGCCCTTCAACAGATCCGCTCCATCAATTTGTGCACGAGTCTCATCTCTTTTTCGTTTTGCTGAAGCTTCATAGGCCTGCAGTGCATATAGCAAATACAAATGTCGCCAAAGCTCCTAGGTTGAGATGAGTTTACAGAATGACAAAATTGGAGTTATGGTGTTCGCTAGAACATATGGAGCACAACAGAGCATTACTGAACCCATAGCAAATAACATCGAGAAGAAACACACCTAGAGAACTGACTCAGCGGACCATGTAAAAATTCAATAAAACTGTATCTATAGGCAATACCTGCAACGTATCATCTGAGTCCAAAAGGAAGTCAACCGCCCTTTCTGAATACATTCTCAAGCAGGTTGGACACCGACAAAGCTGTGTCCGCCAACTCCTCAACAGAAAGAGTGGCTGCCCTGGTTGTATAATTGCAGTTGGACCTTCATTCTTCATCCCACAAGGATGCCCATAGACAGCATCCTCATTTGCAACAAGCTCATTTTTTGTTGACTGATTCTCTTGCTTTATCACACTATCCTCTTTAGTTTCATTTGAGAGCTCTTGCAGTGCAGAATCCACTTGGAGAATCCCGTTCTCCTCTGGAACCTCACGCTTTCCATTCTCGATGCCTGTCCACAAGCACAAATGATAATGTTGATTGATAATGTAGTTGTACAATGATACATTATGTGGATGAATTGGTGAAAAGGAGTTGTTGCAATAACGCCGTGGCCGCAATGTTGCTGGTGATCGCATACCTGATCCATTCGCCTGCTCAACAATCTCCACATGGTCTGCAGATGCATCTGGTACAGCTGAGGGTGCTACCACAAAATTTGGGTACTTAAAGAGAAACGGGCATTGGGGAACACAAGACTTGCATATGAGCTCATCAAAGGTGGGTTCTCCTTCCTCGTCTCTTGGAAACTGCAACAACCATCCAAGTTTTTTCAGACGACTGATAGCTGAATGAAGCATATATTAGCAAGACGATGTCGAAACGGTATTACACTACCCAGTCGGCTAAGGCAGATGCGTATGGGTTGCAACAAAGCACATATATTTCCAGTATTAGGTTTTGACGATGAAACCAATGCTCAATCTCGACACTTTCATGTCACGAAAAATGTAACAGCCTAAATCTGGAGACCACCATCATCATCCTAGATAAATTTTTACACAATGCGAGTAGAACATTCTCCTCTCTTGATTTAAATGACACAAGGTGAATCGAAATTTGTCGGCATATTACGATTTCAAATACTGTGACTAGATTCGAATATAGCACATGGGATTATGTACTGATCTCATCCGAACAATTCTGCAGAAGGAAATCTCATCAACATTACAAATGTATCACAAAAATAACCAAATTAACAAAGGCCGTGCAGACCTGAAGAGTAGGTGGAAGTCCAAGATGCAATTCGTGAAACCAATCCTCACAAATGCAACATTGAAGCATCTCGCCTAGAGCTTCTCCTTCAGGATCTGGATGGACACGATGGCATGTACAATAAACTCCCTTAAAATTCTGGTTGTACACGTTTTCTGAGTTAACAGTCTCTTTGTCCGCCTGCAGCTTGCACATACTCTGCCCATACTTCGAGTTTCCACAATCGCACCGAAAATGTCTTCTAGTCCAGAGCTCTACTACCTGCAATAGAAACACCATTTCAATGAAGGATTATTTAATTGAATTATTCCATTAATCGGCAGAAATGTCCAGGTTAGATTGCATACAGACCTGGAGCACATACAACACAAAAAAATCACAACTTCATTGGAGTGGACTGTAGGCAAGAAAACATCAGTACGATGACGTAACATTACGAGTAGTGAACTAATCTACGTCGGGAATAGATTCTTGCAACTTGACAGAGAACTGTGCTGAAACTGACGCATTTACTAAATGGGAGCGGTGAAACGCCCCAAAGCATCAATGAAGGGTGCTGGAGGTTGTACAGAACATACTTCGTGACCATCGTGGCAAGCTAAGGAGCACGCAGTGCAGAAACCTGCGTCACCATTGGGCGTACACGTGAGGCAAGAAAAGACTGCCTGCCGTTTCATGTAACCCTGGTTGTAAGTGCACTCTTTTCCTTCATCTCCACCTAGAACCAAGTCTGCTTCCTGCAATGAGTCCAGACTGATCATCAGATTACAAAAGGAAATGTCTTGCCTCAATACACGCTGATACATATTAAAGCATGCTCATGATGCTCCTGCTTAATCTAGGATGAGTCTGCAGGGCTTGATTTATGCACCTTGCGTTGGAATTTCACAATCTGAGTAACGAGTTGCAGGGACTCATAGCCAAGGGTGGGTACCAGATGAGTACCGTGTACAGCGCTTTCAAGCCAACTTTTCTAAGCAAAATAGCTATATACAATCTGGGCATCTGACATTAGTGCTAAGGACGACCACTCCTGCATTCTCCGACAGCCATCCAACCCTTGAGGAAGACATAACACGAAGGTATCCCCAAACCCCAAACGGTTCAGACAAATACAATCGAATAAAGAAACCAAATATTCACATAAACAATTCAGACAACTGCCAATAACACCGAATGCATCCCTCCCCGAGACAGAGACAGAGGAAATAATTTGGACACACAGGGAGATAACCCACCATATATGCAACAACTCTAGCACGTTATCTCCGAGTGAATTATCAAGATGAGAGAGCATGAAACCCTAGTTGGTGTCGTGCCCATGACCCTACCTTGCCGTCAAGATTCTCAATGTTCGAGAGGAACACTCAATCTCTTCGACACAACAACTATATTCCAGCATTATCAATTTTGCTATCTGACACATAGCCCGGCACTGAAAAGCGAATTACCACGCTTGACAAAAAAAAACAAATTGACATGCAAACAAAAGCTATAACTTCCTAAAAGACACCCGGTATACAAAACCCATCAGCAGGAAGGTCTATACAGGCAAATCTGAGAGAAACACACAACATACCAGTTCCACCTCCTCCACTCTGGCCATGTACTCATCCAAAGTACTGACATACTCCTCACCGTTCTCATCACCGTCAATTTCAACCATCTCCAGACCGTGATATTGCCAACGAATTCAGAACCGCCACGAAATCCCACCGCACGTACTAACTTCAGTTGATCCCGCTAATCGAGTGCAAGACAGGAAATAGATATATGAGGAGAGTGCGGCAGAGTAAAGACAGAGCCGTTTGCTACTCCCGCCAATATTGTTTCTCATACGGGATATGTATACGAATGGTGTATGTATTTTTATACATACATAGAGATACGTCGACACATGCTGGGTTCGGGGGTTAGGATGTTGTGTTTCTTGTGGTCCCCTGTTTTACATACTGTTTTGTACACATTGTTTCTTGCAGGAGTCTCAGATTTCACAGCTAAGACCACTGCATGAGTTCTGAAAATATTTTCATGATGTGTAGTCAATAACAGAAAATATTTAATTCCGGGATCATTCTAGGATTCATGAATAAAACGTTGTATTGAATTAGGGCATTGTTGACTTCTTTTTGATGAACAAGAGAAATAGATCAAGATAGGAAAGTAGGGACTTAGATAGTTTATCGAGGTTTACTACATTTTTGCAAGTGTCTCTCATTGAATTTCTTCGTGCTAAAATGTGCTGCTGATGTCTATGCATAAGAAATGCGATCCGACATTGATTGAAGCCTGCGGTTCAAGACAGTGAGAGCGGTGGTTTTGGAAATGGAGGTAGACAAGCCGTGTGGAGAATTCTCAAAAGAAGAACTGCGTAGACAGCTTTACACTTCTTTGCAATCCGCTGGCGTTCTGGACTCTATGAAGGTATGTTGTCTCCTTTTCATGTATTGGACTCATCAACCAAGGAGCGCAGCGACCTAGTACTAGCAAACAGCAGGGCCATGAAGTAGCCCTAACACAAGCTTCCGAAGAAATGCAAACGTATAGACGTTTCATTTTATTTTATTTATTTATTTTTTTTTTCTATATTTATGCCCTTGGTGAACGGTCCTGGATTTGTATCCACTCGAAATGAAAGCCCGATGTCTTTATTGTAGTTTTTCTATCTCTTCACTGAAGTGGTTAGATTGTTCAAATTCTCTGGAGGAAATTCTATCGTCGTCTTAATGCACTGCGGAGTAAAAGCAGTGCATCACGTTGTCAAAATTAATTTTCGCTTTGTGCATGGACTTAGTCCAGGTTCTTGAACAAATGTTGATAACTGGTGCGTAGGGCCAGCTGAGAGCTCGCCTGCTTGAACACTTGAGGCACAGCAATGGAGTCTCTATTGAGCCAAAGAAGAAGCAGTCGAAACCTTCCTTAACAGATAGACTGCTAAGCAGCTTGTTTCTTGATTATCTGGAATCGAATAGGTTCACCTTCACCATCTCTATGTTCATGCCTGAAAGTCAAATGGCCTCATGGCCGCCATTCTCTTACGAAGAGATGCTGGAGCAATTACACTTGGATCCCTCCTCCGACCTACACGTTCGTCTGAAACTTGTATAGTATTTCTGGCCTTGCATCTTCGAAATCCTCACACATATCTCCATGGTTGTGATTTTGTGCTCTGCAGAACACTTTTTTGCTGTCATTCTGGATCTCCTTCATATGTAATGAATTGCAACACTACTCTAAAAATGTGGAATGATTAGATCTTGACGTAACAGCAAATACATGGATCAGCAGGGCGGAGAGGAGAGAGAGTGTCTAGCGCGCCAAGTAGTGACGTTGTTACAGCAATTGGCCCAGCGTAGTTGCATTCAGGATGTTTCGACGCAAACTTCCCCAGCCGAAGTTTCCAATCAAGCTACACGAACCTTCACGAGTCCTAAAGAACTTGGTACAATTTCTTGGGACTCATTCCCAGTTGTTACTCGTATTGCTAGCAGTATACAATTTCATTTCTCGCTCATTACGTCTGAGAATTTACTTTGTGCTCATTACCTGTAGTTTCTTTATATCGAACTTTACTTGATTGCTTAAGGCTGCATACTTTTTATATGAATGATTTTGGGAAAGTGCAAATACATCGCTTGGACAAATCAGCCTGTAGTAATGTTTCAACAATTTAATTAGCTTTACTGTTGATACTCATAGATTCTTGAGAAGCATCCGTGAGAAGGAGTCTCAAGTCGAACCTCCAACGTCCATAGATCTCATCAGGAGTAGTAGAATGAAATTATGATTCTGTTACCCCCATGATTTCATAAGGCGTGCCCCGAAAGTAATAGATTCTTCCTAATTCGATTGATATCCATAAGAATAGCTTCACAATCAATGATCTTTTCAATCTTCATCGTCTGACACAGAGAGGTCGATAAAGGAAGTTGAAGACACATACACTAGAAAGAGGGAAGCGCTTGAAGATCAGAGAATGTTACCATATCGTTCTCTTGAGGCCAAGATAAATGTTCTACATCAAGAGTTTGATGCCCGAGTGAATGCAGAGGTGGTATTGCAGGTTCGAGACCTTCTTCCAGTATTCATAGTCGTGAAATTTGATCATGAACAAGAACTATATAATTGCTAACTGCACAGCACAGGTCTAACAACCAAAAGAAGTAATTATAATTAGATAAGTGCCTCATCGATATTCATGAACTGAACCTTGGTCTCAAACTATACAAACTATTTAAAATAAAAATACATACAGCTCCTTCTCACAGTCCTTCGACGATCTTCAGGTAAGTCGTATTCGAGATTATGAGATAAATGCTGCAAGAATGGATGAGGCTACACGTTACCGCAGGTTTGTGCTCTCCAGTTTAATTAACATGTTGCTAGTTTAGAACCCACGCCATAATTGATATGTTTCCACCTGGTTGCCGCTCTTGAAGGGTACTGCATTAATACTTGAGAAATGTGAAAGATTCTATTTTTGAAGGAACAGGGTACTCCTTCGTGTTTATACCTGACTCCTCTGAGTACAGGCAATTGGCTAGAGATCGAGAGGAGTTGGAAGATATTCACAAGTCCCGTATGGACCGCGTAAAGGCTCGTGAAGAATCTCTGCTTGGGCGTGTGCTGTCCAAAGAAAAGGTTGTACTTTGTAATTCCTCCTAAAATGCTCGGTCAGATTCATTTGCCCATCCTTGTTGTATGCTTACATGATTGATGAATGTCTACCTTCGAAAAGTCATCTGACAAGGATCTAGTGCACAATACAGGCTATTGAAGCATCAGCGTATGAGCAACGTCAAAAAATACTGACCGAAATTACCAGTCTCCGGGAACGCGAGAACAAGCTTAGACAGTTTAAGGAGTCGCAGGTTGAGCCTACAAATTCAAAAGATTAAATCATGTAGAACTCCATCGTGTCATCTTGCATTTCCAACTGATCATGATGGTTGAGTATTGTTAGTTTTTGTAAATTTCAAGTACTATTTTGATAGTGTGGACATGTAAGCAGGAGAGACGCAAGGAAAAGTTGGACGAGCGGGAGCTGTTGCTAAAGGCTAAAGAAGAGGAGGTGGCGTGTGAGCGCAAAAGTCTTTACGACCAAGCTGACAAATTAGCAACTTCGTTTGTCACTTTTCCTTTCACAATGGCCATAGGAGCTTTTGATACATGTATATAACTTTGCGTTGTGATCGAAGTAGAAAGTGACACATATCAATCTAAGGAGTATCAAGTATCATAGAGAAAGATCACTTTTGAAGTAACTAGTAGTGTACGGTATTTCATTTAATTTTGGTCAAATAAGGTTCTGGATGGCGAATGACGTGCGAGTTCTTTTCGCGCTGAAGGTCAATCATGATTTGGAAGAGAAGTTGAGCATAAAAGAAAAACTATATATCTAGACTTAAATTTGTAGATTTTCAGAATGAGCGTTACATTGTAGTCAAAAAGGGTATCAATTGGAAAATATTCTTTTGTTGTTAACCGTTCTGGTATTATAGGAGGAGCAAAGAGCTGGAAGAGCAGTTTAGGGAACTCTGTGATCGTCTCCACCATGATCGAAATGTTCTTGAAGGTACCTGATCCTTAACCTAATAAAACTCTGCCTGGCTCGTTCTGAAAGTTATACTCTGAGTGTTTCTTGGCACAGTTTCTAATCTTGCAAAGTGGAAGGAGGATCCGCAACCTTACATTGTGCAAAGTGAACTGGTTTGTTAGCTCTGGATTACATTACGTGTTGATCGCGTATGTATGACGTATGAACAGCTGAACGAGAGCAGATGAAAGAGGAAAAAGTTGCCATGGCTATTGAGCTTGCGGCGACAAAGAGTGAAAAGGAACTTATACAAGCGCTTCACCGTCGCTTGAGTATAGACGAGGATCAGAGGTTGAATAAAAGCAAGATCATTAGAGAGGTTTCTCTACCTCATACTTCGATCGTCTAACTCTTTCTCAACATCCGTCATTGTTGTACTATAAATTCACGTAATCACACCATCTGCAGTTGGAGGAGAAAGTGAAGCATTTAGAGGAGATAACAACGCAGAAGATTTCTGTGGTCAACATTCCAGATCAGCGGTTTGTGTGGTTGCACCTTCCAAAATAACACGTGTTTTTCAATTGTTCATTGAATTCTGTTATACATTGACGGTGGCTGAAGTAGCACAATGTCATTCAATATGTTTAAAAATTATGGTCCCCATCTTGATAATTAGAGACCCCATAACCCTTGAGATGTTAAACTATCTGTGTACTTGTAATGTGATCATGACTTACTGAAGCTTTGATTTTGTTCCTTGGGCCCTAGTTTCAGCTTGGAGGAGCAATTGCAGGAAATGCAGGTTAAGCTTGAGCAAGAACGACTACAACGAGAACAGAGCGAGAAAGCAAACAAGACACTTGAGCACAAATTACAGCAAAAGGTCAAACTCGTTTGAAATAGTCGTTATAATAGTTGGTTAGAAATTTAGATGTCAACTTGAAATTTTAGTCCATTAAGTAGCTAGATAGCTGTATCATTGTTTCATTATCCTGTATATTAAGTCACAGCTTCAGAGGATAGGGTAATAGAAATAGAAGGGTTTTAATTAACAGCATCTTGTTATCTACATGTTAGATGAGTGCCTTCATCCTTTTTACTAGGCATAATGGTCTGAAAATGGTCTTGCTCGCAACAGGAAATGAAGCTACAGCTCTTAGGGGCTGAAAAAGAGAAGTTGACAACTAGGCACAAGAAACTTCTCCTGAAGATTAATCAACTTGAGACACTCATTAAGAACGCTGTATTCTCTACATACACATCGTCCTTTTCAACAATTCTTACACCACACATTCAAAATGCTTATTTTATGAATAAATTCAATTAAAAGTCAAATAGAATAATTTTGATACTCAAGATGCATTCAACTTCAGTTGGTATTGGTTGTAAATGTAGCAAGAGGAGAAAGACCACGCAATCCATGATTTAGAGGTACTTGGAAATCACCAAATGTCCCTCAACAGAGAGGTTCTTGAAACCACCACGCCCTTGAGAAAGGCTCAACAAGGTACAAAATGTAGTTGCAAGCCTCCAAGTATCCACTGCCTGATAATCTGTGCAAATTTTTTATGTGCATTGCATAAACGTCCTCATTCCGGGATAGGTTTTAGATAAGAGTTATGCTTATAGAGCTCACATTTCTCTTATGTATTTCTAGTATGAGGTGGCTAAACTTTGTTTTTCTATAGCTCTAGAGGCTGAGCGATTGGAACATTGTGCACTGCGGTCCCATGTGAACGCTGGTATCCCTTCTATCAGGTCTGTTCAGTTTTTGATTCCAGCAGAAATTTCATTAAAAAAGATTCTCTACCCTGTTTCACCTAGCATTTATGTAGGTCACTTACCTAGCTATCTTACCACGTTAACCTATATGAATCGCGTAACCATCAATAAACAGTAATAATAACAGCTCATGCCCGAAGTAAAATAGGTTCCAGCATGTGAATGCTGATCAAATCAAGCACAATAGGTCATCACATGAATTCTGTTAAGAAATAATTTATGTGGAAACTGGTGTATTAGTTCCTGTAGTATTCAATGTCACAGCTGATCACATGTAAAATTTTCGTTTTACTGCTTCTTGGTAATCGTTTGATGAACACAATTCATGTTTGCAGTGTGGCTCCTGAAAGACAATTTGCCTCTGAAGCCAAAATTGAGCTTAACAATTACTCATTCGACCAAAATTTAAGTGCCGATGATGACTTGAGAAAGAAATGGGTATCCTCTCGAAAGGTATTGTTCGTTACCCAGGCACTTGAAATTTTTCGGATTAGACTGATTATATTTTCTTTTCCGATTACTTGTAAGTGAAGGTGCCGTGACAATCTTTCATTTATGTTCAGTATCCATTGAATGTGAAGTCTACTTATCGAACATTTTGAACATTTTGCCGATCATCTAATGTGCTCTCACGATTTCGCAAACAGAAGCCAGACAGAGAATCACATGATTTGTGGACGCAATTGCTTTCAGAAAATGCAGCCAAGAAAGCTGCTCTTGATAAGGATCTTGATGGCATGCCAGTCAATCATGTCCCAATATCCACAATGTCAAAGTCGTTCTCTTCAGGTAAGTTTCCTTCCTCAGTTCATGTGTAGCAGATTACTTTCTCTGATACATATTTATACATAAATATTCTCAAATGAACACGCTTTGTTACAAACTTAACAGTAACTCTTTCATGGTCTTTTAATAATTCGCTAATAAGCACATTGGACATTTTATGACAGTCAAGTGTTTTTGATGCTGTGATATGACATTCATAACATGCCAAATTACTCCTTCAGGGTATAATTACCCGATTTTGGAGTTTCATGATCACGGCTTACTGAAAGAACCAAACTATGGAGGGCATAAGGATGTCACACTGAGTCAGACTGTTGAGACAAGAAATCAATCAGACCATGACACTAGGAAACTAAGCAGAACTAGGACTAGGTTTTCACCAGAGCCAAGCACTCTGAGCACTGAGGAATCGCGGTGGGAAATGAACGATGGAGCCAGAATCCTTGATCCAAATGACATGAATGGCTGCAGATCCATTACTTTTAAGAAAATGAACGCTGAGAAAGGAGGTAACACATCAGCTACCGAAGCGGAAGTGCTCATGGAAACTGGCATCCTTGACGAATTTTTTACGAGATCTTGGGATCCAGAAAAGTACGATGAGAGCAGCTACGAGGATGCAGTTCCTAGCTGGAGGAAGACATACCGCTCAGACAATAAAAGGTATGCTGGCTGGAACAGCGGCTACGAGGAATCAATGGGCAATCTGCGGAGCGTGGTCACAAACCTCGGGAATGATACAAGTGAAGCCGACATTGGTGTTCTTAGCTCTAGTAAAGCTCTAAAAAACGCATGGAACCACAGCCATGACCACAGCCCCAGGTGCTCAGATAGCATTCTTCATTGGGAGATAGCGAGCCACCAATGGGAAGAGAAACCGCCAGCAATTTGTGATTATCAAGAGTTGTTGAGCGGTGTGAATGGCTTCCAAATCACCTCCGGGAATCAATGTGTAGATATTCTAGAAAAGAAAACCCCTAACATTCAGAATATAGAAAGTAAGATATTTTGTTTAGAATCAAAACAAGAGACCGATAACACTACAAGCCATGATTTTGTCAATCGTGATTGCGTTGGGGACGAAGACACATTGATAGTACGGAGTATCACGGTTGTTACTCATACACAAAAAGTCAATGAGCACATAAAAAGTCAAGAAAGAGGAAGTTCTCGGAGTCTATATTTGGGCGAAAAGGAGGAAAACACAAGTGATAACCTGGAATCAGAGGAAGACTCGAGTCGAGATTCATTTTCGTGTAAGTGTATGTCGAGTTTGAAACATGACTTAGAATCATTAGAGGAAATTTCCATGCGCGATGATAGTATGCCACAAACAGGTTCTCATATCAGGTTTGACCAGGAGCAACCTCTTGATTACGCATTTGAGGGGCTCCCTAAAAAGTTGACAATGATGCCTGAGATGAGTAGCGAGCTATCACTGAGCCGGTCAGGTGAGATTGTGGGCAACATTAGTGAGATCATAAATTTTGAAGAGGACAAGACGAGTCAAGAAAATCGATCAACTGAGGAAAATCAAGGAGAAACGGATACAACAGATAAAGTTCAGCTACTCCTAAATCAATCAGTGTCGTGGGATTCGCTTGGAGGCGATGAGCTCATGAAGCTGTCGAAACTACCTCTTCATGACACGCACACAATTGAAAACTCAAGGACCTCTATCGTAACGAGAAAGCAGGAAGTGCTGGTTGACCAAGAAAGTACGAGACTTACGGATCGGATGAGTGGTCTCAAAAATCATCCAATTCTTGCGCTGGCCATAAGGAACAATCAAATAGTGAAACTTGGACCGCAAAATGAGTTTCAGAATGGAGAAAAGGCCAACTCGATCATCGGCCAAAGTGATGCAGAAGTTATGAGCAGCAATTCTGCTACTGATGAAAAGGAGTGCTGCTATGTGGTAGGGCCAGAAGTTGACGAAAAGATTTTCATACCAGATGCACCAGACCCTACTCACACTCCATCTTCACTGAGAAAGCCCCAAACAAGTAGTGAAGAGTCGACCTACAAAGGTGACAGCTTTGAGGATGAAGAGAGCGAAGTCGACCAAGAACAGGCTTACTCTGAAGAAAGCTGTACAAATATGAGTATGAGGATGTCGAGTGTACAAGCTCCAGATGTACTTGCTCTAGAAACGAATGAGCAAGCCTCCCTCAGAACCAATACCAAGATTGAAGGCAATGAAGGGTCTTCAGAGAACTGGGAGGGCGAGTCAGAACAAAGCTCGTACAGTATAGAAGAGGACGACGCGATAACGGATTCAGTCGAGTGGCTCGACACACACGTGACACAAGAAACAACTCAATTGATGATCCACCAAGTAGCAAACAAATAAACAGAGTTCCTTTGAAGCACATTTTCCTACATCAGACAGAAAGTAACTTGACAAATACACCAGCAACAAAACCTGTTTCGATGACTAGCAACAACTGTCCTTCCTGGTCTTTCCAAAGAGTTAAGTTTTTCGCCTCCACGTAAAGAAGAGGAAAAAATAAAGTAAGTCAAAATAGCTAGAGCTGTTGCTCAATGTAAGACTGGTGCAGCAAGACCTTCAGGCGAAAAGAATTACGCAGAATGTGAATCGAAGCAGCATAACCAGCATTACTCCGCAACTGTTTCTCGCTTCGTCAAAGACCACTAGTAAAAACAGACGCAAATAAAGCTGCACCCAAACAGGTAATGCAGCTGTTTCAAAGTATGATGTGGGATTCCAATGCACGAGTGTGAAAATCTGAATTTAATGTAAACAGGCAGAACCGCCGAACATGATACAAGAATGTTGAGCATGACTGATCATGTTCCACATTGAAAAACCGAAACCAAACGATTCGGCATAAGCCCATCATATAGTAGAGGCTAAACGTTGATTGGTCAGTCAGGTAGAGCAGTCCCACGCTCCAGGTTGTTCTTAATTTCCACAGTGTATTTTCCAAATGCTCTTTCGATCTTGCGATTGAAATGCTCATTCCGATCATTAATAGAGTCGATATCCCGTTCATCATGAAATTTACGACGCCGACTGAACTCCTTCCGAGCTTTCCCTCTTTCATCCAGTTCTTTCACCATCCTATCAATGTTCTCTTCCGGTACCTCAACTTGCTGAACAGAAAAAGGAATCACAAATTAAATATCAGTAGTGACTCGCAAAATACTCCGACATGCTCACCATCAAGTGAATTCACGTGTAGGCATCATTGTCATCAATATTGATTCAATGCAAAATAATAAATAAATAAATAAATAAATAAATAAAAGGCTGGTGTATGAGAGAGTGCGACGTTTTCACTCATGCAAAAGTTGACATAACAAGACAGACCTAAACACAACACAAAATGTTACTTGAAGTAGTAATAAATAATAGTCATGACGGTGTTATACGGCGGTAATTCAGTACCTTTCCATACTGAAGACTAGCCCCATCACGGTAAAAGTCGGGATCTGCTTCACGTGCTTTCGCGTATTCCTCAGGATTCACTACGATATTTTTCGTCCGTTTTTTATACCCATTGTACAAGGATTTTTGATTGAACACTGCCAGAAGATAGCAAATCGGTTCAGCCACACTGAAAACTCATGCTATTCCACTAAAATTGTTTTAAAAAACTAGCTCGATGACACCTTGAATAACAATATTCGCAATAAGAACAGAATGTATGAAGCTTACCGTCCCATCCAAATGGTGCAGGTTTCTTTTCCCACTTCTTGTACTTGCCCTCTGCATCTTCCTGAGTGTCCAGCATGTAAGCCTTGGACATATCGAGACCATTAGCTTCTAGTTGCTTTCCTACCTTTCTCTTCTTCTCCTCAAACCACTTCTGCTTAGAAACACCTCTAGTCTCTTCGGGGGCATCCTCACGTTTCTTCTCGGCTATTATCGCAAGCTGATTATCTTTCCGTGCCTGGTTCTGTGCCAAAAAACCGATGTCAGCATTAGCAAATGCGAGGATAAACGCGACGGCTCCAAATCATAAAAAAGATATACTCAGTTGTGAAAACTGGACTAGCAGAAGATATTGAAAGTGACTGCGTCACACAAACAATCTGGAAGCACCTCTAACAGATATGAAACATTTCTGAATCGTCGAGAACCAAAATCGATCTGAAAAAGACGTTTCTTACCTATGTAGAGCTTGTGAGTATCTTAAAACATCGCTGAAATAGCAGAAACATACTTACCAGCTTCAAACGCAAGTCAAATAGCTTTTTTTGGGTGGGAGTCATAGCGGCATAGGCTGCCGGGTCAATTCCTGAATCCTCTGGTTCATTGACTACAACGGTAGTATTCTGTTCTGAGACCTCCGACTCAACGTTGGCCGCGTCATTCCCTGAATGTCGACCTCTAAGAATTATCCTAGGTTCAGCTTCCTTTCCAAATGATGTAGGTAGTTCCGCATCTGACAGTTTCACTGCAACAGCAGAATTCAGTAACCTCCATAATCATACATGAAAAACTCTAAATACGAAAACGAAGAAACCTACAAGGCTACAAACTATGCTAAAGCGGCAAAATAAAAATAAATAAAAAATAAAACATTCAGACTGAGAAAAATTCGAATCCACACACCTGAGCAACCCATGCTACAAAAAAATTGTTTTAAAAACATATAAATAGAGCAATTTACTGAAGCGAAAACCCTAAACTGAAAAAAATTCCGGCTAGGGCTCAGTTTGATTTAAGAAAAACCAACTCTGCTCAATCTACTCCAAAGAATTACCATCAGCTGCAGCAACAGCACTGTTAGATGTGCGCCCTTCTGCGATCCTCCGATAGCAGTACTCGCTGCACTCATGAAACGGATTCCCTGAGTTTATGCAAGTCGGGTGCGCCTTGGGAGCCACGGCTGTCGCCATGTCCACTTCCGAATACAAACAAGCAGCACGAAACTCAACCGTCCAGTCCACCAAAAAACGCAACAGGCACCTTGATTTTCCTCACGACAAATATCAACAATGTGGTGAGCCTATTTGCAAGTCACGCTCCCGTACTAACTAACTCCACCATGGTGAAATAATGCTCTCATCGTAATGCTCATCGTAATGCACAGCGCTTGATGCAGCAGCCCACGAAGTGTACTACCACAAGATCCTCCTCCGAAGAGACCCTAAAATTGGAGAAGCTCCAGCGAGCGACGTTGCGAGACTGTTACCCTGTGCTACAATACAGACGCTCAAAGGAAAGGGCTCATTGCTCCAGCATTCTTTGCTGCGGTCACGGGCCCGGGGAACTGAAGACCGCGCTTGGGAGGACTGAAGACCGTGCTTTTGGTCCGGGGTTTAGGGTTTAGGGTTTAAAATTTCCTTTTGATTTGAAAAAAATTTAAAATAGATATTTTGATCATTTCTAAATTATGACCACTGAACTAAAAACTTACACATAAATATAGGAAAACTAAGACATAAATTTAGAATTTTTTTCAATATACCTTCAATCAAATTGTCATTTATCATACCTCTATAAAATAAAATTAAATAAAATTTTAAAAAATGTAGACAAAAGAGAGATATTTTTTAAGTATATTATTGAAATTGTATAACAATGGAATATACGAAATACATGTAAATAGGAAGAGTGTTTACTTTTAATTAAAATTTATATCCAATTTTTTATTTTTTTATTTTTTTATTTAAAAACAATATATAAGATCATCAACAAATATACATTAAATGAAATCATTAAAAATTGATTATTTTTTAAGAAATTAAGTATATTAATTAAATTATTATAATAACAAATTTTTTTTTTTAGAATTGACCTTTAAACTTTAAATACAATTTTTAATAAAAATAAATAAAAATAAAAAATTGATAACAAGAAATAATATAAAAAAAATTGAATATTATGAAATAACTACAAAAATCAAATGTTCTATATTGGCTTCATTGTTGTATAACTTCGTTAAGATTTGATTATCTTTATACTTATATTTTTTAATATACAAAATACAAAATAATTTATTTGATGTAAATAATTTATTTTAAATTTAATGATTAAAAGATTAAAATTTTAAAAATTTGAATAACGCATTTTTTATATTTGAAAGTTAGAGCATTTATATGAGATTCTAAAAATAATGCAATGTTTGTGATTTACATTATATGTCTAAATATTTTTACTGAAAAGACCATTAGAAATTTATATACTTGATACTCTGACTTTAAGATGTAATTAAGAAGAAAAATTGTCACATGTTACAAAAACATTACATATATAATTATAATATCAAATTGTAATAAGAATTACAACATCTATTTTGACCATTTTATAACTTTTTAAAGATATAAATGCAGTTACAAGAAAATATTGATGAATCTGTAACTTAGAATCTATTCAATATTCTACGTTGTCATCAAAAAAATCTATTTTATTTTTCAAGAAGCAAGATAGATTACTGTGGATATATAATCCATATCAAGTAAACGAGATATTTGCAAAAAAATTATCTATTATTATTGATTTAGAATTATAAAAACAAATTGAGAAGAGAAGGTCATTATTAAGATAGATTTAAAATGTGCTTATAATGTTGGGCAAAATAAAAGAAATAGATCCAATAAAAGAAAGTAGTTTATATAAGATTTAGGTCTTTATGTTTTTAAAAATCATGAGTGCACTTTTAAATTTTTAACATAAAATATATGATATTTTTTTGAGTATGATTGAAAAAATTGTAATAATTTGTTTAGGTGATATTGTCATATATTTAACGAATAAAGAAGATTGCAACTCGAATATACAGTTGATATTAGAGAAACTATGAAATCAAAGACCATGCGTCAAATTAGAAAAATTATATTTTTTATCAACATTTATTTGAAGGTTGTGATTATCTTACATTTTTTGAAAAAAATCAGAAATCTAAAGCAGACTCAATTCACTTTAGAATAAAAAATATATATCAATTAAATGTAAGTATAAATATAATATTTTTCAGAATGTATAAATTGATATAAAGTTCTTCAAAATTCTAAAATCTTAATTAGATTAATAAAATTTACAGTAAAAATAACTTGCATCATATGGGATAATAAAAGAATTTTTTTCATTTATATTAGTAACAATATACTCAATTCTAAAATATATTGTTATTATAAATACAAATGCTTCCAAATACACACTTGTCTTAGTGATTTTTTAAATGACGATACAAGCATACGTTGGTCTAAGCACATTGTTTTCAAAATATTGTGTTGCAAAATCATGTATAAATTTACAATTAAAGTATCTTTAATGATAATTGATATTTTTGAGGAATTTTTCTATTAATTCAACACACAAAAAAAACGTATACATTGGAAAAAATTGGAGTATTTTATAAGTGCAAAAAACTTGAATTGACAATATATTAGATAAAATATGACATTATTTTGTTTTACTTTGTGACTAAATTATGGCTTAGAAACATCCAACAAACAGAAAATTTTCTTTTTGTATATCAAATTTGGCATCTAAAGAAAGCAATCTGGTGTGGAATTGATTAAACAAACAAATAAAAATAACTGCTTCAAGAAGAATACAAATGAATTTGTGTCAACTTCTAGAACGGCACTGTTTCATAGTTGATGCAGTTCCAGTCATCGACATTTCACAATGCCAGAACAACTAAAATGGGTGCGTCATAGCCACACCAGACTGCAGTTTTTGACAACAATCATGAAACTACCGCAAAAAAAAAAAAAACAAAACAAAACAAAACAAAAAAACCGAACCTCAATCATTCAAACAATTTTCTGCTGTTTTTGGGATCATTCTACAACCGAGAATGATCAGATCTGTCGACGATGTATTGACCTGGTTAAAAAAATCGTTTGTGCAAGCTCACGTAAGTAGTTTTGTTCCAGACAAGTGAGTTTGTGAATCACTGATTGTGGTGTCGGAGACGATACATTGCAGCTTGGTGGTCAGAGCTCAGGTTCTTCTTAGCACCCAGGACAGCAGCCCTTGCTGGTCTTGGCTCCTTGGCCTGCGCAGCCTGCACATCCACCAACAACCCCACTAGTTTCTAATCGCTTGCTTGATCCCTAGACTTTATAAAACCCAATTGCTTTTTGTTGATGCATCGTGGTGAATCTTATCGAGTATTTTGAAAGAAATCAGTGATGCTCACCGAAGTATCTGTAAAAGCCGTATCGTGAAGTGGGGGGCAGTACATTCGCTTGGGTGGCGGCGTGTGAAGGGCTGCAATTATTCTCCTGCTTGATACAACTCCTCGGAGCCGGTGGACATATTTGTGGTCTTGCTGGTGCGAATTCACCTCCCTTAACTATTGAGCTGTTCCCCCTGCAAGGTGATTTCTAAGCTTGCCTTAGCCTGAATACATCGTAACCCGGGATATTAACTGTCGGTACTGTGAGTAGATAGTGTTGGTTTAACTCACTGTGTAAGATTTGAGGATCTGAAGTGAAGGAGCAGTCGATCGATGTTTACCCAGAAGAATGCACCGGCCGCCCAATCGTGTCGGCTGAGCCAAAGGTGGTTTTGGGTGTAAGGCTGAATTGATGCGCCAGTCGAGGATGGTGGGATCTGATGTGGTCTTCTAAATACTCGGGTTGGAGTTTTTTACCGCAGTCCCAAGCTTGAGACGAGTTTAGAAATCCGGGATGTTGAGCGGATGGAGACTCGCATGGTATTCCCTTTGCACACGCTTCAAAGCAGCATGGGCCTGCATGCAAGACATTGACAGCGAGTCTCCACCATTTTTATACTAAGAAAGAAGTTAATCCACAATTCTACGTCAATCCAGACGAGCAAAGCAGCGTGTATTCACCCCTTCTTCCGTGAATCCCCTGATTCGCCTTCACACCTCCGAGATTGACCATTTCTAAGCACGCCTTAGCCTCTTTGAGTTCTTCACTCAGCTGCGCTGCTCTTCTGTCGCATTCATAATGCAGTTCTTTCTCCTTACGATCCTGCTCAGTCGATTCTATCATCTTCAGATTTAGAAAGCCCTGTCTTAACCATGTGCTTTTGGAAACCAACAATGCGAGAAAGATCATTGCAACCAGAGATGGAGCATAAAGAATGCTATACATAACCTCGGGTGTGATAGAGCTGTAAAATGCTCCATACTGTCCACTTGTTGTTTGATAGCACCAACTTTTGTTTGGTTTTGTGTCGTGGATAAGCACTGCTCAACCAGCAGTTCAAACATGTTGGCAATCCTACACTCTGTCTTGATAAACTCGTATGCCATCAAAGCTGTTTGATCACCAGTAGAAGAATCGCAGAGAAGGGGTAAGCAGGTGTTCGATTTACCCATCGTTGCCAAGTTAAGCCACGACAGTCTGCTTTCTTACTCTCCGCAACTATACAGTCTCGCGAAATGTTCCATCGCCTCTAAGTCGGCACTGGAGGTTCTACAGATTGTTCGCAAACATGCAACAGAAAGAGGAAGTAAGACGTGCATTGGCAGCATGTAAGGCAGCTCCCCGATCATGTGTCTAGTCTCTTCTAACAGCAACGAAATGAGTTCTCGGAGGTAAATACCGACAACAACTCAGACTTAACGGATTTTGTGGGTGGTCAAGAGAATGATCATCCCAGAACTTGGATGCATCCTGGATCCCAATGTTGTCGATGCTGTGAGCTTCCCAGTTTCGACCCACGAAGAGCAGTGGTGGAAGGGAGTGAACTCTTCGCACACTGGACCCGCTTAGAATCTCACGAAAGGTTGTGACTGAGAACTTGTGAGGCTTCCGTTCAGAATTTGAGTCTCGTCACAAGGCATGGGACATATTGTACCCAACAGTCGCAAGGCTCATTCTCAGGTGGACCAAGCATTCTACACAAGCAAAACCTTGAAAGGCAGAGCTAGTTCTGATAATGCTAATTACTGTATTCTGCCTAATAAAACAAGAAGTGGTATTTCGTTGCTTGCTTCAGGCGAAGAATAGATTGAAGTGTAAGCACATCTAGAAACGTCAGAATTCCACTGGGAAGAAGACCTGTGAGGTTACCCCGCGCACAGAAGCGTATTGAGCGATCCCCGTTTTCGACATTTGTGCACTCAATAAGCTCATTGTTGTCATCGTTTAAGGACTGGATATATCAAGGGTGGACCTCGTGGAGAATCTGTCTTTTATGGTTGAAGAAAGACTGTTTCCGGAGCTTCGATTTTTCATCTGGCTTCAGGCGTGGTGACTACCCCAATGCAGGAAAACATCCTCTCATGTGCTCTCATTAAGCCTTTTTTCTGCTTGCGAAATGCTCAAATGCTTTCAGGACACAAATGCAACGAGCGAGATGAAGAGAGATGTATTTCCGTGTATCTATCTATCTATCTATATATATATATATATATATATATATACATATATGGTTTGCTTGTGTAAGATTCATGTTACTTTTAGAATGAATCTTGACATTATTTTTGTGTTAAAATATATCATTTTTTATAATATCAATAAATAATGTTCCTTTTAGTTGTACAGTGGATACATTTTCAAAAATATCAGTGCGCTTAAAATTTTAAAATAAAGGGCTGTAACAAAATTACAGAAAGTCTTAGTCTTACATTTTTCCATAATATGCATTAAAAAGTTCTACTAAAATCTCTTTAAAAACGCACTTAAATGTTTTTAATCTTTTGTTGCCTATTTATATTTATTATCCTTTATCATCACCTTAATTTTTACTTTTTTTTACTTCTATTTTTTTTTTTTAAACAATGATGACATCTTTTCATGTTATGTTTTAGGAGAAATCATAGTCTCATATTTCATAAAAAATTTAAAAGTTGTTGAGTTGACGATGTTGTAACTTGTGTCTTTACATGCTTGATTGTCACCATGATAGATTGTTTGGTCTTTTGAAATCATGTCCAAGGGTTAATTGAGATGATTGTGAATAATTAATTTAGGTTGTAAATACCGAATGTTGTGTTGCAGAATATGATTTCTTCCAAGGCAGGACAGAGGACTAATTTATTGAGTTAAATATTTTGAAGCTTTGTAAATAAATAAATAAAAATCAACATTTCAAATTTAACCGATAATCCTCTATGTATATTTCATGTTTTTGCATATTTTAATAAATATTAGATCACTATTGCAATGTGTATTGATATTAACTAAAGAATATTTTTTGTGCGAGCAGAGGTAAATTTGGTGGTCGTCTTGATTTCATTCAACACCTTAAAAATTACTGCCGTTGAGGTGCGACGGTTTCTCTCAACGCTATTACTAGCAATGTCTACAAAAAAATGGCAGCAAAAGTGAATGGTTTTGATCTGTCCTGAATGCACGTCAAACCCAAAAGACCAGGTAAGGACTTCTAAATATTGGTAGTTCTCAAAATAGACCGAGAGTCTGTAAACGTTTCTAAGTAGAAATCAGAACATAATGCAGTTTCTCTTTGGAGGAACGGTTCAAGAAGAAAATCCCATGGTTCCGAACACTTTGACTGATCAAACAAGGGAAAGAATCTCTAATCCTTGAACCAAGATGCCCAGTCAAGAATGAGTCACAGGAAGTTTACTGAAGGGGCAACGTGGAACCCCAGTTAAATTACACACGATGGCCGTCTTCACAGGTGGAATACATGAAGTCAGACGGACTGATCCAATTATGCTCCTGAGCACAAGCTGAGCACCTTATGTCTAACATCACAACTTTCTAATCTACAAGTTTGCTGTAATTTTGTTTTTACATGTCCTTGCTGCAGTGCCGCAAACACTGTCATTGCAAGATTTCCAAGAGTTCACTGGCCAGCCGGTTCATCTTTCCGGTAAAATCATCTTCGTCTCCAAAGAAAAGTTCAGCATTTGTAGCTAGTAACCGAATGTCGTATTCTACGGCGTCTTTGCTACGATAAAAGTTCTTTGACAACCTCTCTCGTATGAGCTCCAAGGTAAGCGGCACAGGCACCCTACAAGTTCCACAAAAGCGCCCCGTTGAATAATGTTAAAACACCAAATAAATACTACAAGCTGGTAATGCAGGGTACACTTGAAAAAGCATTATATTGCGGTACTGACACAAAAATATAAATAATAAAGGCACTTATGTATACCCCTCTGCCCCTCCTGAAAAAGTCTCTTAAATGTCTCTTAAAAGTCTCACATGTGAACGAGTTCTCGTTCTAAAAAAACGAATCAAAGTGCAGTGTCTAAAATACACTAGCTCTACAGAGTGTAAATTCACAAATGTAAGGAATGTATTGTCACTTTCATAAGCTTGCTTAAAAACCTTAAAGATAAAAGTACCTGTTCAAGAAGTTTGAGTCATGCTTTGCTAATGATTCCAGTTGTTTTACACCAAATCCATCCTGTAAACCAATGCAAAACTAACGTAATGTCAGATTCTGAACTTTCACTGATGAGGATTTCAGTGACGATTCTGACAATCTGCTTTCAAGTAAAGAATATGGGAGCAAAAAAAACAAGTACCGTCTCATCCTCTAACATAGCCTCCTCAATGTCGTAAATATATTGCAATAGTTCGTCTCTTTCGTCTTCCTCAATTTGCGGCACAGTCCACCCTGGAATATTGCAATTTCTGTCAAAAAGCTCCCAAGGACTGTGCGCCTGTGGCTCTGCAGATTCTCTGTAGGTGACAATGTATTTTTCCCACGGACTATCTGGGAAATCATCAGACTTGGCCTTGATAGTCTTAATTCGACCATCCCACCATTGGCCCTTCTCATCTGCCCCCTTTTCACTCGCCCACCATACTTTACAATGGTCCCTAGCAACCCACCCTTTTGCCATGGACGCATCAAAACGACTTTTCTCCACTAAAAAGTCCGGATAATCAGTCAATTCCGGCCATGTTAGCTGGAACTTGTAGCCACTAGCAGAAGATTCCATATCTAAAAATTCAAGCTCTAGCTTGCAGCTTGTCCCACCTCCAGGTTCAATGTGGTATTCTAGATTTGTAATGCGACAAAATTCTACTGCGCGAAGTTCATGCTTCTTCCAGGGACCTTTTTCTTTGACCTTCGATGCTTCGAGATATTCTCTATGCCCCTGAAATACAAGGTCAGAAAGGAAATGGTCAAAGAAGCAGAACGATATGATTACATCATAACATGAAAATTATAACATCAGAACTTAGAATATTTTAGAGATGTTGAAGGCCTTAATAACTAATCAATTCGTTTCTGTTGCATGCCGCTACATAACTAAAAGTTAAGCAAACTAATTATCTTCGAGAGGACATGTACAACTGATTCACATAAAGCGAAGGAACATACCTGGTGCAAGTAAGCGACCTCATCACCAAATTGTGGAGTGTAGTGACCTTGTTCCACCTCTGACGTCAACAACCACGAGGCACTTTCGATCTTCCGAAGATTGTTTCTAGGGGCACGCCAACTTGAGCGTGGAATAGAATTTGTCACACCAACCTTGACTTCAACAACCTTTGCCCTCTCTTTCTGTAAGCTAATTTGTCTTCGAGTGCTACGAGCTGACACTCGCGTCTGATTCTCCCCATTGTCATCATCCTCATCAGGCAACCCTTCATTCCTCTTTGCTGAGTTTTCAGTGCATTTCAACTTGAGCCTTAGAGGCCTGTCAATCTTACTTCCACTGGGACTAGCATCTGAACGGAGGCCTTGTCGACCATGAGATACACCGTTGTTACGGGGTTCGCTTTCCCAAACCATGTCGTGCAGCTTATTACTAGGTTGTCGTTTACTCTTCCCTCGCACTTGTGTATGTGAAACTGATCGCGAAGGACCTGCCAGTTCTTCAGCTTCTTGGTGCTCACGCAACCATGGCTGTGTCCTTCGCCCATTTCCCTCAGGTGCCGTTCGCACATGACGAGTTGACCTTTTGGCTGGAGATGGCGCCTCATCAGAAAGTAGTGAATGACCATGACCAGAGTTTAGCTCAGATAGAGGTTTGTGCCGTTTGCGTTCTGCACTTCGACTCCTGCCCTCCGTGCTTTCATACTTATTCTGTCGACGGGATCGATTTTTAAAACTCCGGGGTGTGTCCTCGAATTCTTTGCTCTCATTTTCCTCTTGTCCAGCGTATTCATACTGTAAAATGAAAAGGAGGTGGGATATTAGAGAAAAACTTCATCGAACACGTACATATGAATTGTGTATGTATAAGCATGGATGATTAGACCATAAGCAAACTATGTCATTAAGTTCCATAAAGTATTTCAAAAGAAGTTCACCTCGTCCATTTCTGATTCCGACGCTTGCTTCTCTGTACTTCCTTCTGGATGATCCTGTCCAGTCTCATATCCAATGACATCCTCATTGTCATCGCATAAATGATCCCTCCTCGTCTCAGCCTCATCAGTGTCAAGCTGGTGCTGACGTTCTTCGAGACTCACAGAGGTGTTTATTGTTCGGTCGTTATTGAGGACACCGTTCCTTCCAGCATTGGAGTCTTCGTCGCTGTACTCTCTTGTTTCATGATCAGTGCCACCGGTCTCAATTAGGTGTTGCTCACTGTCTTGCATGTGTCCCGCCCTCTCTTGACCCTCGTCTACATCGTCAGCATAATCACCGTCTTCAATTTCCCTAGAGCTTGCTGGCATTTCTTGCAATTGGTATTTGTTCTCCGTCTCGACTTTTGATGTAGACTGCAATCTTGATGTCCCTCCAGCCTCTGATGAAACGGGACTTCTATCACTGAAAGTATTCTCCATCAAAGACTGATTTGCATTCTGTTCACTTCTTAATTCTCTTTCCGTGTCTTTAGAACGGCGCTCTTCGGTATCCGGATCCTTGTTCAAATCAACCTTCTGCGAAAGAGTGTCTGCCAATTCATGCACAGAAGATAGGTTGTCTTCATGTGCTCCATAGTCATTAGAAACATTCGCATTATTCTGAGTTCTTTCACGCTCGGAATTGTGCGACTCATTTCTAACATTAGCGTCTTCTGATCTTGAATTGTCAGGATGTTGAGGCTGTTCCCATGTGTGCGTTTGGGCACATTCGTTTGAAAGAATTGCACGCTCGAAGGATTCCAGACTCTCATTGTCTTTACTGGGCTCTCCATGCTTGGAAGAACCACTACCCAAAGCACCGTTGATCTCCTTACCCCTCTTCCACTGCCAATGATTCTCCTGTCCAACAATTCCTTCCGATGTTGAGTGTGCGATATCAGGACTTCGAATTGGCGACTCTTGAGCTAAAGCTGGAACATTCATCCCTTGCCCTCCTATTGTGTCTCCGTCTTCATCGCTACTTCCACCCTCTTGACTAATGGGTTTCGGAGGCTTGATGATCAATTTCCTATGGGACTTTTGAATCTGCTCTGGTGGAATATTCTCGCGGCTAGGACTGACCGAGATGGCTATATCGTCTGACGGATGCAAAGCGTTTGCTTCACCCTCTCTAAGCCCATCAAACTGTGAAGAACCATGTGCCGGGCCAGCTGGACGATTGAATATGATTTTTATTCTTCTAGGTCTCTGCGATCTGGGACGCCTACAATCACCAAGGTTATCAACCTCAGGTTGCGAGGTTGAAGCGTGGACACGCTGCTCACTCTCCTCTTCAACTTCTTCTCGAGGATTTCTTCTAAGGGACCGTATCTCCCCCTCAAGGTCTGCAGCTGCCATAGAGGATGGTTCTCCATGTTCTTGTCCATTATCGACCGCTTCTGATTTCTCTCCGTGCTCAGCACTGTCCTCGTCTTCTTCGCGGCCTGGAGTTTGAATAGAACTAAATAAGTTGAGTGCATTACGAGCAGCCTGCCGTTGCGGTCTGGTAGAGACATGCTCCTGATCACTGACAACAACTGCTCTACTAGCTCTGTATGAACTATTTCTAGATGCCTTCAAACGGCGACCCCGTTGCTGACGGCGCTTTCTGGTGTCATAGTCGGCAGAAGTTCTTCCCCTTACTCGCCTACTTGAACTACGTCCAGACTCCTGCAACAACTTGGAAGACATAAAAGAATAAGAAAGACGAGATCTAATCATGGAATGCACACGTCCTAGAATTCAATAAGATAAACCAACCCCGAATTCACCAACACAACCGTAGCAGATTCCTAACCGCATCTCAGTTTCAAGGCTGAAAAGATACTAACCATTTTCTTTCGCTTGTTCCTCCCCGAACGCCGCAAGTGCATTGGAGCCTCCGATTCCTCCTCACTATTTGATTCTCCTTCGCTCAAACTCTCATAACCTTCTCCTTCTTTTTCATCGCTCACACTTTCTTCACTTGCACTATAATCCGATCCAGTGTCTTCACTATGCACTGCAGCATCTTGTTCCCAATCCATTGGTTCTTCTACCTCAGGGGGCTGCTCTACCCATCTGTTCCTACCGGCATCTGTTGGGACCGGTAAATCATGTCTTTCAGGTGAAGGAGCAACCGGTGGCTGGAAAGCCATAGGTTGCTCCGGCGGGAAATATGTAACATCATCATTAGTTCCGATTGAAAGCTGCATAACAGGTGGGTGCCACTCCAGACCGAGGTTAGCAAGCCGGCGCTGCTGGAAAATGGTTTGGTACGGGTCGCAGTAAGGAATCATGCCTGCGGTATAAGATTTAAGGGATTACTTGTCCAGTAAAAAAAGTAGTATAAAGCATATGATAAACACCTACTTAGTTACATTACCTTATCACTAGGAACACAACAACTCAAGCTGTACATTAGAGAATGGACCATTTACTTCTATACCACTTCTACATGCACATTAACCCACTCACCAGCATCACAAAGCAAATCGCGTAAATTACGCAGATGAGGTGGTTGCTGAGTTTCCTGCAAGAAATCATACCAGACATATGAGTTACCTCTAGAATTAAATTAACAAACTGTGACGAGGTCTAAAAAATTTAACCATAAAAACCTGAGTCAAATCTACACGAGTAAAAGACGGGTTCACAAGCTTCCAATAACTTTCCAAAAGTTAATGACCTCCAGAGTTTGTAGTTTTTCAGAAGGAAATACAAATTGAAGTTTTGAATGTGGGCATTCGAAATACTTGCCACATCCAAGACATTGCCATGAACGTCGCGCACCAGAGGACGGAAATCACCAAGAAAAAACTGTTACAACACGGAAGGAGCCACACCACATCTCTTAGCAAACTCTTGCATAATACTCAAAATTAAACCTCTTAATAGCGAACATTCCAGGTTGGTCCAGAACATGGCTCGCTCCTCTCCCAATAGCAGTATCACTAACTGGAAAAGTTCACACCAATCGAAGGCAACAAAAGGGTGGGACCAGGCTTAAATCGATCACACCGAGCTTTTCTTTCGAAGAACAGTGCAGTTTTAATACTTTTAGCAATTTTGAATCAAACTATGGGAGGTAAAGCAAGCTAGTACCAATCCTTGATGATCAAAAGTTACACTTATTACTAAATCCACTATTCAAATTATTAAAAACGTTGAACACCAAGACCGTGCACCAGCAACTTAGTATTAACTTAAGTGGCAAAAGAGTATGGAGATTCGGCATACAGAACGTAGAAATAATTAATAACTCAAAATATTCAACCTGATCATATTTGACGTCCTTCTCGGACATCTTTGACCCTGTGCCAAAAAGGTAAATCTGGCCAACTTCATCGGACACCACTAGAGATGTGCCGTCGCTGTGGATGTGAAACCAAATGTGAGTGAATTTTGACAAGTGAAACACTACACCCAGTCACCTGCCAATTAGTTGCAGCTGCACTATTTTGCTATCTACGGTTTGTCTTAATCCATCCCATCACACTACCCTCTACCGATATCAGAATCCAGCTTCAAAGAAAAAAAATCTGAAATTAAATACATAGAGAAACATCTTGCGTACGAAAATGAAACAAAGCCTAAGTGAATTTGTGCTTTTACCAAAATAGCGTGGGTTAAACAACTGAAGAAATAAACAGATAAACCCAAATAACGTTTTAGGAAAGAACCTTAAATATGAGAACTACAACCACTTCAATGTCTGAAACCCTAAATTTATATTTCAACATAATCATAATCCTTTGATTTCTCACGAGTTTCTCAAAACATGTACTAGGAACTACTTTGTACAAATTGGATATGCAGAAGCATCAACTTACGGAGAAAAGTTGCCATCCACTAGATTATACTCCCCAGTTTCATAAACTTTAATGGGGCGTCCTTCCCATATCTGCACAATGGTGAGACATGGTTAATTTCTGCTGATTTCTGCAACATGAAATGAGGAAAGGTAAATTAAACCCTAAAAGGTAGAAACTGATGAAGCACTTACGTCCCAGATGATAACTCGTCCATCATAGCCAGCACTCATGGCAATTCTTGGGTTGATGGGATGAACATCGAGTACATAGGTCTGCACACGCAACTCCCAAGAATATCTTACGTTACAGAAGTCGAACAATCAAACCAATGCGAAGCATTCACTTTCATACGCTAGAAATATGACTTTCGTAAAAAGAGAAGATATACACCTGTTTATCGTGTCCAGTAAGTGAATGAACCAGACTACCATCCGACGCATTCCAAACACATATCCTGTGATCTGATCAAATGAAGAACAGAGCAATATGTTAACATTACAACTTCAGAGCGTGCAAGTTTACATGAATTAATGAGAAAAAGTTAATTTCCAATCACAGTAAGACAACGATGCTCCACAAGTCCAAGGTGACAACAACATACATCAAATAATATGATCAGATTAACGCATTTAGCTCCAATGAAAGAGTACTGAGTAAACTAGTCAAAGCTCTATGCAATTATAGATGCAAAAAGTTGTTGAACTAAGAATTAGTCACTACATTCACAATATTCTTCAATTAAATTTTTTGCACGTATCAAGATAACTGATTAATTCCTCTTAAAACCCACGAAACAAGTGTCCATTTTCAAGAAATGCTGAGGTTCTTAGAAAAAGTGAGCCAACGCCAAACTTGAAACAGCTAGAGAATTATCGACATTTAGGCATAGTAGAAAGTAAAATGTTAAATCCGTCTTAAGAATTGAAAAATATGGAAGAAATTACAAGGGGGACAACCGAATTGACAAACTAGACCACTACGTACAATATAAGCTGACATATTAAAAGCACATACCCATGATGGCTGCAAGGACAAAGCGATTATCCAGACTCCACACTATCATGTTAACTCCTCGAGGAGTAGGTAGAAGCCGTTGCCTGGGTCCATTCCCCCTAGGCGGCTGGGGAGGCATTGGGGGAGGAGGGACCCGTAGGTGGTAAGCCTTCTGCCATCGTCCTACTTTGGCCTATCGAAATCAAAAAACTGTTCACGGTAAGAGGTAACTGTGAACGAAAAAGACGTTTAACATGTAAAGCTGGAGTTATAGGGAATCTGTAGCCCACATCATTACCCCATATGATAACAAACATAGTAATCAGGAGAATATGTGAACACATATAAATCAAAGAGAGAACAGCACTCGGCAACATGTCTCACTCACATATGATTTGGAAAAGTGATGCATCCAGATGATGGCAGTGCCATCCCTGGAGCAAGTAACAATGCTATCATGTGAAAACCTGCATATTCAAACACAGGAAAAATTAGCCTTTCATGTGCACATTATCAATGTATAAATCTGATCGTAAAAACCCACAAATAGCGTCAAAGCTTCAGAAGAAATCAAATAATGGTTGCTACGTTGTCCCTCCACCTAACCTCAGACAATCCTCAACCTAGGAACGTTCGCTACACCTCTATTATAAGTCCCAAAAGATGAAACTTTGAAAATTCAAAAGCTAGATCATAACTCCAGATTTTTTATCATTATATTACATCAAACTGTTTCAAACATAGAAATATTTACATTCAGACGGTAATTACTCATACTAACCAAGAATTTCTGAAGCGCGTTGCATGCTCATCCTTCATGCTGTCACCAACCAATGGCTTTCGTGGAGCTGCACACCCACTTCATTCACATGTCCAAGCAGCGAAAAATTCAGAACTAAACATACCGACACCTGGCAAGCTCACTTGATGGGAACCTACAGGGTACATGTCAGAATGTTGAAATTGTGAAAAAGCCTAGCGTTACACTTCAGCTAAACCTCTAGAAGACCTGGAAGCTATCAAGCCAATTATCGTAGCAATTCACAAGAAACACAACTTTGACATAGTTCACAGAAAAAAGGACTTAAATAGTGACCTTCAGCTGTGAAAAAACTAAAACTGACGACAATCATAGAAACAGCCCTAACCACAATAACAAAATCACCCTGAAAATAAATAATCAATGTCAATCAGAAACTTCAGCATTCATGTGATAACCCAAGACGATAGACTGTAATATAAATTCAGCAACTTAAGCCATACACATACCCAGAGAAAGTGAAAAGGGCAAAAAAAACTATCATTAGCAACATGTCCAATGTGAGCTGAAACCACGACAAAATGCCTTACCTGAACTGAACATAATTTACGTCGTTTTCATGACCTTTCAGGGTGTCCATCTCATAGTTGGGTCGTCCGGTAACATCATCATTCCATTTACATGCATCCCAAACCTAACATCACAGAGAGCAACGATATAGCTGCGATAGTCTTCACGACCCACCTAACAAAACATTAAATTTTACAGAACAAAATCCCGATTTGCAAGTAACATACGAATCACTAAACAAATCCACAGAATATTATGAACGAGAAAGCACTGGGACGCTTGAATGGACTATGACACTTATATGCAGTACATTGCAGTCAGACAACTCAATGATAATATTTTCAAAATTGGAATATAACAAACACACCCTAGCTATTTTGTCGGAGCTCCCTGTGACAAAAATACTGCCATCAGCGTTAAAGGCACAGCAAAGAATTTGATTGCATCCAGGGACAGTTGATGGAGGAGCAGGAATAGTAGGCCTTGGAGCTGAAACATTTACAAGGAAGAATAAATCCTCAAACAAATCCCACCATCTTAGATGCCTTTTGACCAAGAGTAATACTTTCACTAAAAAAAGTTGTTGCACTGTAACGTAGATTTGCGTGTAATTGAAAAGTTCCCAAACATGAATGGCAAGCACATTGATTAGCAATAATGCTCAAGCAAACACCTGAAGCGACATCTTTAGGGTTGGGCATGTAAACCCTGGAATGCAGAGATGAATCTGACGCATCCCATATGCGACACGTTCCGTCATCAGAAGACCTACCAATGCAGATACACACCCCAATCAATCTGCTATTGTTTAAGATACTGATACAATTGGAGATAAGCTAACAAACCAATGACGTTCGCATTCCAACTACTGTTCATCATACATTAGTGAGCACACGCTAATAGATAATAAATTCTAATTTGGTGAACTGGAAAGTCCTTGAAAAATTACCAAAATTGCTCTAAAGCAAAAGGAAGGTGGAACCTTACGAAAGGAGAAGATGCTCACAGCCTTGCCGAGGACTGAAGGCTATTGCAGTAACCGAAGCAGTGTGACCACGCAAAACAGAAACTGGATTACCTGAAGGTAAAAACCACTGCAGCGAAAGGGCAAAGTAAATTACGTACATCAGGTCAGATAGTGCATGACAATTGTATTAAAACACACTGGAATTGCATCTGCTAGGAAAACTTGCCACCTCTGTCCCAACAATACATTAAAATAACCCTAAAACGTTTAGAGCACTGCAAGAACTTACAACACGGATGGTGAAGTCATTAGAAGCTGATGCAACATATTTGTTGCGATTACTCACAGCCAAATCTGTTATATCACCCTGTATCAAAATACTAATTGGTGAGCTTATCTCAGAATAGATAAAAGGGAGAGAATCGACACCAATGAGACAGCAGATATCTTCAGACCAGAATAGGAACTAGAAAACTTTCCTCTCCACAAAAACATACATATACTTATATATATATATATATATATATATATATGGAGAGAGAGAGAGAGAGACCTCATGACCTCGACAACTACGAAGACAGAGCCCAGTTTCCGACGACCATAACTTCACGAGTCGATCATCAGAACCAGTTATTACATATCGCCCTGTGCCATCAAAAATAGCTGAAACACGACAGTTGTGAGAAACGAATCAAAACATGTTTAACTAAAGCTTTTCACTTCTAACTATAAATTACCTCACCTGCATTGCACTGCCAAAAGCAAGAGGATTTGACTGAAGTCGGCATAAGACCCCAATACATGCAGCTAGTGGTATAGTTATTGATCCTACACAACAATACAACATCTACCGGAACAAAACAGTCACATCTAATACTCGAATGCAGTTTTTTAAATGCTAAGAGATTCAAATAAAAAGCAATGGCTTCAATTGTAAGCACTTTCAATTATAACATACCCAGCGGAAACTAAGACACGTACCACAGTACACTGCATTGCGATGTCCTCTCAACTTTTTAATTATCTGTATTCGATCGACCAAGACAGCAGGCTTCACAATAGCATAACTAGGAGTGCGAACTGAAGGAGCTTGCTTGTGTCTTGCATATCCTCCACCAAGCTCACGAAACATCAACCCATGAACCTGTAAAGAGGCCGAGTCTTTTATGAGTACAAGCCAGTACTTTTTTCATAATGAAAGAACCTCGCTACATTATGAGCTTGTTTCGAAGTGTGCAGGGTTTATATTAGTAAAAAATGTTAGAGACTTAAGGCATTAAAAATTAATAAATAAAACTATTTTAAAAAATAAAAGACTTCAGTACGTATATCATCGTTCTGCTAGTATACCGTTTGAAAGCTTATGATAATAAAAACGTAATATTCAACAATGAATGAATGAATGTATGAATGAAGCACAATGAGACGAGCAGATGACACACCTGATCGGCGTGCCAGTGAGGCCATCGCAACTGGCGGATCCATTGAGGGACATCTTTTATGGCCTTCCTCCTTTCAGCTGTATAACAAGATAAAAACCTCTTGAAGGATGAACAAGGTACTCTTTCATTACCAATCCACGTATGTTCTTCTCATCCAGGAGTAAAAAACAGGAGACGCTTCTTCTTTACAATCAATAGCTTGATAAACAAAGTTCTGAGACAGGGCTATGCTGATGTGATAAAGCATTTCATGAAGCGATGTCTTCTATTTAAGGAAATTCAATTTTAGCAATTACTATTGAGCCTCAAAAAAAAAATCATTACCGACTATAATCATGCCACGCACGAGGAGATTGGTAGCATTATCCAAATCAGAATGTAATTGCAGTGGTTGCATTCGCATTACCGACGCCAAGAAAGAGGGGTAACGTCTGTAACCACTACGTTGCAACTTGCTCATACTCATATCAATAGCTATCAAACCAAAGCTGAAAGATTTCGTGCTTACAATCAAACAGTGAGAAACTTCCAGTTCCAAGAAGCGTAGGGACATCGGCTGCTGTAGGGATCCTTGAGTTCGGATGTTCCAAATGTTCAACAGATGCTCGATTATGCACAAGCAACTGCTCCAACAATTTCACCAGATGGTTTTGTTGTACAGTTGGATTCCTGTAAGAGCAGAACCATTGGTGAACAGAGTGACACTAGAAGACCTGAGAAAATCTATTGTTACGCTATGCACCATCATCAGGAACAAAAGCTTCAAAAACGTCTACTGGGATTGGAATTTCCAAAGCTTCGATAGGAATATATATCGTTTGATTCTGAGATACGATAAGCGGTAAACAAGACCTTCGAGCACACCCGACCACTTCCAGAAACAATTGTGGTGGAACCCAATATTAACTGGGAATTTGCAAGACTGATGGAAATTTTTAACAACGGTATCGAGTAGCCGTCCACCTAACACTAATTTGATTTCCGATGAATCTGAAGACTGGTTTGCATAAATGGGCAAACTCCTGCATAACCAATTATTACTACTAATAATTACAATCAATATAAAGGGCGTCAACTGAAAGACTACCAATACAATTACTCCAGTAACGTCAGAAAATTTACCTTGCCAAAATGTTCGCATAACTTAATGGAGAAGACATGCCATCATCTCCCTCATCGACAACGTGCTTTTCCGCACGAGACGACAACGCGTGAAAGCGCCTGGGAAGAAGCTTATGCTGCAGAACATCATTTGAAAGCTGTGCAAATGCACGCTGACACGGGCCACTGGACAGAAAGTGCATGATGAGAAAATAAACTTCTGCAATGTCCACCTCGACATTGTTCTCGGGGCAAGTATCCGCACCATAGGCTGTTCCTGAGCTCCCAGCCACTACAGGTGCACTGAAACGACCCAAGTAATCAGGCCGGTCCTTGGTAGATCTGGCCATCATTTAGAGTGCTGTATCACTGCAATTCACCATCGCACTCCGTCGCCTCAGCAAGCAAGTTATAAGCAATTCTAGGAAACGGTAAAAGAGACCAAACCTAAACCAACTTCCTATAATGTTCCACAACCCTGAAAATATTCCCTCAAAGTTCTAGGTTCATGTTAGAAGTTAGATTTCACTCGGTGGTTAAGAAACGAATAATGTCGGAAAACTTAAGAAGACAACAATCACACTGCTGAGCTACTGGTGCAAATTACAGCTGCCATGATCCGTGTTATTACGTCCCATAGCAGAAGTCATTGAAGCCATGGAAACAAAAATATAAGGATGATTTCAAAGAGAACTGGCATCGCTCCTACTCACTTCATCCAATCCTGTCCACCAGTCGGAAACAAAGAAAAGAAGATTATCAACAAGGATTGTTGGAAATCCTTCAACATGGAGCCCCTCCAATTCTAAAACCACCAAAAGAAAGGGTTTCATACAGCGTTCTATCAGTTAATTCACCCCTGCAACTATTCAAAAATCACTACCGCCTGGTATGTTCTACTAGAATCAAATGCATGCACATGCATACAGACGCTGATACGATTAAATGAAGAATGCACACGAAATCCGAACCCTTGTGGCTTAAAAAATATTAGAACCCGATAGAAGGACCCTAAATTCCACTAACGCATGTACATTGTGAAATGTCTGCATGATCGCCATCTGCTCCACACCTTAACCTTTCTGAGGTAATGCTTCTGCTATGGGATTTAATTACACGGATCCCAACCAAATTTCCACGGCAAGAGTAGCTAAAGATGTCAAACCGCGACATCAGTGACCCAATTACTTTGTCTGAGCCATTCAGAGGAAAAGGATTCGACGAATCATGCAACTAAATCCAGCATAACCTAAACCAGCAGATATCATTCCACTCAGTCCTTCATAGTCCAGCCTCGCAAATGATTCCCAAGAGCATGCCTCATGTCCATGCCAATGCCCAGAATCCGATTCTGTAAGGGAAAGAATGCGAAACTCCACCCCCACCCTCAAAGCTCCAACACCCGCGCATTCCCAACATAATTCCTCGTGAATTCCAATGCCCAACACGAATTGCCCTACATTGATCCTCTGCCCATCTAAGCGCAACCCTACAGAAAATCTCGAAATGGACAGGGAAAAGCGAACTCAACGCAGGCCCCCTCAATTACAATCCACTGAATGAACAGAATCGCAGGATAAGCGTACCATGAAAACGCCGTTTGCTCAGTTCGCTCCTGCATTCCTTGATTCTACAAAGCACTGAACCCCAAGCGGCATCCTCCAACACATCCCGCGACCTCATAGCTCCGCCCTCCGCATCTCTTCACGGAGTCGCCAAAAAAAAAAAAAAAAAAAAAAAAAGAAGGGGGGGGGGGGTACACATACACACCTCACTCTCGCAATCACCCTCACCCGAACGCCCTCCTCAAGCCCATCGCCAAAAACCAAAACCCCAACGCGGAACTCCGAAAAAAACAAAACAAATAAATGAAAGAGGGAAATAGAAAATAAGAATAATAGTAAAGCGACGCCCGTTATTAAATGATTCCACACGCGAATTCCCTCTAATTCACACTCTCGCCCGAACGGCTCCACCGCCTAGCATCCGACGAATCTTCTCCTCGCCCTCCCCGAATTCAACCACACAACGCAACCGGAAATCAGCTCTCGATCGACACACACACGCGCGCGCACTCACACTCACAAACTCACACACACACCCGCACTCACACTCACAAACTCACACACAGACCCGCACACACACAATTGGGCAAACACGAGGGCCACGAGGAGCGGAGAGCGGGTAACGGAATGGCTGGCTGCCTGGCTAAGGGTCGGGTCGGGTCGGGAGGGAACGTGACGAGACGCGGGAGGGGAGCGAGGGGGAGGGCAAGCGGGAAAGGGGAGTGGGAGTGGGAAGGGAGTGTGGGGGTGGGGGGTGACCTAACCCTAATGCCACTGATATCCATTCTGCCACGTACCTTTCTTTCTCTCGCTCTCGCTCTCGCTCGCTCTCTCTTTCTCTCTTTGATTCCCTTTTTGTTTCGTTCTCTCCGCCCCCGTTTGCTTTGGCGTTGGCATTTGCTCCAGCGTTGCCATTGTGTGTGCGTCGCCATGGCTTTCGAGGATGAAGATGTCATATCCATCCCATGCACACTCCACTGCACCCCACCCCCCCCCCCTCCAATCCTCCTCTACCCCATCCTCTTCCTCTTCGTCTTCTGTTTCTGTTCCTGTTACTTGCATGATGTGCTTGTGTTGTGCTTCTTTGCTTACTTCTTGCTCATGCTGCTTGTTTGTTTCTGGTTGGGTGTGTGTTGTTTTGTGTTCAATTGCTCTGGTTTTGTTTGTATGCACATGTGGGCTGTGATGGAATTTTTAAAAAGTCATTACTAGCATGACAATCAATCAAAGGTAAAATTTGTGGCTTGTGTATTATTATCTTACTTTTAAAAGGTTTCATATTAAGATGGGTATTATTATTATTGTTGTTATTATTGTTCGAGAAAAATTATAGTATAATATGTAAAGTGTAAAGAAATTTTAGCGTTACCAACGTTCATGTTTTATACACAGTTTATGATTAAACATAAATAAGAGTGCGTGTTTTTGACACAGTAATTCTATCTCCATATTCTTAATAATTTGGGTCGTCCTTTTTTTTTACTTTGTTTTCTTACCATAAATTAGACTAAATAAAAAAAAAACTACATCAAAAATAAATTCAAATGTATTATTTAGTTTTTGTTTATAATTATTATAATGATAAATTTGTACGCTGTAGAAATTCTAAGGATACAAGTTGACATTTCTATGTATAAATTGAGAGATTTTAATATGAAAAATTAGAATGAAAAAAATAACAATTTTATATCAACCCAGTGTACTGTAAGGACAACTGTAGAATGTACGATGGCTTTTCAAGGTATAAATTTATTTGTGCTAAAATTTATCTTTTTATGAATTAGAATTATTCTAGTTTTTATTCGTTTTTATTTCTACCTTAAAAATAAAAACATGCTGCTTGAGCCTTTAAAAGTTTTCTATCAACTTTGACTGGTATTTTAAGTAGTAATACATTGTATTATCACAATTATTTGTATAATGAGAAGGTAAAAAAATAAGATAACAATAATAGTTACCAAGATTCTAATGAAATTTTCAATGATTATTTAAATATCACATTACTTCATTTAATTTAATTTTATATTATCATCAAGATACAACTATCATTATTAAAATTACTTCTATAAAAATCAGATTCTTGATCAGTTCATTAGAAACTATAAACATAAAGTATATAATCAAAGAAGTTTTTATCTATACATAAAATAAATTAGTTGTGTTTGTATGAACATATGTATACATGCATAACAAAGAATTTTCATTTACAATTTTGTTTTTTGTTTTTTGTTTTTTGTTTTTTTTTTTCAATCAAAACAACTCATCACAATACTCTTATACACATCAGCGGTTGTGATTACATGTAAAAGTCGATGATTACTTGTTCATTTAAATAAATGAATACCACATGAGGTATGCATGACAAGCATGTAAAATTTTTTTCTTACAAAAGTAATATATATTTTCAATGTGCAAAAGTGCCATAGGCTCATTTCCATAATGATAACAGTTCAATAATGCATTCAGCCGTGATTTGAGAGAACCCTGCCGAAAGAATTCCCCGTCTTCTCTTTCCGTTATCTTTATCTCTTATGCCTGTTGTGGTTACTTTATTTTATACTTTTTCTTTTTCTTTTACGATATCTCCTTTTTCTTCCCGCCTCTCTCACTGAGACGAAGGGGGAGACAAAGGTCAACTGCGCTGCGGCCATAGCGATGGCGATTCTTCATTGCGGTGGGAAGCTAGCTTTCCAGTTCGGCATGGGTCCTCGTAGTACTCCGGCCTCCGAAGGAATTTCGACGCCCAAGCCTTTCAGGAGGAATTCGTGGTCCTGTGGAAGTGAAGGTTCATTCCATTACTTGACTCGAAAACGGCGATGCCTTGTTCCGGAAGCAGTCGACAGCGCAGCACATCGTGCGCTTGTTTGTTTGTACAAATCCTGGGGCTTTTCGAGTCAACGGAGAAAGACTAGGAGAACCGTCCCATGGCAGGGTGTGTCGAATTCGTACTACACGCACGACGATACAACTTCACGGGTCTCGCTTGCACAAGCATCTTGCATTGTTTATATATACGATAAAGTGGGGAAAGGTATAAAAATCGGTGCCGGTATGATGATTTTGGGAATTTTATATGTGGGTGCAGACATTTAGCTGGATCATGAAGCGAGATAGCGTCGCGATGACAAACATCCGTGTGCAGTACGCTGAAGTCATTGTGCTACAGTGACTGTGGCTGAGAAGGGTTTAACTGCACGAGTCGACATTTTGTTTCAGTCCTTTTCCAAACAGTTTAGAACAAATCTGCTTCAATCCTCGGTTTGTGTTCTGGAGAGACGTTGTGGAGATTCTACAGTAGAGTCGTGTGTGCTGTGTAGTTGCGAGGCTTTGGTGACGGTGTTGAGTGTGGATGGGAGGAGGACCAGCTGAGGACTGGTTTCTGGAAGGGAGCGTTCTGGGGGCGTCGTTCTGGCGATGGTGGAGTTCCGCTTGTATGCGAGAGCCACCCGGCTTTCAACGTGATGTTGAAACCAGAGAGGGGCAGCCCGCAAGGGCGAGCTCATCAGTTCCAACACACGAATCAGAGGTCGACTATATCACTACTGTCGTGCCTCGCCGTCGAAGGCCTGCTAAATCCGAACCCATAGATATTCCGGTTAAGAGGACCCCTGCACCGGTTTACGAGTCTGCCAGTGATAGGCGTTGGTGGTTTAGATAATACCAGGCAATCTGATGTACACAGGCCCAAGCATCGTTTGAATACTCCGGAAGCTTTCTGAATGATGTTGCAGTTGCCACATAATCGAAAGTGGAGCATTTTTGTATATCAGCCAAAGAAACTTGTGCGTCAAAAACAAGAAACACTCCCCGAGTTGGACACGCCACCTGTACTTCAAAGCTTGAATTGAAGAGGAAGGCTGCATTTGCAACTATGATTACTCGAATATTTCCCAGTAATAAATTGAGAAGTGGAAGATTCAAAAAAAAATCTTTACTTATTCTTTTTTATTAAAACGTTGGAAATGAATATTAAAAAAAATTGGAACAAGTCTGTGTGTGTGTGTGTGTGTGTGTGTGTTTATCTACACACACATTATAAATTATTTTTTTGTTGTGAAACATCAAGGTTTGTAAAAAAATAATTAACTTTTTTATCTTATATTGTGTCATAAATTTTGTGATTTTATTTAAAATAGAATAATATAAATTAGAGTAAAATAGTTTAAATTTAAAAAAATTGCAAACAAATAATTAAGCTTCTCAAAAAACAATCATGTGCTGGATCAAAATTGAACATATTCATTTTATGAACTTCAAGAAAAATGTGTATTGTTACAATTCAGATTATTTTTCCATCATGTGTTTCAAGTGTGGTTTCCTTTTTCATAATTTTTTATGAAGAAATTCAACCATTCATGGTATTTCTTCATAAACTATGAGGTTGCTACAATTCTGAATGAAATACTGGCCCAGCTAAATGACATACAAAATTTTAATTTTTGAAAAAGTAGTAGATGCGTTTCATTTTTGAATTTTTTTGTTGGTTGGATTTTGATGTTGAATGTAAAATATGGGTTGGCAGACCAGAAAAGAACAGGAGCCTGTTGTGAAGAGCAACTGAATACACTGACATGCCTTTAGTACATTGACGATGGTATAGTGGAAACCCTAATATATATATTATCAGAGGCAGCACGTGTGTCCAACAGAATAAGACACTGACATATAATAATAGATGTGTGTACCCACCTCAATATCCTAGTTTCTTAATGTCTTTTTAAGCCCGAATGATTGGTCCATCCATGCAACGTGGACGTCACATTGAAAACTTCCTCTAATTTTGCGATAATTAATCACAAACCGATTCAATGAGGAGCCTTGCGATGAATGGATTCAAAACGAAACCTGAAATCTCGGTGTTTTCAACAGTCGCACCGGACGTGCTTGAGGATGCTTCCACTAAAATCTGTGTAGCTAAATGGTGATTTTCGCTTTCAGACGTCAAGTTAAATATCTAGATGAACGCCCTAACAAACCGCTTCAACGGTGTGGTGGTTCGAAGCTGGTGATTGATATATACACACACACACACTTTTTATATATACATGAAGTGAGTACTTGAGCAACTCTAAGGATGTCTACAATCATGCGTTATCAACGTTGTTGACTCCTAATGCTTCAACCTGATCATAAAGCATCTCACATGAAGGTGCACGGCCTCAACGACCGTTCAAGTCGATAGCAGAATCCAAGGATTTGAAGCTGCGGCTTGGATTAGACCTCAGTGATGATGAAGAAGAAGAAGAAGAAGAAGAAGAAGACTGGTGTTCTCTGAGAGTCTGCACATTCGAAATGAAGCATTTTCCAAATTTGTAACATCTAACCATCATCTACACTCAACTTCAAGTAGTGACTAGTTATAATTCCTTCGATGGACAAACTAGACAAAAAGAGATTAGAGAAGTGCTGCAGTATAGGGTTGTGTCCGATCCATCATCTATCAAGTATGAAAGCTACGAATGCTCATCTTTGACCTGGACTTTCTCCCCACGACACAACTCAGGCCAAACAATTTCTTTTTCCCCTCGTTTTTGACTGAGATTTTTGAGAACCCAGACCTCTCGGAGAAGTTTTCCGGTGAGAACAGTGTTCAGGAATAAGCATCCAATGCTGGAGGATCTTGGCATTGAATTCTGTGCTTTCGCCGCAGGAGAGATTTTGAGGGGATGTGCTGAATAGCTTCACAGACAACATGTGTGTGGTAACTACAAAGCTCTGCTTCGAAGTCGCCTCACACAATCTCTCGCACATTCCAAGAGCTTTAGAGATGTCATGTCTTGAGGTTTTGCCTTGGTTGTGCAACGAACCGATTCCTCACCGACAGTATCATCCGTTGTAGGACCATTCGAATTTGAAATCTAGACAGTTGTGATCCACCGACGCCTCGGAAGGGCGTTGGGACTGGTGGCTTTCACGTGTCAGTTAGTTTTCTTGAATGTGCCCTTAACGCTAGATATTGTTTAAAAGGGGGCTCATGTGGGTTCGACTACTTAACTCTAGATTCGGTTCTTCTTTGGATTATCTTATTATTATTGTTATTATCATTTCTCAGCACCACCTGCACCATAACGGAATGGAGCTGTGCTAGTTTTTCTGTCTCTGACATGGACTACGTGCACGCATCCACAGGCTTGAACCCACACAACCACTAGCTCGTGAGATACTTTCATTCTCTAAAACTTACCATTGATAATTTCCCATCATAATCCACAACTCAAACAAGCTCATTGAAAAAGCGTTTTTTTTTTCAAGAATTTTTTTTTGGGTGTGAAAGAGTTTACAAGATTGTTTTGTGTAGAAAATTAACATTGAATATCAACAAGTAGATCCTTTGATTATAACCATAAAATTGATTGCATATTTAGTCTTTTTGTAAAGTGGATCAATTTACACATTAATTGTCATTACTTTTTTTAATTATGAAATATATATATTTATATTTAAAGTGATGGTGATAAATTAAAATAAAGAAATGCAAGATGGACTTGGTTCCTCATGGGGTTACCAGATTGTTTGCTTTTGGCAATAGGTTCCACTTGGAGGAGAATAAGTTGCCGATATACAATATTTGGTTGTGACATCAATTTTTTCTAAACTCTACTGCCATAGCAATCTTATTGATTCAATGTAGCTTATGATATGATTGCATTTATGCCATGCTTGTAAAGATGGTCTTAGGCCATACCCAATCAATAACAAAAAAAAAAATCTATGGCTTTGTCAACAACAAAGATCTTCTTATATCAAGTGCACCGAACCTACTAGAGGATGGTAGCTTGTTAAACATCTCCGATTAATTCCAACAGTCAAGTGTTTAATATGTAGATATCAAGGATTTGTGAACCTCAAAGGATTCTAGTGAGAATCTCTTTCTATGATAATTGTAACTAGTATCTAAGATTATTTTAAATCGAACCAAAATGGAAAAATATCCATCTAGTACCTTTGTACAATTCAAGACAATTATTTTGCAAGTACCCCAATTGCAATAATGACAATCCCTATGGTATCCTATTAATATACACTAGTTATTAGTGAGCATACCTCTTGAATTAATTTTCTAGAGAAATACTTAAAATTTAGTTGGTTTATTTGGGTCTCAAATCAATTTGATGGTTTCCTTGGAATTTGTACTAGTCATATTGAGTCAAGATTGCATAATATAGAGATGCAAAAGTGAGAGTTTGTTGTCTATTGCAATCCAAGGAATCAATAAATATTTTAATTTAGTGGTGTTTTTAGTGGCAACACTAATATTAAGTTATAATAGATACTACTTAAAAATATTTTTTATTTAATAAATCATTTGATTATTATACAAATCAATCGTTTCTTTTACACATACATGCCACACTTGCCAATTATTACATATATTTATTGTCAAGAAATAAATATCAAAATAATGAAAGTTGATTGACAAGTAAATTGTTCAAGATATTCTTATAATTTTTTGTAGAAATTTTAAAATATAAGAAATAAGAAAAATTGTTGCAAGTTAACTAAGTAGTTGCATTTTGTTGAGATTATTATAAAATTTGAAGCATAAAGTTATATACATAAGATTTGTGATTGAGAAGAGAAAAGATAAATTTGACTCATTAATAAATAACATTTAAAAATATTAATAAAATAAACTTCTTCATTGTCATTATAAAATTTGATTTTTAAAGAAGAGTATAAAGCATAGATAAGCATGGTTTTACACTTGTTGATTGGTATTTTAAGAAGATATTAAAAAAAAAAATTGAAAAGGTGAAACAAAACATAGTTGAAATTACCACAGAAAAAATTATATATATATATATACAGAGAGAGAGAGAGAGAGAGAGAGAGAGAGAGTATTGTATTAGATTTACTTCAGTTCGTATGTAAGACATATTTTATGAGTATTTCTTAGACTTTGCAATGGTGAATTTGGTAAAATTTCTTAGTTTATTGTTGCACTAAAAAACAGTAGATTTAAAATGATGTGTTTGTGCAAAAGAAAAATTTAAAACTTTTGAATTGTTCGTTGTAAACGTCGGTGAAAAAGAAATTTGGTTTGAAAAACTGAAAGAAAAAAAGTATACGATATGTTTCATGTTGATCTTAAAATTGTTTTCAAAACAGCGACTCCTCCTGGCCCTCTTGTACACAATTTTATTCGACAGTGGAAAACAAAGGATATCTTTACCAGCTAATAGTGAAAAGCCAAATCCAGGATGAGTACAAATCAATAAAACCGTGAAATCCATTGTCACCGACAGAATCGATACAAAACAACGAATTTTATCACGTTGAGAATGGATGCCACGTGGGAAAAACCTTCGTATCCAATCACATTACATTGTGCTCCAAGAAAATAAATTAACCCACTAAAAAATTCACGAAGAAATAAAAGAGGAGAACAAAACAAAAGAAAAAGAAGGCATCGAAAAAGAGAAATAGTGGAAGAAGTTCGAAGAAAAACCCGAGAGAGAAACACAGTAAAAGAAATGAGGAGATATAAAGATAATCGGGGCCAAGGAAAAGAAACGAGGAGAAGGTAAAAGAAATGAAAAAGAAAAGCGAAACCGAACTGAGTGTGAAAACGGCAAAGAAAGGAAAGAGGAGAGAAAGTGAGGTTGCTGAAAAAGGCAACGGAACCTCGCGTGTGCCAACAACCTCATTCATTCACTTCCTCATCCATCACCCAAAAGACATCCATGAACACATTCATCCATTAGAGGATGATATCCTAGAGGAGGATCCTGCGCTCGCAGAGTCACGGCACTGACGGCACTCACTCACCGCAAGCGAGAGCGCCGTCGGCAAGCCACGACGGATAGGAGGAAGAAGAAGATGAAGTTGGCAGAGATAGAGATCGAGAGAGAGAGAGAGAAAAGAAAAGAGAAAAGGGAGCGAGGAAGAATCGAGCGAGCGAGAGAGAGAGAGAGAAAAAAGAGGAGCGAGGAAGGACTGAGCGAGCGAGAGAGAGAAAAACGGGGAGTGAGGAAGGATCGATCGAGCGAGCGAGCGAGAGAGCCAAGTCCATGGGTGGCAGGATTCTCTCGCGCTCGACTCTCGAGTAGTAGTCGTTGTTGTTGTTAATGTTGGTAGAGGAGGAGGAGGAGGTGGAGGAGAATAATAGTAATAATAATCTTGAGTAAGTCCGGACCAATTCTCTTCCCTTCCCTTTCTCTTCCCTCTGGCTGACTTTGAACAGCTGGTGCAAATGGCTGGCTCCTCCTCCTGTTTCGCATGATGCTGCAAGGTTGTCGTCGTCGTCTTCGTCTTGCCCTCGTGGGGAAGCTTTCGTGGATTGAGATCATGGGCCTACTAATAAGGGTGTTGCGTACTGACTTCGTCCTTGGGATTTCAGCAGGGGAATGCGATTGATATAAGTTGATATGCCGTTGTGTTTATTTGTAGTGCTCTAGCGCACTGCGGTTGCACGTGTTGGGTGATTCTTCTTGTGCACAGTTTTTTGTGTCTGTAGCAATGACAGTTAGTAATGGAAGTCCGGAGGCGAATAATGGTTCTGTTGCTCCCTCGAGCCCGAGGTCTGACGGCGAGTGGGGACGAGTTGGTGAGGATGAGACTAACAGAGAGTCGAGGCATAATGTGGAGAATCGCTTGAAATCAGGGCAGGATAAGAAAGTTGAATTAGAAAGCAATGAAGAGGTGGAGAACCAAGACGAGGTTGAAATAGAGAATGCACCACCGCATCTGATCAGGGGTTTGCCTAGTGGTAGCCCGAAGCAGAGCTTGGAGTTCAAGAGTGGTGGTGTAGAGCCCACTGTTCATAGTAGATCGCGGCTTCGGTCATGGTCCTTTGGAAATGTGCTGGATGGTTTCAGACTTGACAAAGAGGACGATTCCATGCAGAATTCCAGTTTTCCAAACCCTAGTGCGTTTAATCCTAGTCCGTCTCCAAGTAGGAAACCTAGAAATGGCGAAGTGGAGAGTAATACTAGCTCCCCGTCAAGGCTCGAGTCGCCGTTGTCTAAGGGGTTACCGCTAAGGCAAGGATCTCCCATGCCACATAGGTCACCGCTAAGGCAAGGATCTCCCATGCCACATGGGTCTCCGCTAAGGCAAGGATCTCCTATGCCACAAGGGTCTCCGCTACGTCAAGGATCCCCAATCATGAAGAAAATACTGACTCCATCGATATCTTTCGCCCGAATTGAGGGAGAGAAGGAGGAGAAGTCGAGAATGGTTTCCTCAATGGAGGAGCTGGAATTGAAGGATGGCATCAAGCTTCCTCTGATAGGAGAGGTGCGGTGGGAAGACCTCAAGCGGCATGCAATGGTATGGCTGAGGAATCCAAAGAATCTAGTGTTGCTCGTTTGGATAATTGCTGTAGCTGTGTCGGGGGCCATCTTGTTCATGGTCATGGTGGGGATGCTGAATGCAGTACTTCCGAAGAAGAGCGATCGTGACCTTTGGTTTGAGATTTCGAATCAGATTCTGAATGCGCTCTTTACCCTCATGGCGCTCTACAATCATCCCATCAGGATTCTTCATTTGATCTATTTGATTCGATACAACCCTACTGACATCATCAGGCTTCGGCGAAATTACTGCAAGAATGGACTTCGGAAACCACATGAATGGGCTCACATCTTGGTGGTAGTGCTTCTTCTGCATTTGAATTGCATTGCTCAGTATTGTCTTTGTGGTCTTAACTGGGGTTATCGGCGAGCAAACCGCCCTCCAATCGGTGTAGCCGTCACCCTTCTTTTATCCTTCGGGGCAGCTGCAGCAGCTGGAATCTACAACTCATTGAGTCCGTTGGGAAGGGATTATTTCGTAGGAGTTGATGAAGAGGTTGCACCCGACGAGGTTGATCTCATTTCAGACAAAATGGAGAGGGCCGAGTGTACAGGGCACTCGTCCTCAATCCATCCAACTTTGTTCAAGCTGCACAACCCTAGATACAAACTATTAGAGAAGAGCAAGTCTTTTGCATCTCGAGAAGGAAAGCCTGTATTAAATCCAGAATGGGAAGGTGGCGTGTTCGACTGTTACGATGAGCCCACCATTAGCATCCTAGCAATTCTTTGCTCTCCTTGTGTAATGGGGTTTAATTACGAGAGGCTTGGGTTTGGTAACCGCTATGTGCATATTGTAACTTTCTTCCTCCTGCTAGGTGCGCCGTATATGGTTTTCAATCTCGCGGCAATCAATATCGACAACTCGTACGTTTTCTTATCCATGCTGCATGGAGTGCGTTTCGAGTCCAAGCAATTTATGTCAAAGTCACCTTGATTGACTTGCCATCAGTTTTGGATTTTTTGGCATCAAATAGAATTTCAAATTTGGGTTTTGAAAAAGAACAGATTACGAATCGTCTGTCTGTTTGTTTGTTTGTTTGTTTGTTTTGTTTTTCTTTTTTAATATAGTTTGATCGATTGATTGAATCAATTTAAAAATCTCTCTCCAGTACATTGGATATTGTTGAGCAGTTGATTTCCAATAATCTGATGTCAGTGTAGAACCTTTGCTTTCTTAAAATTTTCTGCAAATACATTTCTCATGCTTACTTGTTTAGGTCATGTACTAACACGTGTCTTGTTGGTGCGTGTAGGTACGTGAGAACTTCCTTGGGAGTAACTGGCATTGTGCTCTGTGCGTTCAGCTTGCTCTATGGGGGCTTCTGGCGGATAAGAATTCGAGAAAGATACAATTTGCCTTCCTACACATGGTGTTGCAACAAACCTAAGGCGAGCGACTGCTTTTTGTGGCTCTTCTGTTGCTTCTGCTCTCTCTGTCAAGAGGTTCGCACAGCAGAGGCTTATGATGTTCGCAATGATAAATTCTTTTCTAGGTCTTTGGCTAAGCCACAGACCCCAGGAAGCTCACCTGACCATGAAATTCAAGACAACAGGATGCCAGTCCCAGCGTCCCTCATACGACCTCTTCCAAGCTTCCCAATGGTGACAATTAAAGACCAGAATTTATCTCCAGGTGAGGAAAGTGTTAGACAAATGCGAGACGGGCCTATTAATTCAACTGTGTTGTCCCCCCCATCTCGTCAATCTATCGATCGCATGCCGGATCGTCAAAACACGTGACACATCTTAAGCTTGACAAGAGCAGGCTTGACGAACATATGTAACTAATGTGAGGCGATTCCACTTTGACATGAGAATTTGGACTGAGGGAGGAATTATAGACCACTTGCATGAAAAGGGTCCCTCCATGCTCTTCACATGTACATTAAACTTTCTTTTAGGTTCAAGGGTTTGGATCCAGAGCTTTACATGGAGAGCATACAGCAGATGCTGCGTTGAACACACGTAAGAATAAGAGAGTTATTGACAACTTAGTTTGTGGGGATCTGAGGTTAAAGAGGTGATTAACCTAGCTCCTGTGCTACCACTCCCATCAAAGAAAAGGTGTGAGCCCTAGAGTAGATCAATTGTAACGGTGCCAGACTGCATCTCTTATTTGTAAACATCCAAGAATCATTCCACTTGGATCATTTTCCATTAGTATCTAGATAGGAGTTTAGATTTTTACACATATGAATGCTTGTGTGCAATTATTGAGTGTAAGTATGTATCAGTTCAAGGTAGAGTGTATTTGAACTAAGAGGTTTTCAGTAAGTACAATTCAATAAAATCAAAGCATTTTTAGATGAATATTTAAGCTTAAGAAATATGAAATAAACTTGCAAAAGCTACATCTCTTCAAAATACAACCCAATCCACATTTTGCATATGATTTGATATCATGAAAGCATTGAGCAGAGCAGATGGTGTTAGAGTTCTTGAAAGTCATGATTTAGAATCTTTGAAGCCATGAAATACATTTACTTACATATAAAATATAAACAGTCAATCTGATTAGACTAAACATGATATAAATTGAAAATTATAAGAAAAATAAATGAGAGATATTTTCACTTTGTGGAAAGTTTGTTTTAATTTTGAACTTTTTTACTTAAAACAAAGAGTTCCAGTTCGATACATTTTATTTTAGCACTTCTTTTTTCACATCCCTTTAAAGTAAAAACTAAAAAATACTTTTTCTTTTTCTTTAAATTAAAATTTTAATAACATACATCAAAACAAAATGGTTGAAATTTGGGAAAGAAAACAAAATATCTGTTGCATATATATATATATATATATATACACACACATGAACATCACTCAACATTCACTTCAATTGTTTTTATTTACTTTCAACAAAGTACAAATATAATGGTACACACTACTCTACACTAATGTTCCTTAAAACATACAAACAAACAAAAAAACACACAAGAAAAAACACAAGAAATCCTAATGTAACATAAAATAACTTTTCACTGAAAGACCCAGCAACAACTTCTACACTTAATAACCAAAAGAGTATCACAACATCAAAATCAGCAAAAAACATGTTAATAAAATGCTTCAGTGACGAATAATTGTCCTTCAATAGTTCGAAAACTATCATTCAACACAAAACTACCATTCTCAAAAGAATCACATAACAAGATCACACCAATTCCACCTTCAACAAGGAGTAGAATCCTCTTATGGGTTAGCAGTGCTTTCATATTCCACCATCTAATTTATCATCACACAACATAAAAAAGCTAGTTAATTAAGTAAAAACTAAAGCTTTGAATGTGTGGTGACGATGTGTAGGTGTTGAGCTTGAGGCCGTGACGAGGCCGCGAGCGTGACGAAGGTGACGCGAGCGAGGCGCGAGTCGCAGCTCGCATTCCGTGGTGCCGCTCGGGTGCAGATAGAACTAGCAGAGGAGGAATCCGCGCCAGCCAGTAGCAGTGGAGCTTGGGACGGAGACCCAATCCTCTCGATATCCGCACCGGAGCATCTCCTCCAATGGACTCCACCTGCCACTTGGGCCTCCTCGTGACCACAATCTGTCTCCAGCTTCTCCTCGCAGCTTCCAATAGTATAAACTATCTCTACGTTGCCACGGTTTCTTCACAGTAGCCTTCTGTCTTTCTTCCACAGCGTACCAGTTTTGCCTTGTGTTTTATCGCTCGGCTTCGTTACCATGGCCGCCGCTACCGCCATGCACTCCACCGCCTTGGCTGGGCAGAGCCTGCTCAAGCCCGTCAACGAGCTCTCCCGCAAGGTGGGCAATGTTGAGGCCCGTATCTCCATGAGGAAGACTGCCAGCAAGTCCTCCGACAGCATCTGGTACGCTCCTTGACCACCTATGTTACTGGTAAACCAATACACACACACTATGTACTTCGATTGCTTGTGTTCTTGTCTGTACCATTCCATCTCCAGTGGTGGTTTTGCTTTGTTATGCCATCTGAGTATGCAGGCTGAGTGAATCTAGTGATTCAGACTCAATGAGTGAGCTGAAACCCTCAACATTAATGTCTATTTAGTGGATAGCCTATGGATAATAATGTAGATAACTTCTCGGAACAGGGTTGGCGAGTGGGGTTCTTATATTTCATATCAGCACCAGCAATGCACGTCACATGCTTTACAATTGACATGTATTCTTATTGTGTAGGTACGGTGCTGACCGACCCAAGTACTTGGGCCCCTTCTCTGGTGAGACCCCCTCATACCTCAACGGTGAGTTTGCTGGTGACTACGGATGGGACACTGCTGGACTCTCCTCCGACCCCGAGACCTTCGCCAGGAACAGGGAGCTCGAGGTGATCCACGCCCGGTGGGCCATGCTCGGAGCTTTGGGGTGCGTTACCCCTGAGCTTTTGGCCAAGAACGGTGTGAAGTTCGGTGAGGCCGTGTGGTTCAAGGCCGGAGCCCAGATCTTCAGCGAGGGAGGTCTCGACTACTTGGGTAACCCCAGCCTTGTGCACGCTCAGAGCATCTTGGCCATCTGGGCTTCCCAGGTTATCCTTATGGGAGCCGTTGAGGGTTACCGTGTCGCCGGTGGACCTTTGGGTGATGTGACCGACCCCATCTACCCCGGAGGCTCCTTCGACCCCCTGGGTTTGGCTGACGACCCCGACACCTTCGCTGAGTTGAAGGTGAAGGAGATCAAGAATGGCCGCCTCGCCATGTTCTCCATGTTCGGTTTCTTCGTGCAGGCCATCGTCACCGGGAAGGGTCCCTTGGAGAACTTGAACGACCACTTGGCTGACCCCGTCGCCAACAACGCCTGGGCCTACGCCACCAACTTCACCCCCGGAAACTAGACTATGATTAGCTGACATTGCCGAAGGTAAAGCCACTTGGGTTGTAACATAGAGAACCAGGGATGACCTTATTTCATGGTTGAGCCTCTGCTGCGCTGAAATAATATTGGAAATTTCTTGCACATTGTTATATCATCTGTCTGCCGTGATATTCTCGTATTGGATGTCTGAAAGGAGTAAAACCTATGTAATGTCTATATAGATATACGAATGTCTGGAAACGATGTCAACAGCCTCCCTGTCGATGTCCTGATAACTTAGATTATTAACACTTATCGAATTAAAATTAAATTTGGAAGGTTTTTGTCTCCTCTCCTCAGTTGCCGGCGAAATGGAGTTTGGTCACAGTGGAGAGAATTCTCGCAGCCTTCTCAACAGAATGTTGATCTCAGATTCGCGACATTGACTCATACCTTCCCAAATCCAATCTCTAAACAACCACGTGGGATTAATCTAAGACGAGTAGTGAAGATTGTGTGCGCTAAATAAACTTCGTTTATATCCCGGTGTCAGTAAACAAGTTCAGTTGTACTATTTCTGCAAAAATGTTAATATATATACTCTCTGTCAACCATGAACTTACTGCCCAATAAATATTTGTGCTGAAAACATATCTCTATGGCAACTTTTATAGCGATATAGACACTGTCACAGACGTTGTCATACAAGTACAACTCTATACATATATGTATGTAAACATGTGTACATGTGTGTGTATATGTCACATAACGCCATGTCAGAATTTTATTATTTGCGAGTCATTGTATTCTAGACAGAAGTATCATCTTGCCCGCAATGTGCTCGCATATTTCTTATTAACTGTTTTACATTCAGAATGAAAGTATGCCTAACCTAATGACTTCCATATGTGCCCTTACTTTTGAGCAGTGTTAACATTTGTGGAGGTTGTAATACACAATCAACAATGTCATGCATGATACATTGGGTGAGCATTGTTTGTTGCTTTCGGTACAAAGTGTTATAGATCAAATGTAATTTTAGGTGATAATTTTGATGGATTGATATTTTCGGTTGCAATTTAAAGTGTTGTTAGATGAATATGGCTTAATAATGTTCTAAGTATCATATTCTAATATATGTTCAAGTTTGCAAAATTCTTTTCAATGGTGAAATCGTTTTTCAAGAATGTTTACAAGTTGAAATTATTCTAGAACTCAATGAACAATCAATGTTTCATACTTCATTAGTAAAGTCAATTAATAAGAATAACTTGAAGCTAAGCTACAAATAAATAATTTTTTTGTTTCTAAATCTTACTGGACAATACTTAGAATTTGAAAAAAAAGAAGACGGTTCAAGACTTCATATTGTAGTACTAAAATAAACATTCACATCATTACTTAAATTTTGGCCACCCTATTTATTTTATTTTATTTTATTTTATTTTAGGAAATACAAATAAAATATTTTGTAAGAACAAAAATTCTATATTGTATAAATAATGGTTGTGTGCATTTCATTGATGTGTGATTCTTACATCAAATTGACAATTAAGACACTTGAATAATGTTAACGACTTTTGAAGTCCTCATTGAATAGTTTGTAAGAAAATATTGTTTTATTTTTATTTTTATTTTATTTTTATTTCTAAGTTACCAAGAAAGAGAATTTTACTTAGATTTTTTATTAAAAAGTCCTAGTCCACCAAGGTAGGTGATGATCAGAAGAAATTAAACCATTACAAATGTGAAATGTTAAAAAAAAACTTAAATGTATAGTATTAATAACCAAAGAGATAGTAGAAATTATAATTTTATAAAATTACTTAATGAATAAGTATTTCACAACTGAATTAGATGTTAACAAGATTTTTAAATAAGAAAAAAAAGATATATATATACATATATATATATATATATATATATATATAAATACAACTCTACCAAACTAAAGTCAATTATTTATTCTTACACTAATCATCATAATATTATCCATTGAAAACGTCACTCTTAAAAAAAAAGGGAAAAAAAAACCTTGGATTACATGTAATTCTTTTAAGAAAACATGGTATGCAAAAATTGAGGAATGACATGCAAGCATCATAATATCAAAGTTAGTACCATCTATGAACCTTTGAAAACATCAACCAACACCTTCAACAACCCAAGTTATTGTAGCATTAATAATCATTTAAAATTATAGTTTTAATACTGGACTAGAATAATAACAAGTATGTCCACATATCCACATTTAGTGTCAACACTCGACGAGGGAACCAGGCTTTCCTCCATCGCCATGAAGGAGAGAACGAGTGGCGCGGTCATAGGACCCCAAAGCGTGATCTTGGGAAGAGAGGTGGGCGGTGCATTCAATGAATGCCGCCTCCATTTGGTGACAAAGGAAAGGGGAGTAGTATATGATATGCAAAGTGAGTTATAATAATAATAATAATAATAATATGAGAAATGATAATTAACAACGTTCTCTATTCTGGGTATCACGCATCTCCTCGTCTCCTGTCTTACCTGCCTCCCTCATTAAGAAACCCATCAATGAATGTGAATGTGATCAGGATGAGACAATGCAAGCTGCGAGGAGTCACTCCCACTCGAACACACATGTTTCTCTTCCTGCATGGAGTCAGGCTGGTATCGAGATGCTTTTTTTTTTTTTTTTTTTTTTTTTTTAATATCGTGCAGGCCGCGTGTTACACCCAATCTAGTGTCGTAGCTTAAGGCAGTTTGGAAGAAAGGGCTGTGGTTTGTTACAATGGCTTGAATTCTGGCTTGCATTGTGGTTGGGCTTCGCGCTGGGTATCACCAAACCGTTCGTTGAATTCGAGGTGGCTGACAGGATTTGCGAGATGGAAGGGGTTGCGTTGTTGTGGTGAGAGTGGATGAGGTGACAGGTTTGGACGCTTTGGGTTTAGGAGTAAACTTCATGAAGGCCGCAAGACAGGAGACGTCGAAGTGTAGGGGGCGAAGGGGCAAGAGAATGTCATGTGCGAAATGTGCTGATTTGTTTTAGATTTATGAAGTTGGAGTGACGAAGGTATGTATGGAATGACTTGCAGCAGGGAGGTGTGATGGAGTGGCCTTGGCTGTGTTTCAGAATTAGGGATATCTCAGCTCGGAAGGTTCGTGATGCCGAGGTATGTATCTTGATGAGTGATGCGTGTCTAAGGTTGTCGCAGGTTTATGATTGGCGTGCTCTTGGTCACCCATCTTTTGCAATGCTGATAGATTTGAAGGTGATTGTCAAGGTTGCTTGGTGGTTTTTCCTTGTATGAATCGATCTTGAATTGAGTCTACACCAGGGAAGAGGGAGCTGCGGTTCCTACGACACTAAGCTTATCAGTCTTGCGGCGCAGTTTGACTGCTCCAAGACACCTTTTACACAAGGTACTTGGTTAGAAATATACAATTCTTCTTGGCCTTTCTCGTGGCTTTCGAGTCTTTTCAGTACCTCAGCTGTAGTTCCCTGTCGAGTGACAGATTTATTTTTCCATTTTTCTGGAAGTCAGGAGTTCCAACTTCTCTTGAAGTCATGGTTGCATAGAATTCTTCCATTGAGAGCTGTAAATGGACCATTAGTTCGAATAAATGCCCATTGAATCTACCGAGTCATAGTGGGTGTTTATCAATCGGTAGTAACTTGTAAGAACTTTTTGTATGAAACAATTAACTGAAATTTGCGGACTTATTACGGTGCAAATCACTTGCAACTCCGGCGAGCGGAGTATGATTTTTTCGTCAATGATCCCCCACCAGAGTCAGGAACACCAACCACATACGCCGTATCGTCGACGAGTTTAAGATGCGCAGATGGAAATGGCAGTGAGAAGGAAGGTAACAGCTTGACATATCAGGTAGACCTTTTGCTCTCAATCAAAGTAGGAAGGGGAATGGATAAAGCTATTGAGCATCTAATTAAATTTAACATTCCTACAGCATCCTAAATGCATCCTTTCCATCTTCATAGTCTTTTTCGAGTGCTTTTCCGATTGCCCCCATGGGTTATGTTACATGAGCGTGGCGTCGGTTTCTTTAGGAAGCACGTCTGCGGCCCCACGTTGTGAAGAAGCGACAGGGAAACACGGACGAGACATTTCTAAACAAAAGTGTCAAAGGAGGGCAGTATGGGCCCCGCTGGGTCAATGGCCAAGGTACTCGAGAGTCCTGCGTTTCGCGAGCACCATCGAGTTCGCGGAAGTCCTTCTCTGAGCTCCTAACAGAAACTGACACCATCGAGTTCTCGACATCCAGAGTAAAAGGTCCCCTTGCAATGTAAGTACGAGAAAATTGCTTTAATATTCTCCTGGTCTTCTGATTCCACACAGTGACAATCTAATTTGCTCCTGAGTTTTTGACAGGGCTGCCATGGCTGCAGCTGCCGAGAGAGCTGCGAGTCCTCGAAGATTGCAGGAAGAAGGCGAAGGAGGAAGAAAGAAAATTTGGCCCAAGCATTTGGAGGCAAACGAGCACACTCCTCTTGGTCCTCAATCTTCTCATCTTGAAGCTTCGCAAGCAGTAGCCGACTTCAAGGAGAATAGACGTAGGCACATGTCGGAGAGGGCGTCAAATGGGCAGGCAAATGTGAGAAATCGTAGCTTGTTTCGGTCGTCTAGAAAGCGCTCCTTGCTACTAAGGTCTCATCTGTTCCGAAGAACTCTTTCTCCTGTTCCGGAAGCCTTATCCCTCGAGGAAGAGCTCCGGAGCAAGCGACAAAGTAGCGGAGATTTGCCTGTTTTTTTCACTGGCGACTTGCAGCAAGCTCTTGGGGGCTGTGGTGACAATGACTCTAAAGATTTAATACCTTCTACCCGGATACATCGACGGGATGAAGAAAGGTATTTTCTAGCACTGAGTGAGAAGGCATCAATGGTTACTTCAGAATCACCCTTGACAGAGGAGCGGGATGATCATGCACGTGTTGAGAAATTGCATGAAATACCACCGCAAACGGAACAAGAGAATCTGGGGGGTGCTGGTGCTAGTCCTGCTCCTCCTCTTTGCAGTCCAGGTTCTTTTATGAGATTTGGGATTGGACTAAGAGAAAAAATCGTACGTGATGGAGGTTTGCTTGATGATGACATCACAACCAACTGCAACCGTGGCTGTATTCTTTACGAAGGGCTTGATATGTCCGCGTGTACTTCAGGAGGAGAATTTCAGGAGGAAAACTACTTTTTTTTTGGAGAATTCAGCGTCTCGAGATCATGCACCCACTAGCAACCTACACCGGGAACACGATGAACGGCAGGATGATGACAAATTGCTGAAGACTCCAGTTAGGGAAGTATCAGTAGCTCCAGAATCGTTTTTATCTCCGAAAACAACAGACTCGGAGCGACAGTTCACAAGATTGATGGACATGGAACCGGTGGAAAGACCCATTTTTGGCTCCCTTGCGGACTACTGGGGTAGCCCACGCAGTTCCCCTGGGATGGACAAGGCATTCCGAATTCGACTGACAAGTATCGGGAGGTAAAGAATCAACCTCACTCATTGTTGACAGAACTCCCTGCTAATTTCAAAGCTTGCGCATCCGTCAATCACTTACTGCAACATCGTGTGTTATTCGATACAGGATCAGAAAGTAATGTGGCATTCTGCATCTTTTGAGGAACGTCTAGTAAAAGCATTAGAAACGCAGCAAAACTCAGTACCCTTGAGGTACATGCTGCATGCCTCTGCCCTTGTTTGCATACACTTCAGTATTCTCAGTTTTGCATCGACTTCTCTTCATCTTGCAACAGGGTCGAAGCATCACAATTATTAGCTCATCAGTTTTTATATACTCTTTAAATGGTCGTTTATTCAGTTTCTGCTGGGTCGTCTCTTTCTTCGACTTGTTTTCTCTGCCAGGCTTTTATTTGCTCCGCAAATTTAGTCCAAGTGCTGATGGTGACTGTGAAATGTTTAAGGCTTTGTGTAGTAGGTTCTAAAACTTGGTATTATAATATCTTGAAACCAGTGGGTTATCATGTGCCAGAAGAAACAGGTCAAGAGAACAAGCCAGTCAATTAGCCATAGGTAGCAATGGGAGGTTTGCAGTCACACTGGGCCAGCCCTGACTAATAAAACCAGCCTGAAATCGGAGTTAGGTAGACTGTTTTTATAGTGTCATCCTCGAATTTCTACTTTTGTGTGGAGAACTGAGCCAAGCCTGGTGGTATGGATCAATCAAAACACCCTCCGAAACTAGATGATTGTATATTCAGCTGCCAAGTTTTGAGCAAATTTCTGCATTAGAAGCTGTTGCAATGCTGTTAAATGAACAGCCTTCCTGGGTGGTTGTATGTATATATATATATATATATATTCAGATATTTTTCGCATTGTATTGTAAGTTTGATTCTAAATCAAAAATCGAAACTCAAATTACTGGTTCCTCAACCAAAAGATCAATAGAAATGGAATGAGTGTCTAAAATTTGAATATATATACAGGTATATTTAAATTAACTTTTTTCACATTGCGCATAATAAAACTTCCTGGCAATCATTAATTTTACCGAAGTTACTGTAAACAAAACCATTGTACATGGCTAAGCCAAACAAAGAAACGCCAAAAAGTTTAAATGTTTTTCAATTCTCTATAATACAACGACATTTAGCTATACTTTTAATTACACATTTAGGACTGTAGATGATACAATTTTTTAAGATTTAAGATTAACTTTACTAAATGTTAACATACTTACTGCTATTTTATAAGTTAGTCTATATTTCAAAATTGTTACACATTAAACGTTTAAAAATATATAATTAAAGAAATGCAGTTAATGTTTTTTTTTTTTTTAAAACTAGATTGGTTTTTGTGATAAAATACATCTTTGAATTTAAGAATTGACTATTTTTATGTCCTTTATATTTCAAATTTTAAACATGTATTACAATACTTTTAAAACTTTCTATTAAATAATAAATAATTATAAATTAGGATTTATCTTAAAATAAAAGCATAATTATTGATAATTAGAAAATAGAATTAGCAATAAAATGTATTATCATTGTAAATAAAATTAACATTGGAAAATTTTTATTTTCTTAGAAAAAAAATATTAAAGCAGATAATTATTAAAAATTTACTTGTAAAAATATTACCAATGATATTATTATGATAAGTTTATTTTTAGTATTTATCCAATTAAAAAAATTAAATTAAATTCCTTAGTTTAAATAGCTATATCTTATGAAGGTACCACCAAAATGGCTATTATTACTATTATTTCTTTCCATTTTTACTTTTATCTTTTTTATATTTTATTCAATTTTTGTCTTTTAAAAAAACGTTGGATTTTCCTTTAGAGTATCCATATCTCTTAATAAAACTCATTTGATAATAGTAGATGTTACATCTATTGTCTATTTATTTACTTTTTTATTTTATTTTTTATAATTATTTAGGTATCATCTAAGTCTCTATATGTATGTATATGTATGTATGTATCTATATATGTATATATAAAATTCTTGTCTCTTAAATCCTATCTATCAATCTCTGTTTTGCTTTAAAAAAATTTTAATTAAATTTTTTTATGTACAGTTAAACTTGTAATATATTCACATATAATACTAAAAATTCTACTTTAAAAAATTACAATATAGTATTCAAATTTGATGGGAAAAAGACTTATATTTAATTTATTTTGTTTTAAAATTTTTATTATGGACTATTTATGTTGTGGTTTATGAAAAATAATTAAATTTGAAGATTTTAAGCTACTTTATTGATTAAATATTGTTATTTTTTTGATTTACTGATTTATTAATTTCTAATAAGTCACAACTTTCGAAGTAATAAATTGTAAAATTAAGTTTTTTACAATTAAATTTGGATTTCTTTTTTTGTTTTTGTTTTTGTTTTTTTATTTTATTATTATTATTTTTTTGTATTATTGCTAGAAAATTGTAGAAATTTTGATGGTTGTGATAAGAAAAATTTATAATTTTTTATTCTAAAAAAATGCATGTACATATATATATATATATATATATATATATATATATATGTGTATGTCTGTACACATATTACAATTTAGAGTTTGTTAATAAAACAAGTTATAGAGGTATGATAAATATATAAAATTTAGAAAGATTCATAGATAGATGAATACAAAAAAAAAAAAAAAAAATCTTACTTTAATTTTAAAAAATTTATATGTATATATATATATATATATATATATATATATATATAAAATTTTAACTTGTCTTATATCACTTATTATGATTTAAAATTATGTAATATAACTATATGATTTACTAAAACTTTTATTCCTATCTTTCAAATAAAAAATTATTGTATTTTTTATAAGATCTTTTCTAACAAGATAATGATTACAAATTAAATATTTTATTACTTTAATAAAAAATTAGTCAACTATATTATGAAAATATTTAGTCTTTTATTCTTTATTTTGATTTTAAAGTAATATTATCGTAACATATTATAAAAAATGCAATTATATGACAAAAAAATAATAATTAAGATTAAAAAATATAAAGAAATATATAATTTATTTTTTAATTTTTATGATATGATCTTTAAAATATTTTGGATTATTCAATTATACTTCTTTTAAATACTATAATTACTATTATGTTTTAGAGATATCAATTATGAAAATTCAATAGTTTTTTTAAAATAATAAAGATTTTACTTCAATTCAATAATAATTTTAGTTAATAATAAATGATGACCGTTTTAGATTTTGAAAAAGAATTAGAAGTAGAAAACATTAAAAACGAATAACATCATTTTTTTTATTTTATTCATAGAGAAATAATATGAATAATATACATTGTGCATATGCAATAAGAGATTATTTAATTATAGGAGTTCAAAGACCAAGGTAAGGTTTGGATTACTTGGTATGAAAATGCACTGGAACACTATGTTTTTGCAAAAGTTGATCTTGTTGTCAAATTTCTTCTTTGAGTGATATCAATTGCTCTTGTTCATCCCTTTTATCTATGACTTAGAAATATTGTTCTACATGAATAAGAATATTTTTGCATTTTGAGATGCTCAAAGTGTAGAAAAAATGAAATAATGATTTCAATTTTGATTCTTTTATGATGAAAATGTTGACCAAAAAAACCAATGTTGCTGTAATAAGTGGTAGAAGAGATCTCTGAAACCAAATAGTATCTGATGTTTTTGCAGCTTATCCTCATTGCAAGCCAACAGGGTCACTCAAGAGATTAAACAATATGGGTAGTGGATGATGCATTTTTCCAAGCAAATCACCATTCATGACCATTAGAGAAAGAGAGAAAGAGATGAAGTTGTTGAAGTGGGCACCACAAGCATTGTTAAACATGATAGGGTTCCACAGTCATGGTTGAGACTGTTCATCTACAAACCCAGGTGATGTGTTATCTTTCTAAATTTCATTTTACTCAGTCTTTGGTCCATACTCGAAAAAAAACAGGGGAGCGTTGAACTAATGACTTCAGAAGGCATAAAAATAACATACCGTTGTAGTAACTGCAACAACGAACAAGTTAATGCACAGGGCATGATTGTAAATAATTGGCATGCCCTGTAGAAGGAAAACCATGCAAACAATCCCAACACACTGTGATTTAGACCATTGATTTCTAAAATGTCCAGAGCACATGCCCAACTTGTAACAAAGCTTTGTCAAGATGAATTCGATTTCCTCCTGTGCCGCACAACTGTGGCAAAACATAAAGTTCTAGAGTCTAGTCTTTCATAGCACTAATAGTAACCTTTATGCTTATGAATTCGTGACGAAGACGAACATTACATTTGCTTCAGGGCAAAGATTTGATCAGAGCAAAAAGTGAGGTGCTAATGTTCAATAAGAGGGACAAGATTTGGTTGTCGAAGGTTGAATTGGGTGGTTCGCAGCATCATCTGGGAATTCAACTGCAGAAATGCAGTCAATCATTCAGCGCCTACTTTTTGTGATTGATAAAGGACATAAGGGTGCTTATGTCGCGTGGTCCTCTGTGTCGACCAGCTGGTACTCCTCTCTTAAACATGATTAGTGAAGGATATCCTTGCACTTCGTATTTGTCTGCAAGCCTCGCATGTTTTGTAGCGTCCACTATTGCCAGCTGTTGAATGAAGGCAACAGAAGTTAGCAGAGTCGGTGCATATTGTAAAGCAGCCTGAGGATAACTTCAAAAGGGAGAAGGCATGTGAATTCTCAGGCTGGAGACAAATTAAATGCGAAAAGTTTCAAGGCATGAAAATCTCTGAAGTCATCTTAGAAATGAGACTGAAAGCAGGCTGATCTTTGCATCGATATAAATGTAAAAAACTGCATAGCCAAGAAGTGACAAGTACCCGAACATCACATCCTTCCCTGCTCAACACACTGGCAAGTTCTTTCCAAACAGGATGCAAGTGTTGGCAGTGAGGGCACCATGGTGCGTAAAACATAACAAATGTGGATCTGTACAGGAAACGGTGCACAAGGTGTTCAGAACTTTTTGTTGCTCTCGATCTGCGGAGAACGCAATGGCATTTTCAACCCAAAAGCCTCAGGTTACAGTGGTAAACAACACTGAAGACAGGATCATGGGCAAGGTCATGAGGATCATATCGCCTGATTCAACTGAAGGAAGGGCGAAAGTGACTAGTAGTTTATGGACAAGATATTAATCCCCAGATTGCGCAAAACGCACGCTGAGATTGTAATTGCCTTTGAAACTAAGTTACAGGCATGTATGAACGAGGAGATATTTGATTGACTGAAAGATTATTACCTTTTCATAATGACCTCATCAAAATTACTGGAACTGAGCTCCAATATTTCCGTCTGCGCTCCTTGACTGGAAATCGAAACAAAACAAAAGAAAACAAAAGGAAGCTGAGAAGTCAATCGTTTTGTTCTCATTTTCCAATCTTTTCGGACTGATTGGAGTTTGTTTGACATTTGTTAAATCAAAAACAGCTGTGAAGAGAATGCATGAGGATTTTTGAAAGCTTACTTCGAGCTTTTTGTTTGGTCGTCTTCAGGACGCCCCCAAAAGCCGCTGTAGGCCACGTTCTGACTAACTAACAGGTTTGGAACACCTAGAGCCTTTGCAGCAAGCACTGCTCCAGTAATTAGCCAAACTGCTAATCCGAATGCGGCTAAAAGTTCCTTCCACCACTGTTTCTTCGCTTTTGAATAACCATGAGTCCACAGACTTGCTGACTGGTCCCTCAGTTCATTCTCCGGTTGAGACGCCTCAACAACACTAACATCTTTGTCAGGTTCGGGAACGTGATCTTTCTCTACAATCTGAATTAATCCCTTGTCACCCTTGAGAAGGTTTTCCCGAACATCGTGTAGATCATCATCGGCCAGTTTGCAAGGACCTTGTTTCACTGTCGACGATGAATTGTTCATCATTACTGGATGTATGTAGGTCGGTATGTAGCTCTGCAAGATGATTTTTAGTTCGATATTGCTTAAGAAGAGTTAGATGAGATCTGAACTTGATGAAACTTCATAATCACTCCTGGAAACTAAAACCCTAAAAGCATGGATGCAATCTTACAAGTCAAAATACGGATTAAGAGGAAAACAAAAGGTAACTCGTCTTCGCAGGATGCCTTGTGTCCTTTTAATTATACTCCACAAACATTGAGACTGACTATGAAATTGAGACCGTCCCATTACTGCAAGCAACACATCTAAGTGAACTGATATTTTTATATCACGAAATGCTACTACCTTGAGGGATTCAGAGTCGCACCGCATAACATGCAAAGTCCTAATCAGGATGTTCCGCTGCTCGAAACGCCACGGGTCTACATTCCATCCGTCTTTGAATTTGTCTTCGCACCAAAATGAATCGGCTCGGACACCCATGTCGGAGGCATCAATATATCTGCCAACGTATCCCCCTGAGGCACCACAACAAGGAACTGAAGAGATATTCGAGCCCATATTCAAACCATTCATCATGCGGGAAAAATATTCCTTCTTTGCAACAGAGCATATCTTGCTGTCCGCCTTTGAATGTCGTTGCGTGAGTGAGGTCGACGAAGTGCCAGGCATCTCCGCCATGAACTGTTTTGAGTGACTAGGAACGAGCGAAAGAATGCCGCTGAGCTTTAATCTGAGTACATGGCTTTGAGAAAGGATTTTCTCACTAGACTCTTTGCTGAAGGTCCCATTGATATTCTCCTCCAGAGGAGATGTAGGACTCGATTCAGCACCTGGCGGAGAAGCTTCAGCACCCATGCCCTCACTACCAGGACTAACAAATGAAGCCCATTCACATGGAGTTTCTGCTGCCCCCTCAATTTCACCAACAAGGATATCTGTCCGTTTCACCACTTCAACCTCCTGGTCGGTGTAGCTCGATGCGAAAGAATTCCCCTTCACACATTTATGTTGCTCACGGCTGTTAATATCAGCGATATCTTTACTAGCTCCCAGTAATGGGGTAAAAGAGAGCAGCCAAGCAAATGGTGGCAATGCAGATGCACTTTGTAGTGGCAGTTCCGGCGGTGCGGCCGGGGAACATTCTTTAGCATATCCATAGTGAGCGAATCGAACACAAGCTGTTACGAGATCGGAGACATGCGAGGGAGATGGCAGGAGCTGTGGACCTAAAAGACGCCCACTGCTCCCCAGCTTTCTTGTTCCAATTCCCATATTTCTAATTGAGGTCATGCCTATCAAGGAAACAGCAAACCACCAAACAATTTAACGCCGTCCAGCACTGAAAGGACATCAAAGACATTTCAAAAACATCCAAGTCCTCACCTTCCAACACAACATTCCACCTGCTCTGAAAAGCATCACTGTAATTCCACAAGCGGAAAATCATTCCTTCACATCATCGAAAACCAAAACCAACACATCAACACGGCATACTGCAACCGTTACAAAGTTGAAACATACCAGTGCCCCTGGAGGTAAACATCACCCTTCATTGATACTGCTGCAACACATTCACCCAACCCATCCCACTTCAATGTGCCATAATGTTTTCCATCACCATTATATTCCAAATCTCACAAACGATCTAAAGCCTCACTCCTAACCCAACCAATGTCCGCATTGATCAACATCAATTACAAGCTCTGAATTCTCACTCCAGCTAACTCGACTAAAACCCATCCAATACTCTGCGTCTGTGACAATCAAGCTCGTCGTGAGAATGCAACACAGTTTTGCAAGTTGCATGCTCAAAATTCTGGATGTCATCAACCATTAAACCGTGAAACACACGGCGATAGGACAGCAGAAAAATGCAGGCTCACCATGCGTGCGAGGCAACGAAGAGGATTTCTTCAGTAGTGCCGCCGATGAGGATTAGATAAAGGTTGGTTCAAACAGCTGACCTCCACATTGGTAGAGTGTAAACAGATGAGACACAAAAGCGGAATAGTTCTTTTCCAATTCATGCATATTGTTGCGATGTTGAATACAGTACTCTGCTTCTAGGGCTGTTTGAATTACCGCATCAACCACTGCGCATCTCCGGTAGAGTCCATCACGTTCAATTTGAAACATGCGGAAAGTTTCAGTACTAATTTTCACATCCCTCCAATGCCGCGGCTGAGTGAAACTTCACGTCTTAAGTTTTGATGGCAACGAGATTGCAGTTGGTAAAAAATAGGTTTAGGATTAAATTCCTTCGACAAGCTTAGTTCTTCATCGAATCTGCATTGACACCGAATAGCTGCAGTAAAGCGGCTGCTGGATTTGGAAAGTCATTGGGTTCCCCCACCATAGCCAACTCGACTTGCGACCCTCACGATCTCTCCCACAAATCTCCTCCCTCTTCTTGAGCTCTAGCATGGCATTCTCACCAGATTTAGGGCTTGCAAAGATTATGAGGACTTTCGTGAAGCCAAGCGCTTCATCTTTCTTTTGAGATCAAACACACCCAGACTGTCTGCCGAGGCATGACCTTAATCTCATATTTATAAACACACACTTAAACTTTCTATTAAGTTCAAAATTCTTTAAAATGTGGCTGAATGTTACCTTCTCATGTTTCTTTCAGCTATGTCATATTTCTTCTCATATTTCTCTTAATGGTTATTCAATGAGTTCCTCAAATAATTTTTACAAGTGAATAGATATTCTCAAAAAACTTATTCAAATGTTTCATAAGTACAACATGTGTTGTGGAGGTTGTTTTAATAAGAACCTTGGTTTGATTCTAGGTAGCAACTATAGCTTCAATTTATTCCATACATTGGCTTGTTTAGCAACATTGTATGATTTTAATACCATTTGGCTATTTTAGTTACCTATCTACTTGAGTTTGGCTATTCATTTATTTTTTTTTGTACTTGGAATTGGACTATTTATCACTTTCCTATCTACTTGAAGTAGGTGCATTGAAAATTATTGGACCTACTTCCTATCTTTATTTAAATATATACCAATGTCAAATATTTATCTTCTTTAATATCTAATTTATAGATTAATTTTTTGTAGCATTATTTTTAGAAATATTTTAATTCTTTTTTATATATTTAGAAGTAGATATTTATTTTTACTTTTATATTTAAAGTTCTTATAAATGTCAGCTGAATTTCTATCATGGATATAAATCATAACAAAACTCTAAAGATGCAATACATTTTTGACACTCAAAAATAGATAGCAGACAAATTAAAGATAGATATAAGTTGGAAACTAGTATGGCTATTGCAAAATACAAGAAAGTGAAGATTCTTGAGTTAATAGAAGCATACAAGAACGGTATTGATAAGAATAAAAATTACCTCACTCTTGTATCTATATGTACTATCGAACTAAAGAGCTATGTAGCAATGTTTCATTAGGTCATTTGATAGATGACTAACTTTCAAGGTTAGTTTCCAACATGTGCACTACATGGTCAACTTGTAAAACAAGTGGTCAACATGTGCAACATATGGCCAACTTATTGGCTAAATTTTTAACCTATCAATGAACTACAAAGACTTATAGAGTCAAATCCATATCTACAAAGCTTCTAAGAAGCTTTTCTACAAGATATTATCAAATTCAGTTACTTTTATTTCTACTTAATCCTTCTTATCTTCTTAATTATTAATACTAATATTGATGTCTATGGCATTATCATCCCTTCTAAACACAAGTTTTACATGGAGCAGCAATCACATATTAAGAAAGTCCAAGATGATACAAATTGTATTAGACATAAAATCTAATTTTTGTTTTCTAAAAAAGTAATTGATAAGTTCTTTCAATGATCAATATTATCTTATATTAGGGCAAAAAAATACTTTGTTATTTGATTATTATTGAGGCTTTTATAACTTTTTTCAAATGAAACATTTAAAATATCATTAAAAATAGATTGTACCTCTAACAATATCACCAAATATTAAAAGTCTTTTCTAACGTCGTGATACCAAATGCATTATATTTTTCCATTTATTTGAAGAAGAATATATCAATCTTAATAGTCAATAAGTTTATTATGACATCTTGAAGACTAACAATTTCAATGTCTTATTTGGTAATTTAATAACAAATAACTCTTAAGTTGAATATGTTGGTTGTTGATTTTCTATCTTTTTAATGTTACATATACAAAAACGACAAACAATAATAAAAGATAGAATATAATCTTTATTGAACATGTTTTGCTTTACAAGAAAGAATTTTTTGCCTCTTCATCTTGGTTTTAATGGATGTTATCAATAAAAAACATCAATCATTTCTAGCACATTTGTAAGATTCATAAATGACTCCCATGTATGTTTACTAATATCATATTTATAGACATGGATTTGCTTTTATATGTATTTATAGGTGATTGGTAGGTTGAAAATTTGGTTAATAAGTTAGCCTTATATTGCACATATTAGTAACTTGTGGTACTAGTTGAATATATAGTACACATATTGGAAACTTGTTGTGCAAATTAGACATGAGTCCTATAAGTTGGACATGTATTGTAGATCTTATAGAATATTGACATGTAGCTCTTAGTTAGATAGTATATATAGATGGAAGAGCCAAGCTTTTATTATTCTTTTCAACTCTTTTCTTGCTTTTAGTTTAGTTTTTTAGTCTTTGACAATAGTTATTTTATTTTATTTTATATATAATATATAATTATATATATATAATTACATGTCTTTAAAAAATGTCTCACTTGATTATTTATATTTTTAAGTTCTTCTTCTTGACACAAGCCTACAATATTTCACTTAAAAATATTTCACTTATAGATATGTTGCAAAACTTATACAATTTACAAAAATACAACCTCTTTTTTATTCAATACAAAAGAGAATCATCCAAAAAAACTCAAACTTTGCAAAATCCTTACAAAGTCTGTATGTATTCTAATTCTTAAAAAATAATATTAATTAAAATCCTATCAAGTTTGCTTGTAATATACATACTTTGATCAATAATAGAAAGTCCTATCTTTATCTCAATAACTTTTTTTTTTTTTTTATCTATATAGGTATAATCAAAATTATAATGTTTTAAATGATATCTTTTCATTTAGTTAAAGTTTTTAAAAATTTATTATTTTTAAATCTAGTAATAATAAAATCTAGTAGAATTAATTACATATATTGGAATGGTATATTTTTAGTATATATTTTATTATTTGAATAGTAGTATTTGAATATTAAATTTAGTACTTATAATTCATGAGATAATTTTTCTTGCATAGTATAGTAAAGTATTAATATATGAATGGTTGTATTAACAACACGATATATAATTAGTTATTGCTTGATATTGTGTAGGTATATATAACTTAAAAAAGAATATTTGAAAGATTAAAAAATATAAACATTTATATTGGTCAATTTTAAAATATCTACTTAATTCTTGTGCTTTAAAAATATGCAAAGAAATTTCAAATACATCTTTATACTTGAATCAAATTTTGATTATGGTATATTTAGACTTGATATTCTTAAACAATGCAAAGTGATACCAAGTATGATTGCAAAGTTGTAAAAAGTCTCTTATATTGCAGTAGATTTATAATTGTGTTGAATTATTATTTTGTCATAAAAATGAATTTAAATAAGTTTTTAAAAATAAAATATATTTATATATAATTGGTGAAAGAATAAGAAATTTTAAAAGAAAAAATAAAAATAAAGAGATAATAGAATAAATAAATTTAAATGTAAAAACTTATATGTAGACTAAAATATCAAAATATAGATGGATTTTTAAATATTAATAGGTTTAGATTATTAAATTCTATTACATTGAAAATTGTACAAGATTCAATAATCTTTATTGAGGTTGAAAATTAATTTATAATAAAATATATATTAAAAGTAAAATTAAAAAAATAATATGTCTAAGATATTAAAAAATATGTTTATTTAAATCTTTGTATGAAAATTAGACTCGATTAAAATGGTTAAAATTAATTTTAATGTGCTTAAGTAATAACAAAAATATAAGAATTATTTAGATTCAAATATATTTTTTTAATATTTATTCATTTTTAATTCAATATATAATCAATATTAAATTTTATTACATAATTTTAGATGTATTTAATAGAAAGTAGTCTTAACTTGTTTATTAATCAATTTTAATATAATCTTAAAAAATAATATATAGAATAATAATAATAATAATAATAATAATAATAATAAAGCAATTGAAATTGCACTTCTTATATATTTTAAAAATGATACTTATACAAAAAATAGAATATGGATATATATATATATATATATATATATATATTTGATATAAAAATAAGATATACCTAATACATCAGTGGAGTAAAGAATATAAAATAGATTACTTAATTTCTTATATTAAAGAGCAAAGCTAAAAGCAATAATAATTTAGAACAACAATGAAGGATAACTTGTTTATACTTTTGTGTATGATCGCATTACACTAAGATATTCTAGAATACTATTTAATTACTATTTTACTTCAAGAACCACTTATGTGTTTATTCATCTAAAAATTATTCTATCTCTTGAATAAAAAAGACTCATATAAGAGATGTTTTGCTAATTTATTTTTGACAAATTTCCAATATATTTTTTTATATTCAAGAAGACCTTTTTAAATTATGTTTTTAATATAAAATATATAATATAATTTATTTTTAAAGTTATATATTTTTAAATCTAAATAATATATAAATAAAGTTTTTTTTTAAAATACGGACAAGATCTTATAAAATTATATGAATCTAATTAGAAGAATATCTATAAAAATTACTTGTTGCTAAATAAAAAATTTATAAGGAATCTAATTAGATGTTACTTTGTATATAAGAAAAGTGGTCCAATTCTAAATGTAACAAATGTAATTTAATGACAATTCTACAACTAGTGGAGAATAGATTCAAGCCTTTTGAGTTGATACATATATCAATGAATATCAATATTAGTTTTTTTTTTTTTTTTTTTTTTCCTCTTCTAAGTATTTAATTTCTATACCTTTGTGTCATATAAGCTAAATGAATAGAACCTCTTTATAAAAATAAGAGTTGAATTAAGTGTCTATCTAATGAACTAAGAGTCTTGACCAAAAAAAATATTTTATTTTTGTGATACTAAATTAGTAGCAAAGCTATTGCTTTGATGTAAATTTTTACTAATTTTAATAATATATATCATAAATTCTTTAGTGATAACCTAAGAATATGATAAAAGATCAAATATTAATTTATTAATTTAATTATAGAAAAATCAATGCCAAAAGCTTCTTTTCTTGTTGATTTTGTTTTGAAAAAATTGTAAGAAATTTCAAGAAACCTTCTACTTAATTCTTATTGTCTTTTAAGTCTTGTTCAAGAAAAAGTTTTTTTTATCAAAATAGAAGGTTTTAGATTCAATGCCTACATTGTTTT